ATTATTTAAAATATTTTGAGCAAGATGTGACTGCCAATTTAGTCCCACATTGATTATATGCCAAATGTTGAGATGTATATATAGTAATTCAAGATTTAGAAAATAATGAGTCTATTTCATGTATATGACCACTTCTCACTCCATGCCCAGCTAGCCACTAGTGACGTGGAAAGAGAGTGACGCATACATGTCCCATTGGTTCATAACCGCTCGAACCCCAACTCATGACTTTACCCTAACTGCACTTTCGACTCACTTGCAAGCCTAGCTAACTAGCGGGTCTCTTCTTTTTTCTTTTTTTTTCTTTATTTATCTCAAAAATAGGATTATAAAAATTATATAAATTTACATAAAATCACATAATTAGCTAAAAATCACATTAATTAATTAAAAACTATTTTTCATAATTTAACACAAATATAATTCTATTTATCATGAGTTAAGACTAAAATTATATTATTTATTAATTATTAACTTATGATAATAAAAACTTATCAATGACATTTCAATGCTCAATATTAATCTATTCTTGTTGTACACATAACTGACAAATGAGAATGTTGCATCCTCTTCATCAATTAAATCTAATAAAAAATCAACTCAACCACTACACTCTTTGTTCTCCATCAAGTCTTAAGACAACTAGGGGTCGAGGAAAATATATTGAGTGAAAAAGCGAGATGGTGGTAGTTACATTTGGTTCATGGTAGGCTAGCTGATTATCAGTCGTTGTATAGTAAATCACACAAAGTTTATAGTAAATCATGTAAAATTTAGTTGAAAATTATTTCTATATTCATATTCATTATTTTTATTTCTCCTCATTAGTTGAATCAACTCTTTTTCTAACTTCTCGTTTCTCAACTCATCAAATTCTTTATTTTCTCATGAGCTATCTTCTAATTTTGGTATATGATATACATCATTATCCTCACTATCAACATCCTCACCATACATTATTTTTCTTTCGGATTTTTAGTTTTGAATGAAATAATGAAAGAATTTTCTAACCTTAGATGTAAAGATCTTCTAGTATGTATAAAAAATTAATAAATTTGAGGAAAAAGTTTAGTAATTATTACCCTCCTTCAGTATACTCCAGTCCTTATCCTGCTTCTCTTCGTTCCTTTTTTTTCAAAATTTTTCAGCAAGAAGAAAATAAAACAAGAGTTAATTTTTTTTGTGTACTCTAAGAGAAAAACAAAAAAATACTAAATAATATGTAATATATCCCTCACAACAGTGCCAAAATTTGACGTGACTTAGTCATTGTATAATAAATCACATAAATTTAAAATTTATAAAACTAGAAAATATTAATTTTCAGATATTTAGAAGTATTTTTGAACAAATATATCAATTATAATTCAATAAAACTTCTAAAAATAGTGGTAATTTTCTAAGTCAATCACAGGGATGTAATATAATATCGAGTAATTATTTAGAATTTTCTTCAAATAAGATAATTTTCTATGAATTTTATACTAAGAAATAAAAATAAAACATATTTAAAATTTACGAAAAAAATAAAATAAGAGGGGTATAAGGATGATGTTAGCAACCAACGAATGTGAATTAGGCAGAAATAAAATTTTGTCTGATGATTCTTACGTAGGTGGTTACAAATGATTTAAATTGATCAAATTAAGATTTATAAAAGCTAGAAGAATCGTGATTGAGTGAAGTATAGCTTGGTAAATTTAAATCACACAAATTATCACTAAGTGAAGTGAAAATTAAGTTGAAAGTAAGAAAATAGAATTCTGACATCGCGGTGGTGATGCGTTAGCGATGCCCCCGAATATTAAACATTCAAAAGACTGTTGTGTAGTCTCTATGGCCTTGAAGGCTCCCTTTGGACAAGGACGGCATGGTCAATCTCTAGATCTCCTTGTGAAGTCTAGAGATTAATGAAATAGGTCATCAAATCGTCTCCAATAGCTATCACTCGACAGAGTGAAAAAATGGTGACTTTGTAGCTCTCTAATAATTGCCACCCGACAGAGAGGAGCTGGATGGGGGGGTGTGTGTCAGGAAACTTCATCTTCAAGTCTGCATAACAAGAGGAGGCTCTTCATTGCATCCAATATGCTCTCAGGAGGTGGTGACTTATCTCTCGGTGGATCGTCCTCTTCTCGACAATGACTTATTTGTCGATCAATTTGAGATGATTTACTCGATAGATTCATGATTTTTTTATCACAAATCGTTCAATAATGTTAGTAACAATGCTATGTGAATCGTGTTGACAAGATTTTTGCCGATGATCTAACGATTTTGGTGGCTTAATCCTTCACCGACGATCTGTAGGAAAGTCACGATAATCAGATAAAAATACGAGTTTTGGCTCTAGAAGGATTCAAACCCACGTCAATTGTTTGCCTATATGCGAGAGATTGAAATAAGTACTCTAATGTCCTTACCAAGTGACGTCATCACGGTATATCTTTGTTATAATAAAATGATAGTTTAGGTATTCAAATCTTCAAAGCCTTTCACGGGAGTGTGTGACGCGAGTTTAGTCCCACATCATTTGTGCGTCAAAATTTTAGACGAATATATAGTAATATCACATTTAGAAGTAATGAGTCCCTTTCTCCTACATGTACGACTACTCCTTACCTCACAATTGGCTAGCCACTAGTGACATGGAAGGAGAGTGGCACACACATGCCCTCATCTATCCTAGTCACTCGAGCCCTTACTCATTGCTCCCCTGGACTACACTTTTAACCCGTTTGCAGGCCCAGGTGGCCAACGAGTCCCCTCATTTTGTTATATTTTTATTTTTATTTATTTTTCTTTATTTATCTAAAAAATAAGATTATAAAAATTATATAAATTTATATAAAATCACATAATTAGCTAAAAATTTATGTTAATCGATTAAAAACTACTTTTCATATTTTAACATAAATATAAATCTATTTATCATGAGTTAAGACTAAAACTATATTATTTACTAATTAGTAACTCATGATAATGAAGACTTATTACTTGGTCTTTGAGGAGATGACCTTAAATTATTTGGGTGGCTGATCTCATGAATATCAATGTGTATTATGAAGGTGAATAAGTGAATGCTGAAAGGTAGTTCCCTCTAGAACTAGAAGTAATAAGTGAGGGGTGAATCAATATAAAGAGTTTTGTATTTTTGATAAGAGAGTATTAAGAGCTTTTATTGTGATATGTGTGTTGACACATCTCTTGACACATATAGGTAGGTCAGAGTGAATCTGAAAATAGAGTGATGAGTACAATTACTTGGTGCTATAACACCATGCAACTTTTCATTTTTTAGAATGCAAGGCAACAATTGTTGAACCTTCCAAACTTTGAATCTCCCAACTCTCATGAATTTTTCATTCAAATTTGAATTAGAGTTTCCTAAATTGATGAAAAATAGTTGAGTGGCTACATTAAATCTAGATCATCAAGTTTTTCTTTCTTTATCCACAAAGTGAGCTTGTCACCATCGAGATGCTCTCTTCAAAATTTGAATATGTAATTATTTTTATCATTTTCTTATTATTCTAATACATTTAATGTTTTAGAAAGCCTATGTAATATAATTTCAAAATGATAACTACTATATAATATAGTTAGATCATCATATAATCATTAATTAAATATTTTGCATAACTTCCAATTATATAACTTTTAATTTCATATAATCACTCTGAGATTATAGATTCACCAATGCATAATAAAAAATGGTGCTATAACACCATGCAACTAGCCATTGAGATCACCCAAGTAATCATCAAAACAACTATTCAGAACTACTTTTTGAATGGCACTAAGTCCAAAATTCAAGAATAAAATTACCATGGATAAGGATAAAACCCCTCCAAACATTTCAAGTGCCATTTATACTATATAGAATCAACACTTTTCATATCATTTTCAAATACTTAAAGTAACTCTTCATCCAAAGAAGTTTTCGCACCACGAATCTCACATATTTAAGTGAAAAGAAAGTACAAGCTATAAATTATAAGGAGTGTTTTATCTATCATTTGATATTACTTTACAAACTCAATTGACTTGGGAACATCAATCTAGAGTCTGATAGTTGAGCACTAATCTAGTTGACCTGTTAGATATATAAATGTAAAATAAGTGTTTGAGAAAATTTTGGGTTATTTGTACTAATCAAATATAGAAGAGATTGGATGAAAATGCAATTTCTATTGATCATAATTTAATTTGGCTCACTCTGATTTTTTCTATATATCTTCAACATTTTCCATATATTTGAATTCCTCTTTATATTTTTTATATTAAAATATAGAATAGGATATAATCATTTCAACTGCACATCATATTAGTAGCCAAATATCTAGACCCATGAGTTTGACTCTCTCATGGTGTAGCCAAATGTAGCCAAGAGGCAGGTGGTGGCTCGTAGTGTGGGCTGGTTATTACCAAGTACTCTAGAATGTTAATGAGAGAAGGGATAAATCTCAAGAAGCTACTGACTAGTAGAGTCTTGAGGTTAATCTCACCCATATTTGGAAACATTTTTCTTGCAATATTTTTCTTGTAAAGGACCTTAGTCCATTCACTCTGAAATATAATTTTTTTCTTAAGCTAGTTTCCATTTTTTTTAGTTGTAAGCTATTTTTTCTCATTGAACTTTCCATGGGTTCTTAAAACTTGTGATACTGTCATAATTTTATGTTCTTAAATCTAGCGTAATTTTAAAAGCCTCGATTTTTACTAATGTTTTTTTCCCTATGTATTCTTGGCTCTGAATTTTTGTTTGTAAGCAAAGTATGTCCATTTAATTCCATAGACTTCCCTTTGCCAAAAATCCCCCCACCCCAATCTCCCAATATGCTTCATAGAGACCAAGGCATATTTGATGGACAATCGAGATCATTGGGTCCACCAACACTATACGAGTGGGTGGCACTTTGGTGACTTCCTCAACCCTTTTTTAGTCCGATACTAGAAGATATGGCTGCACCAGGAGAAGGATACTATAAAAAAGACAATCAGGCCGTAGGCCAATTCATACCTTTCTCGGCCTTTTGGCTAAGATCAAGTGTAGTATCTATTCTTATCAATTTAATATCTGATATGTGGGCCATCGGCCCACATGATATTAAATTAATTTCTCGTGGGAGAGGGCCCACTGCAGTGGCTTGCCACTGGGGCCTTCACGCATCGCCTTTGCTTGGCACTACTGCATGGGCTTGGCACACCCCAACCAATACTAAATGTCAAAGCTATCTTCGCCTTAACAAAAATCAACTTGAAAGCTTCTATTAAATGATTAGGCCCATTGGTTCATTTGAAAGCTTTTGTAGATAGATGAATGAAGAGTGGAGCTAACTCAAGTATAGGGTGTTGACTTGCTCGCGCTTTCTCCTGCACCCATGTGTTGCTGGTCACCTGTTGACTTTGCAGGTCCGAAGACTAGATGTGGCAAGGACAGCAAAGCTTTGCGTGAAGGTATAGGCATTTTGTTGGAATCTGTCTTGTACTGTTTACTCTATAGATATTTTGTTGTCATAGAATGTTTGGCTTTTTCTAAGTTGACTTTGTGCTCAACCACTTCTTGAACATAATAAAGGAGTGCAGTACTCGATCAATGCCTTCTGAACTTATTAAATACAGTGTCGTTACTTCCCTATCTTGTGTTTCTAGTCAATGCTACATTCATAACTTTGTCATGATGGGTTTCAATTTCCTTAGCATTATGAATGTTGTTGTCGTTCTTTGTTTACTTCAGTATCTGATTGGACATACTTGGGTTGTTGCGCTTTATATGCATGTTGCAATCAGAGCCTTTTATCTTGTTTTATAAATCAAGAGGTGGACTATATTCGATTAAGTGATTGTTGTATCAATGTATTCCGCCAGATTTATGATTAAGTGTGGTTGACGTTTACTTGTTAGAGGTAACTTCAAAAGAAGAAATCATTAATCTTCTCAGGTTAATGACACCATTGAAAACTTCACAGTGATTTGCAGCACTTTTAAGTGATACTCCCACCTATTCGGAAGGTCCCGAGGAAGTTGTGTCATGGCTTACTGAGGAAGGCAATCAAGGGAGAGGGTCGGCTCTCGATTCTCATTATTCCTGACTTTCCCGTCCAGTCTGTCCGGCATCTTTGGCAACAGAGCTGCACATTCTACTGCTAACGGCCTCATTGACACTGCCACTGCAAAGGGTTAGTTGGTTGTGTCCCTGTTATTATTCATTAGTCAAATCAGTTTGGGCGTTCCTTATTTTTTAGGACATGTGAGAAGCAAGATTTGGTGAGAGAAGAAAAATGCAAGGTTCTCATTTCTTTCATATTGGTCTATCTCTCTTCTATGTTAAGATGAAAACATTATGTAGGTAGTCGAGGAAGAAGATCCAGATGTCTCAAGCGGACTTAAAGGTATTTCTCCAAACTAAATAAATCTTAGTGCATTACTTCTTCATGTTTTTTTTATTTTAATATAATCTTAGCATCTTCATCACTTCACCTTTTGTATTTTGGACAAACAGTGAATAACACAGATTTGATTAATCCTACACTGAGTATTACTACCCTTTTGTTTTCTCACAACATACCCCCACTATGTTTGAGGATGAAAAAATTTAGATAAAATAGCTTCCTACTAGTTTCTCTTACTTCAATCATCAGCATAGATTGTAATGAGGACTCCGCTGATATGAACGTGAACATGTACATGGGGATAGTATATTGGCTACAATTGGGGTAGGTGGACATTGGAGAGAAATGGACGATCTCATCGGATAACAACCTCTGTAGGATCACTGATTGGCATGATAATGTCCAAAGCTTCTTCGAGAGGGCACTAAACTGTTGTACACCATGGCCTCTAAAGTGAAGAGGTTTGTATCTAGCGAGGGCAGATACAAACCTCAGCGAGAATTTGTGATTGAAAAGTTCTCCATCAAGGAGATCTTCCTTATCCTTGTGTTGGAGAGCTTGCAAGTGTGTCTAGTGAACATGAGCAAGGGGACACTCACAAGATTATAGAACTTCCCTTGCTTATAATACCACGTATTGGACTTGGAGGCCTTTACTCACACTTAGACAACCTATCTTCGTGCCTAGAAGACTCTCACTTGCTCAAGAGAGGACTTCTCAACTGACAATATGAAAGCTAGTTGAGTAAGACCAATCCGAGGTGGGCTTTCCTAATTTTACCTCTAAATCATCTCTGCATGTGCTTTGTGCTCTAACCAATCACCCACTTTGCACTCTTGTCACTGTGATGATTGTGCTGCACTAACCTCAATTGTTGCAAACCTCTGTAGGGCTTCTACCTTGAGCTCTCGTGCATACACAGCCCAAACTCCTCTACATGTGCCACATAAACATCGGGTCGTGTATTGCTACTACTCTATCTCACACCTAAAACCTCCAATTGTGCTACACAGCACCATTGTTATGTGTGCTGCACAAATGCGCACTCAATTTCATACTGGCGGTGTGGATCTGCTAAGTTAAGAGGGTCACATCCTCCCCCCACACTAGAAACTAACCTCTTCTTTAGAGGATTTTGTTTGAAATATTTGTTGACGAGGTTCTCAAATTGTCATATGTTGACATCATACTCCCACGTCTCATCCTCTTCTAGGGCTTCTCTTCCACTCCACAAGGAAGTAGATATAATGATTCAGGTTGAATTACTCATCCTGATTAATCTCTTTGTCCAACTATAGCCTCAGCTTTGGTGGTAAAGAGCTTACACATTGTCGATGGGGCTTGTCAAGTTTGATTCCACTTCTTGTTGTCCTTGTCTAACTTGTACGTATTGAGAATCAAAATATGAAAGAATTGGTGGATCATTACTGTACACAGTAGATTGAGGTTGTAGGTCACTTTTTTTGATACATGCCACAATATCAAAAGGTTCATCAAAGTGGGAGTATCAAACCCCAATGATGCTTCATCCTCATGGCATTCTTGTACAACCCAGCATTGAATCATAACAAGACTTACCTGCCACCATAAAACTCCTCATTGATGGTATGGCATGGTATGCTTTTTCTAAGAAGGTTAGTAGCCATTGTCTCTAGCTACCTTGAAAGATGATTACCCTATCATCGAAGTATGATGAAGACTATAAAAGATTACATAATATCCAAAAAAATAGACCAAATTCGTATGATATGTGGTGTCATATTACTACAAATACTCTACTAGAATAATGCTAATCCTCTCAATCTGCCCACCTATCTATGGGTGGAACTTAATAGAGAGCCTAAGTTGGTTGCCCATATATTTGGAAAGGGTTATCCACTAAAAGTCAACTAATTTCGAAACAATTTTATTCTAAAACCATCCATAACCAACACTACACCTAATACCAGTATAAAAACTTTTGATTAAGGGAGAGGGGAAAAAAATGATCCTTTTATTCATCCTTCCACCAAGTGACACTAGGATTCTTTATGCCCTTCATTTATTCTCATGTTGTTCTGTGATAAAAAAATCTGACTTTTAATTTGTTGTGAATTCATTTTTATTATTATTATTTTTTAAATGAAGAAATTTGATTGAGTGATAAAAGTTTGACCTCATTCTGAGGTTACATAAGTGGGATCTCATTCGCACAAAGGGCGAGGATGACATGGAGGGTGAAAGACCTCTTTTTTTAGAGGGGATGTGATAATACTAGAGATAGACTCCAGTTCGCTCATCATATTTGAAGAAATTGGTTGATCTGCATTTGGGCTAAAAGAGCCTTTGAGTTCATAAAGTTGGAATATCTGGTTGACAGTAGTAAGACGTGTAAACCTTCATGTTGTGCACCATGAGGTGTTCCTGCAAGACAAGAATTTGCTGCAGTAAGTGGTTCTAAGAAAGAAATAAAATGATATAAAGTGGTGAGAAAAGAGTTGTTATGATAGTGAGGAGTATAGAACTATGCCGAAGTATGACAATAAGCCCAAATATGAATTTGACTTCCTAGTGTTGCACACGTCTAATCCCTCTGACCAAGATCTTATTAGTACCATCAGTTGCCGTACTTCCTCTAAGTAGGTAAGGAACCTTTTACCCCACGAGAAATGACTTGGTCTCTTTTTCTAACTCTTTTCTTTTCTCTTATTCTCTCTCTCTTCTTTCTCTCTCTTTTTTTTTTTTTTTTTTTTTTTTTGTTAAGGGCCTCTTCTTTTACCCTCCACTAATGCCCATTATTTGGTGTACAAGGGTAATTCCCTTTGGAGGTTGTGAATTCATTTAGATGATAGGTAGATTAATCAAAAAAAAAATGATTTATAGCATTTTTATTTATGATTTTGCTTGAATTCATTCATCCACCAATCCCCAATGTCAAAGAGGAAAATCCTGATTTATGGTCCATTTTATATCTAATTCTTTACATTTTCAAGGTTGGATTTTTTCTACTTTCAATTAAGAACTAGATTATGCATCAAAAATCGATCAATTCATCCTAGATTTTGAATTTGTCCTTCTGCCTCATCTCCATTGTTGGAGGATTTTCACATTTTAATATCATTCTATGGATGTTGTGGAATCAATAATGGAGTGTATAATCTTGTATTTTAACTTTGTCCTTTGTAGGTTTAACAAATGTGACATTTGTGAATAAAATTTATGCATCTTTCTTTAGCTTGAGTTAATAATATCATTTTTCAATTGATTGTAGAGTCTTGTCTTGACCAAAATGTCTTACTAATCCTAAATAGTGTAATTCATGTAGTAGATTCTCTCTTAGAGAATAGTGAGGAATACATAATTGTGTTCTACGAAATAAGAAGCCATCATGTAAGTGAAAACTTTAGTTAATAACCTAGACATACAGCTCATATATTGTTGAATAAAATCATCATCGTCTAGATATAACTCTTTGAGATAATCAAATCTTGTGATCTCAACACATAGGTTCACCAAACATATTATTTTTCTATTAAGAGCATCTACAACTCGATTTAGTTTTTCAGACCTGTGTTTAATAAGAAAAGTAAAATAGTGAATGAAAGAGATTCATCTAGCATGTATCTTATTGATAGAACTTTAACTATTGATTAATTTAAGAGCTTGACAATCTATATATGAAATAAACTCATATTAAATCATTTAATATTTATATGCTTGTAAAGCACAAATCAAAACATAAAATTTCAATTCATATCTTTTTTCTCTTTCATCGAATGCTTTTTATTGAAAAATACTATTATTCGACCTTCTTGTGATATTACAACTCTAATGTCAACTATAGACTCATCACATTTCACTTCAAATAGTTTATCAAAATTTGAAAGGACTAAAATAGAAGCATAATATAATTTATCTTTTATTATGATAAAATTATTATTAACTTCATCAATCCATTTGAAATTACTTTTTTCATACATTTAGTAACTAAACACATTATTGAGTTTAAATCTCAGATGAATCTTCTATACAATGATGTTAATTCATGAAAGCTTCAAACCTCATGAACTGTGGTCGATATTGGATAATCTTTGATAGCTCTGACATTTTCTTCATCTACTTTGATCTTATCTCTACTTATAATATATCTAAAAAATAACAAACTACTAGTTATAAAATCATATTTCTTCAAGTTAATATGTAATTCATTATATTATAATACTTTAAACACTAATTTAAGATATTTAATATGTTCTTCTTATGTAATACAATAACTAAAAATGTCATCAAAGTAAACAAAATTAAATTTACTAATAAAATATTTCAAAACTTGATTCATTACTCTCATAAATGTACTTTAGTTTAGTTTTAAAAATACATCATCAACCACTCAAAAGACCTACTTTAATTTTAAAAGTAGTTTTCCACTCATCTCCTGGTCGAATTTAGATTTGATGGTAGTCTTTAAATCAATTTTATAAAAAAATAATTATTTTATCTATTCAGTCTTGAAATATAATGAAATCTAATTTTGAGAAAGGGCATTCTTCATGATAACCATCTTTGTCAATATGAGTAGATTTACCTCATGACATCTATGAATCTTGATTTAGAATATTGATTAGCTTCGATAAGATTTCAACTTGTGTCTTAAGTTACATCATAAATCTACTATGGGCAATAGCAAACCAACCACTCACTATGGAGGCTGGCTAACTCTTAGGATTCCCCTTACAGTTGATAGGATTAGTCAAATCATTACATGACCAAATAGGTGATGGCGGCACAATGGCTCAAGGTGAACTGATGGCCCCCAATTATATGAAGGTTTGGGTCAATGAGAGGGGATTGAAGATTATAGAGAGGAAGCTGACCATCAAAGATCTGCCATCCTGAAGAGGTGACCTTGAAGATCTCTTTGAAGAGTCGTTTGTCCCCCTTACCCCTTCCTATTGTTAAATTTTCTTATTTTCTCAAACTCTTCCAAGATCGACAGAATTATTACTATAATCGAGAATATTTCTAAGTAAAAGACAATAAAAGTACTTTGCTCATCCAACTTCTCATGCGTCTCCCCCAAAATTCCGCCCATGTTCAATTGGGTACCCATCAAATATCCGTTGAAGTTGGTAGACCAACTTTCAACTTTCTTCTCTTTAGTATTACGAATCGTTGTTTCCTTGTCTTCATTACCTCATCTGCACCAACCACTTTCCCTTCAGATTTGTAATGTTTTCTGTCCGATTTCAAATTTATTCTTCCTAGCCGTCAAAAAACCTTATATTCGACTTTGTTTATTCGCGTTAGATCTTCTTTTTCCCTCGCAAGATTTCATTCGTTTCCCGTCAGAATCTTCCACCTGTTTTTCTTCATTCGTCTGTTGTGATTTCTCGTACATTTTCCATGGCGATCTTCCAACCATTTTTTCTAGTTCATCCATCATTTATCGTCGCGATTTTTCATCCATTTATCCCTCGTTCATCCGTTTATTTCCATTGCGATTCTTCGTCTCATTTATTCTTCTTGTTCGTCCGTGTTTCCTCATCACGATTAGCCCTCCTTTTCCTCATTCCGTTAAGAGAGAGATAGAGATCTTAAAGGTTGGAGTAGGCTACATGGCCCAAAACCATTATAAATCCAAGTTTTGTAACTTGAATGAAAAATTAGAAATCAAGGAGAGGTTTGAAAAATATCAATTCATCTCCCTTTCCATCTCTATTTCACTTCCAGCCTCCTTAAAATGAGCACATTTTTCTTCAAGCATTTTGATCATCATTATAGGTTTCATATAATAATGTATTTCTGTTATCATTTGCATAAGTTAATTGACTGGAGAAAGATATGGATGTTCATCAAACTGAATGAAATATAAGCGTTTGAGCTCAATAGAAGCAGTTCATATAAATTGGTGGGATCCAATTATTGAGGTTGATGTTGTCCAAATGGTCAGAACTGGGTCAATCATCAACCCTCTCTACTCGTCTTCTTGATTAAAGGGACAACATCTAGGATATCTCATGATAAAACTTAATATTGATAATTGGAATCAAGGGAATCTAAAACAAGTAAAATACAAATTTAAAAGGAAAACTTGTTGCATTACAAGAAGGGAACTTTTGTGTCTAACAAATTGGTGGAATAAACATGATTATTAGGAGACTTGCCTCACTCTTGAACAATGTTGTATACATAGTTCCATGGCACTTGGTATTGATTAGATATAATATAATATTCTAATGAATAAATATGAAAATTGACCTTCTCAAACAGATGAGAGAATGCCTAGTATGCTAGAGGAATTAACATAAGAACACCTACATGTAGTAGAAAAAGCTTGCCTGGATATATCCATGGAAGTTCTTGAATCCTGACCTCTCTCATCAAGCAAGCTCTCCAAGTATAGGCACTTCCTTGCAATACCGTAACCCATTTCAGCTAAACCCATAAGCATGCCACTCTCTCACTGATAGTATAGTCAAAATCCGGTCAAAATCTTGGCTAATTGATCGAAGTGGGTACCTCCAGTAGATCCATAGATCATGGAAAATGATTTCTCAGCGTCATCTTGGTCAATTAGGGAAGGAGTACCTTGAGCCACAAAGCACCAAATTCAGGTTTAGCTCGGCCAAACTCAAGTGCAGAGAGTGATGAGATTTTCTTGGATGATTCTATATTTGTTGAAAAATGGGTGCAATTTAATTGCATTGAATCATCCTCGAGTATGTTGTTTCTACCACTTGTAATCAAACTTGGCACTAATCTTACTCTGCTCAAAGAAACTTTGCTCCTTTGCATAATGCACATATATGTGTCCATGAACCTGATATTTATGCATTCACAGAGGAAGAGGAAGGACGAGAGAGGAGAGAATAAATGGGGGAGTCACATCATCATCTTGCAGAACTCGTCGTAGTTGAGGACGCCGTCGCCGTCGCCGTCGAAGGCGCGGATCATGGCGGCGCACTCCTCGTGAGACGCCGTCTCCCCCAGGCGGCGAAGAACCCGGCGCAGCCCCTTCGGCGTGATGAACCCGCCCCCTTTCTCTGCGATAAACATCTCAAAGACGGCCCTCAGATCTCCGTCCACCTCTCCGCCGTCGCTCACGAGCCGCACAAAGTCAACGTAATCTATGAAACCGTCCCCGTCGGAGTCAAATTCTCCCACTAACTTCTCCACGTCCTTGACTCCCACGTCCTCCCCCGCCGACAGGAGGAACGACAGGAGCTCCTCGCCGGAGATCTTCCCGTCGCCGTTGGCGTCGAAGCGGCGGAATGCTTCAGAGAAGCCGCAGTTCCCGCCGCAGCCGACGGCGGCGGTGATGCCGTTCACCGGAGAGGTTACAGTGGGGGAAGGATTGAGGTGGCGGCGGCGGGGAAGGCTCAGCCTGGAAAGCCACTTGAGAGGCCTAGGGAATGAGGTGGCTGCGCCGCCGGCCGCCATGCTTGTCGCAGGAGGAGGCATATACCGATAGGAATGTAGAAGATTAGCTCTATCTCCACAGATGGAGGAAGCTAAAGGGGAGATGGCGATTTATATGGCGACAATGGCGAGGAAGCTACGCTGTCCCAGAGAAGGGCCACAGAAGCTAACCGGCTTCTCCGTGATGATGGATTTGCTTTTTCGAACCTTAAACCGTGGGCTTCGCAACGCCCCACCCAGCCCACAAAATCAGCAACTAGAGAGAGAGAGGGGAGCGAGAGAGAGAGAGAGAGAGGACAGTTCGGTGACGTCAAAAGGTAGGGTGGTGATGATCCTAGAATCCGCAGGCAGAAACCGGCGGCCTGAAACCTAGAAGCCGCAGGAGCGCGCTTACCGGGTACTGTTTTGCGTAGGCCTAGGTCCTTCAAAGGAGGCGCCTTTGAACGAAACCGACAGCCGTTGGCCGAAATTCCATCTTGGGTAAAATATCACAACTTGCTGCCAATCACACCGCGAATCGCCGGTGGCAACGCCAATCTTCTCGCCCGAAGAGCAATCCGGGCCCTCCGCGCCTCCACAGACGGTCAAGATTTCGCAAAAAGATCGAATCTTTGACGATTTCAGGAGGTCAATCCGACACCTCCGGGCTCGTATCCCAGTAGCTTCGCCTCTCGAGTCAGCCCGTTCAACTCCCGATAGATCTCCACGGTGTGCGGATGAGATCTGTCCCCGGCTCTGAACACGTGGGTTCTTCCGTTGACCTCTATCCAACTGGCGGCGTCATCTTTGGCAATCCCCCTCTCTTCCATCAGCTCCCACACTCCTCCCGCCTCCTCCCTCCTGCCCAAAATAGAATAAGTATTGGCGAGGAGAATATAAGTACTGCCCTCATCTGGCTCCACTTCCAGCAGCAACTCGGCCACCGCCCTTCCCATCTCTATCCTCCCGTGCTTGCTGCAAGCTCCAAGAACCACTCTCCAGAGAGAAGGCTCCGGTTTCATGGGGATCCTCTTCATCCGCTTCACTGCTTCCTCGATCTCCCCAGAACGGGCCAGCATGTCGACCACACAGGCATGGTGCCGGTAGGTTGGCTCCAAGCCATGGCCTCCTCTCATGGAGTTCACCAAAGTCAACCCCTCCCGGACCCAACCGGCGTGGTTGAAGGCCGAGAGCAGCGCCAGGAAGGTGCCCTCGTCGGGGATCCGTCCATCGGCCTGCATCCGCTGGAAGAGCCTCCAAGCTTCGGCGGCTCGGCCATGGTGGGCGAACGCGGAGATCATGGAGTTGAAAGAGATCAAGCTCGGGGCTTTAATGGAGTCAAAGACCCTCACCGCCTCCACGATGCAGCCGCAGCAGGAGTACATGGTCAACAGGGAGTTCTTCGCTGCGACGTCGAGTGGGTAGCTTCTCTTCACTGTGTAGGCATGGATTTGGGTGCCCAGAACCAGCGCTGCGAGATGGGCGCAGGCGGTGAGCAGGCTGGAGATGATGAACTTGTTGGGCTCGATGCCCATTTCCAGCATCTTCACGAAGAACCCTAGAACTTCGTCTTCTTCCTCGTTCTTCATGCAGGCAGAGATCATCGACGAGCAGAGACCGGCGTCGATCCAGCCTGCGTCATGAAAAGCCAGGCGAGCGTCCTCCAGCTTCCGGAAACCCGAGTACATGGAGATCAGAGAGGCGGCGACGAAGGGGTCAGTCTCTAGCCCGGCCTTGATGATGTGGGCATGGAGGGACTCGAGTTCTCTGGGGGCGAGCTCTGTGGAAGCGGCTCCAAGGAGCAGGGCGGGGAAGGTGAACTCATCTGGAGAGGGACCTTCTTTCCTCATTGAACAAAACAGGAGGAGAGCTTCTTCGAGAAGACCCATCTGAGAACAGGCTCTGATCATCGTGTTCCAGGCGACGGCGTTCTTCAAGTTCATGCTCCTGAAGACCTTCTTCCCGCTCTCTAGGTCGCTGCATTTTGTGTACAGATCCAAGAGGGCGGTTTGGAGAATAAGATTCGAAGAGAAGCTATGGATGACCACCTGGGCATGGACCTGGGCCCCTTCCATTGCTGCTCCTAGGCCTGCCAGTGCGTTCAGCACGCTGCTGAAAGTCGGCGGCGTGGGTTTGACTCCGGCTCTCAGCATCTGCTGGTACAGTTCAAGAGCGTCTTCATGGAAGCCGTTCTCCAGGAGCCGAGCCATCATCGAGTTCCACGCGACGGCGCTGGTCTTGTTCGAAATCTGCCCAAAAACCTGCATGGAATCTGCTAGATCTCCACAACTGGCATACATTTTTATCAGGGAGTTGCTGACGAACTCTTCCCCACCGAGGCCGAGCTTGACTGAAAGGGAATGGAGCTGCTGTCCGAGGGCCAGCTCCCTGTGGCGGTCAACCGCGTCGAATATAGCGGAGAAGGTGAATTGGTCGGGACTGAAACCCAGATCACGCATCTGGGAGAAAAAGGTCAACGCCTCCTTGACGAGCCCAGATCGAGCGTACCCGGAGATTATCTGGTTCCAGGAGACGAGAGACTTTCTCTGGGAGCTCACGTCGAATATCTGGCAGGCGAGCTCCAAGCTTCCGCAACTTGCGTATAAGTTCAGCAGATGGGAACAGCTAGATTGGGTAAAGTCAAAGCCTCTCTTGACTATCTGAGCCTGGAACTGGAGACCCCTCCCCTGAATCTCCTCCGTCGAGAAGACTTCCGGCAAATGCCCATACGGCGGAGAGTTGACCTCGGGAGAGATGCTCTTCCGTGTGGTGCCGGCATATTCGAACGCTCCTCTCAGCCCGCCGCCGCCGCGCAGCCTTTTGAGATGACCGTTGAACTTTCCGTCGCCTCTTCCTCCAGGTTTCCCCGTGGGTCTCGCTGCTGCTCCTCTCCCAGGCTCCTCCGGCGGCGGGCTTCTGCAGCAGGGGAAAGATTGGGAAATCAAAGGCGCCGCCATTCTACTACCCCACGGCGGGCGCCGCCATTTTACAGGCGGCCATCCGGCGCCGCCATCGCTGTTCTCGTCTGCACCGGCGATCGTTAACACCCACGAGGGCGCTAACCAGTTCAGAAAAAATTGACAGGCTGAAGACCCCGCTTGTCTGATCGATGAAGAGGACGACTTTTTACAAAAAAATAATACAAAATTTACACACACAAAAAGGTAAATGTCAACTCTTTGCAGCTTATTTTGGTAACATAAAATACGATAAAATTAAATAATAATAACTATATGATATAAAGGTAGCGGAAAGCTGATTAGACACCGAATATGCTACACACCTTGAACGATAATAACAGAAAAAGATGAATATTAAATACGAAAAGTAGAGTAGAGTGGTCGAAGTGCACCAAGTCCAAAGTAGTTTATTTCGAAAAATTCGTAATATATATTTTATAATATTAAAATAAAAAGTTCTTTTTTTAGGATTCATTACATTATTTGTTTAGTCAACTCTCGTGTGATATGATGCTTCGCGCGCCAGGGACGAATGGCCATGTTTTCATATTTGATGCCATCTCATGGGATCCCAGTCATACAAGGCCAGTTGTAATCATATGATCATGAAGTGTCAAAATACGATATACAATATATATACATTTTTGGATGCATTGGTTTTATATGTTTTATTAAAATATTAAAATATGCAATATTTTTTTATTAGTACTTGGTGAATTAGATATATTAAATTATTACTTTCATCTTTATTATCTTCAAGCTAGATTCCAACCTTCAATACTTTTCCTAAATGGTAAAATCTTTATTTAAGAGACTTCCACAAAAGGAAAAAGTTTATCTTGCTTCTAACAGCATATGGGTCTTATTATCACCATTTCAATTTAATTGTGATAAATACTAAAAGTCAACTATATTTAAGAAAAATAAAACTTGTATAAATACTAAGCAATGTGTTCGTCAAAGTGCACTATGATAGCAAATTAATAATTACAATTGTATTATTTTTATTAATCCATGTTGGTCACAACTATCATATGTTTGATAAATATTGGCAGCCCCTTTGTTCAGACCCACATAAATGATGAAATGGATCCGCATGGTTTATCTCGTTGACTTTGGGAGACATATTTTGACAGTCAAAGGTCACATATTTACCCAAGTTAGAGATTAATGAACCCTGATCAACATCTTGCCCAATGGAAATTAATAAATTTGAAAAAAATATATATACGAGCCACCACACGCGCGCAGAGACAAAAATTTTCTTTAAAATTTAGATATAGTCCATTTTATTTTTAAAAAATAAAATATTGAATGGCGGCGGGCCTAAACCTACTCGTTGTGCCGACATACCCTTGATGGGTCCCGCTCAGCCCCCACCGCACGGGAAGTCCGTCGCATGCGGTACACTGTGCCGCCGGAACTAAAAAATAAACGTGAGATTCGACTGCACAGACTTTTTCATAGGGTGACTTCTGAGCTTTACACGAATACCCTTTTTAAATGTGTATTTGGAAATAGCCCTCTTTTTTCCTCGCATCCCCTGACTCATTTAATCTCGAGGATATTAATATTTGGGAGATATGTTTATCCATCAATAAATTATTTATGTAATATCAGCGATGCACCTAGACAACGATCTTTATCCACAAAAATATAATTATTCTTCAAAAAATCATGCCGCACATGCACATATAAAAATTTGTAAAATTCAGGATTTATACTCATTTATTGTTAGATATTTATTTATTTTAATATGTATATTTATAATCAACATCTTATCTTTTTTTTACTGATATAATTAAATAAATAATCATACATCAATAAAAAATTAAAAAAATAATATTTTTTACCCATTTATTGCAAGAGATTTATTTAGTTTAATATTTATATTTACAATCAAGCAATCTCTATTTTTTCTGATATAATTAAATAAAAAACTGTTCATATGATTGAGTAAACTTTGCATAAAAAGATATACCCCCTTAGCTCTATAAATTAGAACCCCCCCCCCCCAGATTTTCCATTTTTTGCATAATATTATATTTATTTTAATTGGATCCATTTTATTTTATTTTTAAAAAATGACCACCCAGAAAAAGTAGTGGGAATACCTCTTGCGACCTAGGTAATTAAAATAAATGTAATATGTTTGAGTGCTTTTTATTAAAAATAAAAAAATTGGGGACATTTTTTAAGTAAACTAGTTTACAGGGATCTAAAAGGTGTATTCTGAAGTCAACATCAGTATGCTGAGGATGGAGGATACCGCGCAGAGGAAGAAGTGGAGTGAGTCGTCGGTCAGAGAAGGAGCGTTGAGGACCCAGTAGAAAAGTCAAAAGTGACCGGTGGCGCCGGTTGCCTTCCCGTGGACCTCTTCTTCCTCTGCCTTGCTTCTGTGGATCTCCAAGGCGTCCTCTTCGCCTTATGCCACGAATTCGGAGCTTCTTCTCCGGGGAGTCTTCTTAGTTGGTCGGCTTCTGCGGCCTCTGCAGCTCGGAGAGACGATTAGCAGCTAAACGGGAGAAGGGAGAGACCGAGAGAGAGAGAGAGAGAGAGAGAGAGAGGGTTCTTCGAAGTCGGGGGTTTTTTTCGCTGGAAATGGAGGTGGGTTCCTTCTCCTGGTTTTCCGGTTGATTTTTATGCAGATGGTCTGGATGTTCCTTGTGCTGAGCGGCGGATTTTTGAAATCATGAGTCGTCTTGCTTCATTCTCCTGACCCCGCCGCCTTTGCCTCATTCTCTCCGGGCGGGAGGTCGATTAGCTCTCATGTGACTTTCATCAATAATTTTCTCAGCCCACCATTAACTGTTGGCAGATTAGGGCTCACCAACTCTCGCACCTGTTAATCCTGTTCTTGGCAGTTGCGAATATGAGTTAATCGGTGATTTGCGCCGTCGAGTTTGTGTTTAACGATGGTGGGCATGGTCTCTTCAGGTGTTATTTCTTTGGCTGCTGCCCATCGTCATTGCCAGCCAGCCAATTTCGTTCTGCGCCTCGGTTGGGGCTCGGTAGCTGTTATTCTGATCGATTTTTAGGTTATCTTCCCCTCCCTGGCTCTTTCTTCTTCTTTTGTATTGACACGGGTGCTCATGAGATGCCCGGTAGATTTAATTGATGTTCTTTGGCACAAAATTATGGATCTGATGCCATCACTGAGGAATATTTGGAAAAGCTAGTTCTTCGGGTAGAGAGAGAGACAGACAGACAGACAGACAGTTATCTCTAGGATCTTTCTTCTTTCTGTTATAAAAATCTATTAGAGTCAAAGAAAAGAAGGCATTGTTCACCCTGAAGGGTCTCCTTTTTCCCTCAATTCTTCTGACAAACAGAAGCTCGCAAGAGCAGCGTTGAAGATCCGGCCTCTCACCAAACCGTGGTAATAAGCCCGTGGGATAGTGAGAGACTGGTAGATATGTAGATAGATCAATAGAGAGCAAGAGGGAAAGAGAGAGAGAGAGAGAGGTTCTTTCGGATCTAATACTTGGCCTCCTATGTTGGGGGTGACTGTCAACATAGGCTATGGGTTTCTTTAGGTTAGAAGAGCTCCCTAGAGAAATGAATCAGAGATAGAGAGAGAAAGAGAGAGAGAGGAGGGGGGGGATTCCTTCCCCACCCTTCCCCCCTTCCTTTTTTTTAATATCCAGGACAAAAGCAAAGCTTATGTCCAGGGATTCCTCAGGAAAACCAAAAATCTGATATTAAAATTGCGATTTATTTCTCTAGCTTTTTCAATAGATTAGAAACCCATAGTCAACCATACCCTGCTATGAGCTGGACACTGATAAGCATGCAGGGCAAAGGTAGGGTAAATCCCCCTCTGTTCATACCAAGGATCATCTCAATGTGGCCCATGAGTAAGGAAAACTCTCTGTGCTGTGATCTTGCTCCATCTTGTCCCCTATTGCTGGCTCATTTCCTCCCCAAGCAAAAAGAACTTTTTTTTTTTCTTAACAGGTTTAAATTGATGTATTTCTCTGAATTTATTTATTTTTTCTAACAACTTCCGAGCAGCAAATCGGGATCTTGAAAAGAAAATGCTGCCCTGTGATTTCAAGGCATCCCGAGCTGGTGAGAGGAGGAGTCTGCTGAGGTTGAAGCAAAGAGGCTTTCCATCGACCCAGTCGAGAAAGTTCTCTCCTTTTAGTGGGTTTTGATGGGTTTAGAGCCCAGATTATTTTTGGGGGAATATATATATATATATATATGAATTTATGAGAAAATTTCGATGAAGAACATGCTCGCTAGAAACCCAGAAGGTCCAGAATTGTCTTGTTTGAAAAATTATTTATTCTTATTAGTAACTGATTATTTCCTAAGAAATCCTTCCTCTTAACAGTTTTTTCTTTGTAATTTGCTATATTTTTCATGAATATAATAATAATTATTATTATTATTTAGCATATTGGAAATCTTTTGCATCCTGGAAGAAAAAGCTGAGCCTCTCGAGTAACGTAATTTCCTTGCAGCATCGTTCTCAATTCAGCAAGTGGGGAGATAACAACGATGTCTCATACGGTGAATACGCTGAAGTCAACGCGAGGAAGGGTCGGGCCAGGAACGGTCAACCGCCGACGGGCAATCCCTCCCCTCTTCACAGTTTCTCTGACCAAGATGCCTCCAAGCCAAGGCACGAGTTTACCCCAAATAGAGAGGGCGAGGAGCATCTCCATCTGAATGATCCAGCGAGGAAAAGAAGAGTCAGCGGGGGGGCTGACCACAACGTTGACCGGTCTCCCCTCCATGCACGTCAGCAGGCTAGGACAACGAGCCACAGCTACAACCCCAACTCCAGATCCAGCACGCCGGGGAGGACCAAGAAGCCACCTGGCCGGGGCGACCCACCTGTATGATCCTCGATTGCTCTTGCTGTGCTTCTGACCCGGTTGCATACTGGTTCTCAAGGATGACATGGCGTGTGATGTGGCAGGTTGAAAAGCGCTCCACGGTGCCCAAGTTTGGTGACTGGGACGAGAACGATCCCACGTCGGCGGATAATTTCACGGGCATCTTTAAGAAGGTAAGGGACGAGAGGAAGGATGGGGGGAAGCCTCCGATGATCTCTACTGATCCAGAGTTTGAAGATAATCTGAGGCGTAGTGGGAAGACCTCAGACACGGTAAGCTCCCTCCTGCTCCAGGACTCTCGGTAACTAACCTCAGGGCCTTTATTAATCCATCTTTTGATGCTAGAAGGAGTTGACTTTGAGATCTGAGTACTTACCTTAGTTTTTTTTTTCAAATTTAAACCAATATTTATGTGACAGTCAACCGAGCACTTCTCTAATCTCACTCCACTTGAGAATTTTTTTTCTGAAAACTTTACTGCCTGCTAGATCTTGCCTGATATGGGCCAGCTCGATCCCACCCATGAAAAGGGTTGACTCTTAGTAACTAACCTCAAGGCCTTTATTAATCCATCTTTTAATGCTGGAAGGAGTTGACTTTGAGATCTAAGTACTTAACTTGTTTTTTTTTCTAATTTAAACCAATATTTATGTGATAGTCAACCGAGCTCTTCTCTTATCTCACTCCACTTAAATTTTTTTCTGAAAACCCTTCTCCCTGCTAGATCTAGCCTGATATGGGTCAGCTAGATCTCGCCCATGAAAATGGTCAACCATGAAAGAGTTGACTTTCCCGAAAAATATCTTCTTTTTGTCCTTCCCAGCGATGGAAGATGTCCTGATTTTGATTCATACCTCCGAAACTGTTTAATTGATTAATGTGGGGGTTTATTTTTTCAATCCAGGGGTGCTCATGCTTCGGATGGTTCAAAAAATGAGGGTTTGAGAGTCATGTAATATGGAACTCCGCAGGTCAACTGTATCTCCTACCTTGTGTGCTTTTTTTTATTTTGTTGAGGGCTACTACTCTTCTTCCCCTGTTCTTTCTCTCTCGAGGTGTATCTTATGGCTTCTAAGGGTCCCAATTTTTTGCCAAAAATGGTGTTGGAGATAATGCCAGATAAGGCATCCGATGAGCTGAAGCTGGTGTAGGGCAGGGCGGTCGGTGGATGCGATCCTACGGTCCAAGTTGTGAGGGTTTTCATTATTGGGTTTTGGGGTGGGAGAGGGGGGTACAGGGCAGCCTGGTCCACTGTTGCGCCTACCATGGCCCAACCCAGTAGAGAGAAAGAGAGAGAGAGAGAGAGAGAGAGAGAGAGAGAGAGAGAAGTACTAAGGGCTAAATTGGGCCTGGTGGGATATGAGGCCTCATTCCTACCATGGCCCAACCCAGGAGAGAGAGAGAGTCGCATTATTGGGCTAAATTGGGCCGGGTAGGATATGAGGCCTCATTCCTACCCAACAAACAAGACTATTTCATCCACCCCCCTTCATCTGATGAAGTAATTTCCTCCACGCCCCTTTCACTGCTTGGAGTGGAAACGTATCTACGCACTTGGAAGTGTAAGAATAAGAGAAAGAGAGAAAGAGAGAGATTCAAAATCATCATAGCAGGGTGGAACCACAAGCATCAAAATCAACAATATATTTTTACATGTCCAATTTGGCACCCAGAAATCACTCCTTTGCCAAAACAACCGAAAAACCAAAAACATAAGCCAAATATAAATCATAATCACATGAAATAGATCAGTCAACTGATCTTCAAGGAAGTCAATAGATGCCTATAAGCTCCATTTCAATTGTTGAGGAGCGTGTATATAAGCTATCAGCAAGATAGCAACAGAGGTCATCCATAGATTCATATTATATAATACAGCGCCATCTCCATGATGTTCCTTCATGGATATGGGCAAAGTCAACGCCTCGCTCCTAACTCTCTTTAAGGTCCATTCATAGCCAGCTGTCGCAGGGATATAAGCATTTAAGAGACCAAATTCTGAGGGACCGGTTTCTTGGAACTTATGTTCTTGATGCGAATGTGGGAACTTAAGCCTGAGCCATGAACCACATTCCCAACCAGAATGATCTCCCAAGAGAGAACAAGAGAACCCCTAGCAGCAGCTATCTCAGCTTTCTAATGGCCAGCTCTCGTCCGAAAAGCCTCTCCACCTCACTTGCTTCCATCTTTAGATCATTCAGGAGCTCCATTTCCTCCCTGCTCAGCCCCATCAGGAGGTACTCAATGTCGCTCTTAATCTCCATCAATCCCTGAGATAGTCTCTCGAACAAGCTAAGTTCGGTTATACCCAACTTCTCCACCTCCCCTTCAATCTCCTCCACTTCCCTGATGATAGTCTTCTCCCCTTCTTCCACCGTCCTCTCTAGTCTCTCCACCAGAGGGGGTTCAGGGCCGCAGGAGTTATCTGTTCTGATAAACTTGCTGAAGTCCCTTCCCACACTCCTTGCCGCTCTCTCCAGCTCAGGCACTATGCTCTCTGGAAGCACAGCACTTCTTGTATACAAAACAGATCCACCATATCCATCCCATGCATCATTCCTTCCCCGATAATACACAAATATATAATCGTCACTGCTGTTTTCAACCTTGGATGAGAGAATGTACCTGTAGAAGACACAAGATGGGTTAGTGAGATCTTTTAGGGAAGTTGGCAAGCTCATTTGATGCTAAAATGGGGAATAAAATAAATGTAAACTAATGGGGATGAGAAGGAGAAGTTATAGCAAAAATGATGGAAAAAAAAAAAAAAACAGCCGCAGGATTATAATGAGTAGAAAGAGAGACCAGTCATCCTGATAATGAAGGTATTCGTTGTCATGGTTGTATAATATTCCAGGCTGCACAGGGTCTTGAACGAATTTCTGCACCGCGGACCGAGTGAAGAAGCCACCATCTGGAGTCCGTATCCGCCATGACAGGTTCCCCACTAGTTTGTCTGACTCCACATGGAAGTCATGCAACTGGCAGTCAAAAGCATCAAAGGTCGGATTCAGCCCTCTACTTATGTACCACTTCCCATTGAAGTCTGACATATTGAACTTCGTGACCAGGGCAGATGGGTCCGGGACAGGGAACTCCCCAACATCAGACTTCTTCGGAACGCATTTCTTTCGCGATACTGCACACTCATTGAATTCATCAACAACGCTATTCTCAAACAGATCACCACACTTTATCTGCAACAAAAGTCAGACTATGAGCAGTTCAACCCATGATCGGCTTACATCCATCAAAGAATGTGGCTTTTCTCGACTTGTGTCAGTAGAGAACCAACCTGGCACTGGGTCTCATCAGGGCGATCATTGCATGTCTGGAGGCATGCTACATTTGCTGCACAGGATGGGTTCCCAATGCACTTGACTAGTTCTATCCTGAAAAATAAACAGAGATTTACCGATTTGAAACCGGAGAATTATTGGAGATTAAAATTTGTGAGGAAGAAACCCTGAAAGTGTGGCATAGAAGAAACGTCTCGGTTTCAAATAATTAAAGAATGGAAGGTAGATAAACTGGAAGATATATGAGTGTCTGAGAGAGACCTGCACTCCTTCAATAGACAAGCACAAGTCTTCAGTGCATCAACAGCAGAAGCTGATGGAACGGCCATAAAAATGCATGCCAGTGATCCAGCTATAGCCACAGCCTGCACTTGCCTCCATTGTATTGCAGCATTCTGAAGAAGGACTCCCCATAATCCCACTTCCTCCCTCTGAAAATCAATACACCTCACACAGTTTTATCACCTTCTACTAGTGATGTCGTCAAAGCTAAGAGAGACCTATGTCACAACTACCTCAGACATTTGGGGCTCCGCATCAGAGCTACCCCGAACAGCAGTTTTCCCTCTTCTAATGGCGGAGAGACATGATACCCTGTACCGAGTCCCTGCACGCTGGGTGATACCCCATACCTTTCTGTGGAAGAAGAATTTCATATGGGCCACATCGTGATGACGCCGCCTGGCTCTTGAAACTATTCCTACATTGCTGGGTGATCGAAGTAGCGCAGTAGTCCCCCTGGCACGCCCATCTTGAGAGAGACATTTTGCGAAGACGCCTGATGCCATATGGAGACGGACGTATCCACGATAGCAAGATAGTCAAAAACCTGTGACCTACAACGTAAAGACCACACCATCAGCAACCCTGAAATGGACAGTCGATGTAGCCCAGGCATCTTCGAGATACCGTCATCTACGCATGCCGGATAAAGCCAGGAAACCCTAGAGCAACTACAGCAGAAGTTCGGAAACTACATATAGTCATCCATAGAAATCCACATCGAGCTACCCATGGTGACTTAGCTTCGGAGAAGAATACCCCAGACCTCCACCCGATAGTTATCTCACTCTACGACCTTCCCTCCTAAATTTATGAAACCCCGAGATGCTCGAATCTCAGAATGTGACCAATGGCCTCAAGGACACCGGCATAAGGTCACGAAGAACACCTCAGACCCAAAAAATGAAAATGCAAACAGGAACAACACCACTCGAGGGAAAGACGGAAAGAGAAACATACAGATTTCCGAGACCCCAAGATGCTCGAATCTCAGAATGTGACCAAAGGCCTCAAGAACACCGGTATAAGATCACGAAGGACACCCCAAACCCTAGAAATGAAAATGCACACAGGAGCCAACCCACCCGAGCGAAAGGCGTAGAGAGAAACATACAGAGAGATAGAGATGTCACTGCTGTCCCGAGAGGGATGGCGGGAGGTATAGGAACCTCTGCGAGTGCTCCCGCTGCTGGTCATGGCGGGAGCCATCTCGTCGACGGAGGAGATGAGGGCGTGTGGGTCTGAGAGAGGAGATACTGGATAAGGTTAACGTGTGGAGAGAAGACCCGTAACGTTTCCCCCGGGCCCCACCCGCCTCCCGTGGGATAGAGATATTGACCGTCGGATTGGTGGTCCTTCGGGAACCTTGTTTCTGACCGTCCAATCGTGGTGATCTCCATCCTATTTCGGGGTTTCGGATCAGATAAATCGAGTGGAGGGGGGACCGTTGGACCGCTCTCCAGTACCATGCCCCGCGGTTCACTGGAAAAACTTCATTTATCTTTTATTTAATGATTTTTATAAATATGGGGGGAAAAACCCATTGGCCTTCATAAATTGCCCACCTCTAGGTATTTTATAATTTTTAATTTATTTATATTTTATTACTCCAAAAAATCAAAAAATGTGTTGTTTTTTTTAAAAAATGAAAAACTTTTATCTACCCTTTAGAATTCTTCTTGATTTAAATACTCTAGATTCATGATTTATTTATTTTTTTGTGACCGAATGAAATTGCTATATTTTAAATTAATTCGTGCAATGGGTGGCAAGAAGATACGAAAAAAATAAGAATTTTATAATTTTACCTTAATTTTTTTCTTAAAAATTCAAATTCAAAGAACAAGAGAAATATTTTATTCTCCAACATAGTCCTACATTTTTCTTACAATAGGTGAATATAATCATTTTGAAATATTGCAACATGCGCTTGCCATGTGTTTTTAATTATCTGGTATTTTCTAGTTAACAAAAAATGGTAATTCATTTTTTTTCTTTGTAGAGTATTGAGCATTTCTGATATAGTGAATAATTCATCAACGCAAGATAACTAACGTAATCTTGTATGTTTCATCCTTGTGGTAATTATTCATTATTTCTTTGCATAGTCGAGAGATATTTTGTCAATTATTTGAAAAACATTTTATCGATGAGAATTAAAAAAATGAAAAATAGTTTATTCCATAAGGTTGGCCTTTTAAGAAATGCTAATGGTGTGGGCAGATTTAAATAATAATATTACCTATGCGTTATTTGAAAAATTAATGTATTGGTTATATTCCAAGGGAATTACTTCATCATGTTGGCATTTTTATTTTTTAAAATACATTGTATTTACCATATTTTAATAATAAAATATTGAAATCAGAAAAATAATAATGAGTATTAAGGTAAAGTAAAACACATACTAATAAATTTGTTTGAAATTAAGACAAATCTATGGTATGATATCATAATTAGTCACTTTTCCCATTAATTATGACGTCATTAACACGTATTTTGATAAAGTAACAATTAAGCCATAACTTATACTCTTAAGATATATTATTAGAGAACTTGGTCCATGAGAAAAGAAAAATAAAAAAGTAGGAAATTCCAAAAACATGCTTGAAGGGCAAAGTGGCTCAATCTAGTGGTCTCAGGCCCAACACCCCCTCTCCCTCTCTCTCTCTCTCTCTCTCTCTCTCACTAACTGTAACAAACCGAGGGAGGAGTGAGGGGGAGTAGAGCAGAGGGAGCTGCCTACCCCAGTTCAAAGATCAGCATTCCAGAAGAGACAACGTGGCAGTCGCAATGGGCTTTCACACTTCGGGCCGAACTTGTTCAAAGATCGGGCCTGGCTTCAATAACTAAGATGCAGTTGGACAGGGGTTGCCTTTATTTCTAAGATTATTTTCCAAGGCCCAAGCCCGGGAAAAATAAACCGGACCGGGTCGGGCCTCAAAACTTACACAGTCCACATACAAACCGGGAAGGCCAGAAGAAAACAATGAATCCAGGTCAACTGCGCTCAACAAGAAGCATTCATTCTATCTTCTTCTTCCTCATCACATGGAACAGCCAATTTTTTTTTACCAAAATAGGAAGGTGGGCTGGTTAAAAAGAGAGACTAAAGGCTTAGTAATGTCCATAAAAGGAAAAAGTTGGAGGGGGGAGATCTTGGGGGAGGAGAGGGAGCCTCTCACTTGGCCAGTCTCCTCCACTGGGTTCGGCCCCGGTTGATCTCCAGGCCACTGCCTGACAGCTTCAGGAAGTGGAGGAACTGGCAGCAGTCTTGTGGCAGTGGCAGCGGCGGTGGCGGCTTTCCATTTTTGGGTGAGTCAGAAGACTGGGGCCTGCGGATCAAGTCCAAGTCTCCGAATTCCAGACTGGTGAGGGAGTCAACGGCATCGTCATGCTGGCACTCCCGCCGATAGTCCAGAGTGATCGTCTGCAGCTCGTGGGTGTCAATAATCTCCTGCGGAATGCTCTGCCACGTGGGAGAAGAAACAAAAGTCAGAGCCGACATGGGGCCCACATCAGTGTTGACCATGTGCAAATCTTTTGGTAGCTCCGAGCCTGTAATGGGTGTTGGCCAGGCCAAGACGGATTGTGTTCACTGGAAAGCAATTGTCTTTCCCAAAATGAGGCATTGAAAGACAACCGGAGAAGTCAAATGCTGAAAGAAGAGCATACAAGAGGACAAGAAAGTCAGCCACAAAAGTCAAAGATCGGCTCACCTCAAGAACCCATCCGATGTATGTGACGTTGTTCACGTGCTGGTTCATGTCTAGATCAGCTCTCCTCGGCTAAGTATTTTCCGTTAATTTTTTAGGTTTCAGGGGGGAAAAAAAATACTTTCAGTACAATTCAACAAAGGCAGAGACCCTGGGTATTAACTATTATCTGATGGCTCACCACAAGGCCTAATCTTGAAGACAGTGCAGGGTCTTCTAGTTTGGGAATTTTCTTCAGGCTGTCACTATCCTCTTCGGGAAATGCTAATCTGGGTCAAAGGAAAGCAGAGCCACAATTTTAAAAAAAAATTATACTTGCCAACCTATGGTTTCATAATAAATGCTATAAATGTGATTTAAATAATATATTATGATGTATTTCTGAGATATAACATGAAGTAGGTAGTGTGAAGAACTCAGGGCACCAAGGAAAAGAAAAAGGAAAAGAAAAAAAAACTGAGATGAAGAAGATAACCCTTACCGAGGAGTTCGGGGACAGAAAATGAGATACTCTTCTCGCACGTCATCACTGACTCGCTGGAGTCTTCTGGTGTCCTGGTTCATCATCACCCATTTACTGAAATGAAGAACATAAGCTACTATTGATACAAAGTTACTAAATATGTACCGATAAGAATAGAAATAAGAACCAAAAAAAGTAGTACTTTGGGACAGTGAACAAGGAGCATGTATGGCAAAGAAATGCACTTCAAACAGAAAGATGTGATGGAAGTAGATGAAATGAGCAAAAATCGTTAGGGAGATGAAGAAAAAAAAGAAGAATATGAGTTAACCTCAACAACATCCGTAGGAGAAAGATCGGCAAGGCTGCCTGCTGTGTGATGCAGTCAAACCTTTGAGATAGCGTTGAAGACACATTGTTGAATGTATACATACAAAAGTAATGACATTGAATGGGGAGATACGACCTATCTCTGGGCGACATTTGTTAAGATTCCTTTGATGTTGATACGTTTTTAACTTGATCAAATTGCTGATAATCTTGCAGACGGTGATGATGATATTGCTTGAATTCAGAAAATTAGACAAATTTACTTTGATGATTGTAGTTTTCTTCTCATATTTCATCATTACGTGTAAACCATGATCAAGATGCTAAAATGTTCCTAAAGCTTATAGCTCGAAGAGGCAAGTGACTGATGCACTGCCAGTTAGATGTAATTCACGACAGCTCAAGGAGGCATTAACTATAAATAAATAAAACTTAAATAATGAAGGAGAAAAAAACGGACGATGAATAAGCAAGATTAGCTAATAACTTTTTGAAGTATCCATGCTTCACAATCTGAGGGGTTCACCTGTTCTATAGTTTTGTAGATGCCATCGCTCAAAAGTATTTCCTTTCACAATGGGTTTTCACTAGTAAAACTATAAGATTTATAAGCCCAAAAAGAATATCAATAGAAGATGTGATGAACGCATATTCAATGTTTCTTAATATCACAAATCAAACCACTCCTTTTCTATGCTCCCTTTCCAAATGGAAAAACATAGGACAAACCTGGTGGCTCTTCCAATAACTTCACCAGTAGAATAATCCTTGATGATCCAGTCACGTCTGGTACCAATCTTTCCCTCCTCCTGGCACCATGTTTCTATTTCAACAACATCACCCCTAACAAAAAGACATGGTAAGCCCATAGAGCCAAAGCAGGAAGAATTGAAGATCATATGCAGTTCGGCAACTTACCAAGCGGGGTACTTGTAAATTTCTATGTGCATGCGAGCAGTAACCCATATGAGACGCAACAGCCTCATGGTAGTAGTCGTGGCAAATCCATCTGTCGAAAAGCCGACACTCTGGGCATGATTGCATCCAACTTCCTACAGTATTCCGATGCTTATCGTTAATTAAACCAGACTAGTGGTCAAATAAAAAGAAAACAGTTCCTCAACAGTGTAAACATCACAGAACAGGAAAGAAGACATCCATTCTCAAAATATATCATTCGTTGGATAATGAGAACTACTGACGATCGAAATATCACTCTCGCAATCAACATAAAAGCCTTTTAATAGCATGGGGAGACATGGTCACTAAAAATCTAAAGAATGAAACACTTCCTTGAGCTACAGTTGCATGTAAGGGCCGACCTATGCAATTCCATGCAGAATATCTGTTCAAGGAGAGGCTGATTATCAGAAGAAATTCTGGACATGAACGAAAGAGTGCTGTTCCTGAAAAGATTATATCGGGGATCTTTTCTTTTGCTCAAATATAGAAACCTGTCAGCTAAAAATCCACGGATACGACATCACAGGTACACAATGAAAGTATAAGTAATTGTAACCACTGCCCAGATAATATACGGCAGCAATTTTAGGCAGATCCATTTTAAAGAAACTAGCCATCAGAGACCAGTTTACAGCCTACATTCAGCCCTAAATTTACATACTCAGCTGCACCAACGAGTGAAGCGCCGTTCCAGAAGCTGCATTTACATTCGAACTGCAACTCCATGGGAAAGCCAAGTGGGAATAACCCCCAAGTAAATTATAAACACCAATGACCAAAGAAAGGTCCAGAGAAACCAAAATCGCTGTGCATGATGACTTCCTGGAGTTGAGACCTGCAGAAGGTTGGCGATGGTCTCAACAGTGGCGGTCTTGTTGACGCCCACTTCATAGCACCGCACGATAAAGCTCTCCTTGTAAGACAAGCCGTCGGGTTCAAGCTTCCCAAGCCTCAGTCTCTGCGCCAGCGTCTCCTCCGGGGCGGCGGCGGCGGCGGCGGTCGCAGACTCCGCGGTGGCGCTCCTCTGCAACTCCACCGAAGCATGCTGCGGGGGAAGACACGCCACCGGGAACCTCCGCCCGAGGAGCGTGTGACCCGCCGGCAGCAGGCGGCGCTGTGGTGGAGGTCCCACGGCGAGGGAGCGGGTCGGAGCTGCCGATCTTAACATTCCGCCGCCGCCTCGAGATCTACGCCCCTTTCACCTCCTTCACCTTCTCTCTCCTCAGCTCTGGTCTGCTCGTTATCTGCATTCCTCTTCTTCTTCTTCTTCCTATTCTCTCCCGACACGAGACACAACAGAATAACAATAGCATTATTTAATTAAAAATTATTATTTTAAAATAAAAATGATTCAATTATGTCCTCAATTTTGGCCCTGGTTAAAATATATATTACTGTAATTTACAGTTTTAAGCTTCTTTTAGGGCCGTTTTCTAACGACTTTTGAGAGTCATTGGTCCCTGTGGCGCCACGACCCAAAGGTGAGGGTATTATCGTCATAAAGGTTTTACTGAGCCTTGATTTCGTTACACGTACCCTCTGCGTTACCGGGGAGGGGAGTTGGATAGCCCTTGTTTGGTAGTTAAACCTTATGGTGTTCCACGCTTCAGTCCAGTGTGTAGAGTGAGAGAGAGAGAGAGAGGAGAGAGAAAAAGGAGAGAGAAAGAGAGAGAGAGAGGGAGGGGGAGAGAGAGAGAGGAGTTTCCCCGACGATGCTCCCGCGTTCTTCCGGGGCTCTGCTCTCGTCCCCCGCCTCCCGCTGTCTCATTTTCCTCAATTCCTCTGATCGGAGCCACCCCTCAGCCCGGCGCCGCTGGTCAGCTCCCGCTTGCCCGCCCTGTACATGGACTCGTCTTGCCGGGGGATCTCGGACATCCCCGCGGTCTCACGTGTCGGTGAGGGTCCGTTGCTACGCGGCAGGGTCTCCTGCGGAAGCCGGGACGACAGTGAAGCGGGAATCCTCGGAAACGGAGGGAACTGCGCTCGAAGTCGAATCTGGTGTGGATGCAGAACGGGACGGCGCGGAGATCAGCGTAGGAATCGGAAGCCCTAGTTTACCGGTGCAGCTACGATCGTTCAAGATGAGTCACGGTGACCAGGCATTCTTCGTCTTGGCCTTTATCGCATGCACGGTGCGAACTCTTGTCTTGTTTCTAGTGACGCGTTTTCTATTTTCTTTTGCTATTCAGTTTTTCTGTTGCTCTTGGATGAACTAATTTAGATTGTCCTGATTCGCATCTCTGATTGATTTATCCTCCAGATTGTGAATCATTCCTCGATCTTAGGGATCTATCAGGTTATACTCAGAATGAAATTTCGGGGTTTTCGCTGATGAGACGTGTCCTTTTGAATTTTGCAGACTTCCGTCGCATTTACCAGTCTGGTGATTGCAGCTATTCCTACACTTTGTGTAAGTTACTGAAGCTTCATTTCCTTGATAGAAGGTGAAAGTTTCATGACATAAGGCCATTTTGCTTTTTATCTAAAGTTAAGATAAAACTATGTGTAGACACTGTTCCATGTGCATCAGCAAACTACTTGATTGCTTGCAAAAACTTTCCTTGCAGTGAGGTCTTTTATATCTTACATCGTACTCCAGAATGAATTTCAATCTCTTTTTTGGTTTAGCTTTTCTAAAAGATTTAATACCCCGACACAATTATTTTTTTGATCATTTATTCTTTATTTTTTTATTTCACGAGTTTAGATCATAAAATAATAAGGTACTGCTGATCTGATTAGACCTTATGGACACTTCTCTTCGCAAATTTTTATTAGACGGATTGCTGACACCACCATATAGGGAGTTATGGTTCGGCAGACATCTGGCAGAAACTTCAGCATTCGTGCTCTCCTCACCGCAGTGGTTAATGCGAACAATGTTAATGTGGTGCTTCATCGAATCCACTATTCAAAATGAATTTCTAATGTTCATTACGTGCATTAGTTGGCCCGTACTGAGATAATGCGTATCCCTTCTACACATTGTGATCGAAAATCACCCTGTAAACGTGAGTGGCTTTCTGTAGTTAGCATGCCATTATTTGATATCATTCTGGATGGGATGATTGAGCTGTGTCTTCTGTGTACTTTATTTATGAGTTTTGCTGTGACGAATACATTTGTTTCAGGAAACTTGGATTTAGTTATCTGGATGCATCTTTGAGTTTTTCTTGGTTGTCTTTAACGACCAACATGAATAGATATCCTTTTTCCTTGTATTAGTCTTGGCTTAACCTGTGATGAGAAATTGCCATCTCACATGGGCTTTTTGATACTCTGTGGTGGCTGACCTATCAATGCTTCTGTTTATTGTTTAATTTTAATAATTACATCTGTGAATTGTAGCTTGCCTTAAAACTAAAGAGCTAAACTTATATTTAGAGCCATTTAATGTCTGAAAAAATTAATGGAACAAACTAATTTGGGGGACTCTCTTGTCATCCTTTTTTCCTTCAAGAAAGATTTTGAGCTATCCATAGCTGTTCATATGTTCCTCCGGCCAAAGCAGTTTCCAGAATAATAATTTACTGGTCTGGAGTTCAGCATGTAACTTTTTTTTTAACCATATTTCACCTCTTATTGACAATTATCATTTTTCTGTCAGTATACTAAGGTTTCTAAAAGACTTGAGATCCTAAAAATTTCACAGTAAGGAAACGGATTTCATAGTCTTGTTATTGCTAATTATTTTATGAAACTACTTAATGTTTCCCCTAATTGAGGTGATTTTTTAATTTATCAGCTTGTGGCTGTAAAGTACTCTCTTTTGGATTACTTTTCTCTCGCTAGCCAACTTCTGGTATACCTGAATTTAATTCTAATCATTCGCCCTTACTTCACCAGGCAATAAAGAGAGCTGCAATATCTCTTGCAAAATTAGCCGATACTGCACGGGTGGAGCTTCCTAGTACCATGGCTGCAATTAGACTCTCTGGCATGGAGATCAGTGATCTTACTCTAGAACTGAGTGATTTAAGGTGACAAAGCAAGTGCTAATACTTTAACGAAAATTATTGTTCTTCATCCAGTGTGCAGTGTAGAAGCGGTGACCCTACAATATTTGGAGATCAGTGAAACCATGCAAAAGGGGTTTTACTTCTTGAGTTCCAACTGCAATGTCCTATGTCGTTATGCTGCTGATTTTTGGTCAACATACTGAAATAGTTTCTTGATTCTCTGGTGGCTACAACTAAAAGTTGTTTTTGACTCCATTGTTGAATTTTCAGTTATTATCCTACATCTAGCAGTGTTCAGCTTGGTTAAACTCTCTGTTTTTATTTTATTTCTTAACTGAAGAGTTTGATGCACTCCCTTTGCCTATTACCAATGTCATAAAAATTTTCGGGTATTTTCGACTCCGATAAACTCAGAATTTCAGCTAGTCCAGCGCTAACTCTTCGATATATTTCTTCCTTCACCTTATCTTTTCTGTGTCCCCAATCAAGAACTCCATAATCTTGTTCCTTGCTGATAATACAACTATTTATCTATATTTTTTACAGCCCTAGGTTGTTCTATTTTTCATTGTCAACAGTTATCATTTCCATTGAAATTGTTTTGCTTATTTCTCAAAAATATCACTTTGCAAGATTGAAGGTTTGTGTATTCTCAAGGTTAGGTTATTGACTAATTTCTCATCATTAATTTATTTCCTCATGAATCAATATTATCTTCATTTAGTCGTTGCCTTTCAACAAGATTGTAGTTTTTAGCATTCTACATATTATCATTGCAATTAGATGGACGTTTTGGGGAGATTTGTAACATTATTTTTCTTCTCAAGGGATTTCATTAATGCCAAATAGAACGTATGAGTTATGTTTTGATTCGGCCCAGCTACTATACTAGCCATCTAATTAAATAATATCCCTTCTCAATTGTGTATACCCATCCCAACCATATATCTCTGGCGTGCTAGGCAAGCTGAACCACACTGCCCTTTGCAAGATCCAAAATGCTTCCCGCCTTTAATGGAGAAATCTATTATCTGATGAAGAGGCTGTTTTCAATCTATAAAAGGCTCTTCATTTTTCCCAGAGAGATGATTCACCGACATGATATTGCCTTCTCAACCTAGGTCGTCTAGGGGCCCTAGAACATCATCAAATTGATTGACCGAAACAATTTTGGATTGTCAGCCCTGGTCAACAGTCAACTTGACTTTTTAGAATCCAAGTGCATAGTCGTGGGGCAGAAAGAGGGTTTGTAGAAAATCTCTTAGAGATTAATTAATTGGTGGGAATTTAACTTTTTTCTTGTTCTCAAATTAGAAATCGTTCCCTTTGAGTGGAAGGAACTGGGTCCAATTGAGTGATCCGTGATCCTTTTCCCATTGCCCAGATCTGGAAAGATCTCTCTGTTGTGGAAAATAGAGATTGACTATACCACTGATAGTCAACGAAAATAAACCAACTGTTAGATCAAGAGAATGCTACCAAACTTGCCAAAACTCACAGTAGAATCCAAAAGATTCTGTGTTAAAAATCTTGAGAAAACAATTTTTGAAAGTTCCATAAGTGTGACTCTCTCTCTCTCTCTCTCTCTCTCTCTCTCTCTCTCTCTCTCTGTCTCTTCTTACTAAATTATTTAGTGGAGGTGTCATACATACAATTTTTGAGCCATGTTTCTTATGCAACCAAAACTTGTGCAATCCAGCCAGGAGATTGCCGATGGCGTCAACAAATCAGCTCAAGCGGTGCAAGCAGCAGAAGCTGGAATCCGAAAGATTGGTCATTTAGCTCGGCATCAAACCATGAGTATGCGTTCAAAACCCTTACGATCTTCGTCTTTTTCTCCTCCTCAGGCATGTTCATTGCATCCCCCCATGCTGGATCTTGCAGCCATAATTCAAGAACGGGCCAGCCTGCCCGACATCTCTCTTCAGCCCATGGTTGAAGGAGCCGCGAAGAATACTTCCCATGCCATTAAGCAGGTGAGGAAGACCTTCTTGAACATCATTTCTAGAGGTGAAGATATCTCAGATAGAGTGGATGACTGACCGAAGGTAAGTACAATCATTTATTTTTCCCCAATTTTGGGTGTAAATTCTCCATCACTGGCATGCGTTTATAGCCCTCTTTAAGAGTTAGATGGAGAAATACTTGATAGTTTTTTTTTTTTTTTGATGTGGATTATTAGTCTCAATAGAAATTGATCGATTTCTTGTCACCGATCATATGCTTTGGATAAGATTTTGGGCCACGTGTTGATCATTTTATTTTAGTTTATTTTATTTATATGTGGATTACCGTTGTTTAATGAAAAAATATTTAGGGAATATATCTCTAGAACTTAGGGATACTTACTTGGATTTAACTCCCCATAAACCACTTGAATTGTCGGATATAGCCATTTGCTTTTCATTTTTCGGGCCTTTAATTCTCCTCTTGATAGCTAATTTTGAGTAATTGCGAGGATTATTCGCCTAATATTATTTTTTAAAATAATTATATTTACATTTTAAAGATATGAATCATTGTTATTTTTTTTTCTTAAACATGATAATATATCACTGCAAAATGTCTATTGAAGGATTTTTTTATTCTTAAAGCATATTTATTAAAAAAAAAGGAATTTTTTCCGTGGTTCCCCAAAGCCTTATTTTGCACAAAATTTAGGTAGGTATATATTAATTGTTGTTAAAATATTAAAAATGACTTTTAAAATAATAATCCAATTTTTTAAAACATGTCTCGTAAATTCTATTGGTCCCTCCTTACAATTTGCTTAAGTTTGTCCCCCCCCCCCCTCTCTCTCTCTCTCTCTCTCTCTAAATAGGTGATAGAAAGGGTGGCCCTTTTAAGGCTGAGCTCCATCTTAGCACTGACTGCGGTCGTTAGCATCCCCGTTCTGCCCCTACCAGAGGCTTGCCGTTCAAGGCGCAGGTAGGGTCAAAGCCTGCCTAGCCATGATGATGAACACATGTCGCCATTAGAGGCGATAGAGAGAGAGAGAGAGAGAGAGAGAGAGAGGGAGAGAGAGAGAGAGAGAAAAGATAGAAGAATGGAGTAGGAATCATGGCATGTGGATACGAAATATGAGGCCAGCGTGGGTCTTCTGCTCCTCTCTCTATGATTTCCCCCGCAATCTAGGCTCTAAGGTCATGAGAGAGAGACAGAGAGGATAGAAGAATGGAGTGAGAATCAGGGCATGTGGGTACGAAATATGAGGCCAGCGTGGGTCTTCTGCTCCTATCTCTATGATTCTCCCCGCAATCTATGCTCTAAGATCAAGAGAGAGAGAGAGAGACGGTCATAGGAAGCCGCCGTTTGGAAAAATCCGGAAGCGAGAATCCCGAATCCGCCGTCTCCGGCCGATAAATTTCCCTTTTGTGGAAAAATCTTCGAAGGACACGTTTCCCAAAATACCCTCAACCTTATCTAATTAAACTGTTTCGTGCCGTACGCCTCTGGTTGATTCCCTAAATACCCCTATGTTTTTAAACCGTAGATGATGCCAGCTGGTCCAGTTTCTTGCCGTAATGGACCACTTTCCGTCAGCTGTAACTTATTGGTGCCAATTTAGGAAATTTTCCGATACCCTTAAGTCAACGTCACCCCACCTTGTCGGCGGCGTGTCTTCGGCTGGTGGCCCACGCGCTCTGAAAGGTGTGGGGAAGGGGGTCAACCGTTAACCCTAAGGTTTACGATTATTACATCATGTCCTCTCACCGACCACGCACGACTGGGTGGGGGCCCACGATTGGGGTTCCGTTATTTACGGGTGTGCCACTCCGCACGTCGTGATTATTTAATTGGACTAAAATACCCTCCATTGAAAGTGTATTGCAACTGTATCCCTGGTTTCATCTCTCTGACGAGAAGGCGGTCAGAGGGGCGCGACGGGAAGAAATGGCGGCGGGAAGCTGAAGTTTTGGGGTGGACCAGAAGTTAAGGATTCTCTCTCATCGCCGGAGCCGCCGTCGAGGGGCTTAACGTTGGCGGGAGCCGCCCCCGGGGGACCCACAAGAACCCCCGGGAGCCCCGAGTAGGCATCCCCGCCCATTGCCGTCGCCTCGACTGCTTTACTCTCTCTCTCTCTCTGTGATCCATAGCTGGCCGGAAGTCAGAGGCACGGGTCTGCCGACTCTGTGTGCTCGCTCACAGTGTCTCCGTCTCAACCCATTGCTTCACTTTTTCATTATATCCCTGGGACGTTTGTGGGTTTGGTATCTTAGATTTTCGGAGGCAGAAAAGGGGAGGAAAGAACCAGCGGTGAAGGCCGGTGGCACAAGCCAAGCCCTCTGGTCTCCTCGTTCCTCTCTCTCTCTCTCTCTCTCTCGATTGCTTCTAGTGGGTTTGTTGGTCGCTTTCTAGCTCTTCGCCCCGGCGAGCTCCGAGAACGAAGGTTGTCAGTCTTTAATTGGTGGCATTTATTGTGCCATTCACATCTTACGTTACATCGATTACCCCTCCCCCCTCGTTTTCTCCTTCCCTATGAACGGAGCGCCGCCGCTTCTGAGGGTCTCTCTCTCTCCCTGATGGTATGTTGGGTTCGGGCTCTCTCTCTCTCCCTCTGTTTCCATCTCTCGATTGCTCTTCCGGCTCTACGATTGGGAATCGATATTACCTAGGCTAATTTCTCTCTTTTCTGGCAGGCTGTGCCGGGGTTTTCGTGGAGGAGTACTGCCAACGGCGTTAGTTCTTCTGACCCTCCTCCCTCCCTCCTCGTCCATCTAGCTATCTGTCTTGTTTTCTTTTCCTCTGTTTGAACTTTCAGAAGAAACAAGCTTGTTCTCACAGCGACATGCTTCGATTCCCTGTGGATTCCTCTCATCGTTCGTTCTCTTCGGTTACCCACACATTTTTATTCCTCGAATTACAATTCGCGAAACAAATTTCCCATCAAACTTTTTCTTTTTTTTTTCTTTTTTGGGTAGTTACTAAAACACTGCCTTCATAAAAATATATGGTGGTCGATATTACCCAGTTGATGGTTCAAGTTATTTCGGTCGTCAATTATTTTTCAGTCTCAATCTATTTTTATCTCTCTGGCTTGTTTCCAAAAGCATTCATAAAAGAATTCTTCTTTTCTCTCTTGGGCAGTCGTCAAAATTATTCCTATATATAAAAAAAAACAGCTTTTCACTGCCCAGTTTATGGTTACGAATATCTTTTCATGAAATATATTTATATCAGACAGTTTATTTAATTTATGCTCTCTATCAGAACTGTAACTTCATCAAAGAAAGATCCGTCTAAGTAGCTGATTATGATTTTATATCATCTCTTGGTGTACTTTTGATTCATCGCTTCTGTGCTTAGAGTGAAGGTGCCATAGCCTCCTCTGTATTTCTCCCAGAAGGAATTATCTGATGGACTTATTAATAAATGAGTTGTTTCATGATCGCAGACTGTCGTTCAGGCGGATCATACCACAAATAGAAAGGCGTGCTCATTCAGCATTTTGTCCACTGTCACTGTAATCTTCATACTTTTCTCCATCGGATGTGTCTTCATTGCCACTGACAATCGAATGGTGAGATCCCCCCCCCCCCCTTCTTTAGTTTCATCTGGCTGTGAACGTGTCTGGAGCCTTGTTCTTTTACGAAATTAGCATCCATGAGGAAGCATTATTTGGATATTTTTCAGAGATATTTCGTTGGAAATATAAAACCAAAAAAAAAAAACAATTTATATTTGAGAGCATAAAAAAAAATCTTCTGCTATTTTCCTTTGCCCCTGTGCTTCACTGAAGACTATGATTCCCACCAGGAAATAGGGCCCAGAGTCTTTACTGGGTATTCAAGGTGAAGCTTATTCTGTTCTGATAGTTAATGAACTATTCGTTGGCTGTCCGGATCCTCAGATTCCTCTAGATACTTGTAGAGTGATCTAGACAATTTTCTAGCTGCAGGATGACCTAAACTGCCGTTTTGGGTACAAGCTAGCAACTCAGGTTCAAATAATGGCAGGTGTACATAATTATGTAGCCGAAATCTTTATTTTCTATTTTTTTCGTGAAAAAAACGAATTACTCTAATTTGAGCTGTTAAATGATTTTTAGAAGGATTTGTTTCCTGTTTTCTTCATTTGTTCATGTGGAGTTGGTTCCTTGGTGTGGAATATTCTTGTGGGAATCTTGCAGAGGATGCCAAGATGGGTAGCCATGAAGTCAATGGCGTCTGTATCTAAAAGTTGTGAGGTTTGTCTCTGCTATCAGCTATGTGAGAGAACCCATGAGGGCATACTCGTTGTTGGTTGACCTTTCATGGTTGCTGTAGAGCCGATGCCCACCTCGAGGAAGTGAAGCATTGCCCAGAGACATTGTAAGCAGAACATCTGATCTGGAGATGCAACTACTGTCTGGGTCTCCAAAAAGAAAGGTACACGAAAGAAGCCCCCTTTTTTTTTTTTTGGTTGAAATAAGATATAATTTGTGTCTGGGTTGGGTGATTTTTCATCATCTGATGTGATTTTGATGCTTACTATACCAGGAAAATTCAGATACTCCAAAGAACTTGCTAGCCATTCCGGTAGGGATAAAGCAGAAAGAAGGCGTTGACCAGATTGTTCAGAAGGCACATCTCGAAAACATCACCGTGATTTTCTTTATTTCTTTCTCATTCCAGTGTAGAGCCCACAGAAATATCCTGATTAATCTAATTTTTTTTTTCATCTCGAGGCAGTTCCTCACTGCTGACTTCAGAGTCATTCTCTTCCACTATGATGGTGTTGTGGATGAGTGGCGGGACCTTCATTGGTGTGATAATGCTCTGCATGTGTCTGCTATCAATCAGACGAAGTGGTATTTGCAATATTTCATCCCGAAGTTATATGGTTTATTGGTCCCATTTCCTATAAATGGGACTACTAAACTAGGACATAATAGTCTTCACTTATGTCAACAGGTGGTTTGCAAAACGATTCTTGCATCCAGACATAGTTGCTGAATATAATTACATATTTCTCTGGGATGAAGATCTCGGGGTTGAAAATTTTCATCCCGGACGGTAGGCTGCAGTGCAATGCACCACAGTGTTAGCTGTTAGATTTCAAGGATTGACTGCTTAATATGGTGTTTACCTCACTGATTGACAGGTATTTGTCGATTGTTCAAGATGAGGGGTTGGAGATATCACAGCCAGCCTTAGACACTACGAGGGGACTCAAGGTTCATTATCCGATCACTGCCCGTCAGAGACGAAATAAAGTCCACAGGTTTATCCCTTTTTTTTTTAATTTTTTCCCTGATAAAAAAATAATGATTTGTTGTGTTCTACTGTGATCTAAGCCAGTGGGTTAACTCTCTTCCCTTTTGTTTCACATTGACAGGAGATTTTACAAGTTAAATGGTGGTTCCAGATGTTATGGGAACAGCACGGGGCCTCCATGCACAGGGTAAGGTGGCCTTTATTTTTGCAGAGGCTCTGGCATTTAGCTGGCAAGTTCAATTGAACATTAACTTGAAAAGAAGAAAGAGGGTGCATTGGAGATTCGAAACCAGTAGAAATGGCAGTCTTGTGAATCATAAGTTGGTTGAACACTGAATCCAGAGGAGAAATCATAACCTGTAACATGCTTTCTGACAATGAAAAATGTATTTGGTTGTGTTACAACAAAGCAATTGGCATTCATGTAAATGAAGAAATATTAGCAAAATAGTGAGAATCGGTGGAATGATATGGTAAAGTTCTGAGGAGATCTTGGATTGCCATCCACTTTCGAAAATAAAAGGCTCTCCGCATCCACATGTGGTGGTTACTTGATTTGTGTCTGATTTACAGCTGGGTGGAGATGATGGCTCCTGTGTTCACAAGAGCTGCCTGGCGTTGTGTATGGCATATGATCCAGGTATTTTACAGTCTTTATAAGCCAAATATTATTCTCAACTAGGCTTGTTCAGAATTATCAAATCTGAGCATCTACCATCTAGACATTTATATATTTGTTTTCTGTGATTCAGAATGATCTGATTCATGCATGGGGTCTGGACTACAAGCTTGGTTATTGTGCCCAGGTGATGCTTTAGCCATGATTTCCATGTAGAGCTCTGTAGTAAGAAAGAACATCTGACCACTTTTTACAGGGTGAACGCTCTAAAACCATCGGTGTGGTGGATGCTGAGTATATTGTCCACAAGGGTATTCCTACACTGGGAGGTTTTGATCTCTACAAGGTATGGATTTGATTCTTTGGGTGCTAGTCACTTTTTATCCTTTGTGAGTCCAATGGATTTAGCATCATTTTCCATTAAAATGCTTTTCAGGGGTGATTTTTCACAGCCATGTGTCAGCTCATTTCCCATAAACCCAATTTGAGTTACTAATATGATTTATATTGGCTCGATTTGAGAATTTACCGTAGCAAATGGCAAGTTTGCTATAAGGTTGCCTTCCATAGGTCCTTTCATTGATAAGAATGTGCCTATCATGCAGTTAGCTCCAGAACCCAGCTCTCATCCTCAGTCGAAAGTTTCATCCGACTTGAAAAAGCAGGTGCGCAATTCTAACATATCTCGCCTTAGTTTATCCTTTCTTTGTGTAATTTTCTGATATATTTCTCCCTATAGGTCCCATCTGGAACATCCTCCGGCAATGAAGATAGGATAAATGTAAGCAGTAATTAAACCACGAGTGTTATTTCAAATATTTTATTTGCCGTTTCAATTTCTCAGGTTTCTAGGGTTCTTATCTCATATGGTGACAATCATTTAAAGCTTTTAGACCTTGCTTTTCTATTCGAACTCATTCTAATATTAGTCGGTGGGGAGTTCTTCATGGAATAGCTGATATAGCTTGTATGAAATCATCAGAAAAAAAATAAAATGTTTATTGTTCAAAGCATGCAATCTGACTACCATATTATAAGCCCATAAAAGCATTGAAAGGATTTATCTTACTCAGAATATGCTAAATGACTGGACTAAAGAGCCAATGAAAGCCATCCTTCTCCCTCCTTGTAATGAACTCTACACATAATCTTGCAGGTAAGACTGCGATCAGCAGCCGAATTGGAGATTTTCAAGGAGAGGTGGAGAAATGCAGTTGATGAAGACGAATGTTGGACGGATCCATATCCCGAAAAGATTAAGTGAACACTGACGCCAAGCATACTCTGAAAATTTCTTCTACTGATCCCTTGTGCACAATTAGAGGCCCATACATCTTCAGATCCATTCATGGAACCCCGATGCGGCCATTGATCCCAGGTGAAACGAGTATATACATAAGATAGATGTGCTTTTAGATTGGTCATTTTCAGCAATCCACCTACTTCCCAAAACTATGGGATCTGATTTTTGGGCTGCTCAGGGGTTCTTATCACACACACATATACATGCTACTAAATCAGGTATTCCTTCACAATAGTTCATAAGGTCTTGACCAAGTCTGCGCTGAGGCTCATTGTTGCTGCCTCACTGTAACATCTGTACATTATATATCTATTATCAACATTAATTCCATAGTTGGGTCTTGACGGATCTACAGGGGAACATGCATTGTTTTTTTGTTTTTCTTCTGGAAACAGGCGCCATCTTTGGCTGTGTCACAAACTGGAAATATTGTAAGATCATCTTTTTTTATTGTCATAAATATGTTTCCCCATGGCAATTACAGTATGGTGAGTAAAGTGACGCTGCCTGAACCTGTAGCTGTATATCAATACTGTGTATATCTGAAGGACTGATCTTGATCACTGCCTTTACATAATTTATTCTTCAGTGTTTACTCTTCAATCACGGGATCATGTGATAATTGGATGATTTCTGCGATATATGTGATGGTGAATGGCTGCGCCTCAAAAAACCAAACATAATTTATTTAATGCTCAGACAAACCTAAACTCGGGAAAGATTTCATCTCATAACTAAATGGATTGGAACTCAAGCATGTCTTGTAACATTGCCGGAATGGCCCGGCGGGAATTTATTTATTTTTGGTCAAATGTCATGAAAAGTGGAATGCAGAAGATTCCACCTAATTGAATAATTAGCATTTATATTCTTCGCAGTTTCTATGCTCTCAGTGTAATCTTCCCCTTTAATCTGTCATCCGTCAGCCTTTAATTCTTTTTCCGTGTAAAAAAATATGCGGACAGGCCTTTCATAAAATTATAGACGAATGATCACCTTCACAAGGAATATATTAATGTATACACGCAAACAATCAGCCTCTTCATTGAGACCTCTATGAAACCCTATGACGAAATGGGCGAAGGCACCGAAGTGATGAGATGGTCTACGAACCTTCGGAGATCTGCTTTCCGAGGAAACCGATGGCCAGCTCTGAGATTCTCCATTCCTGGAAAGCGACTTTTGATGCCCTGAAACTCTGCCCCCAAATGGGAACGGAATTTGCAATCGATCCAGCCGTGATCTGCAAAACAATTAGAACGAGGAGGCGGGAACGGAAACCTGGCTTTCGAGCAGTTGCCTCATCAGATGAAGACGCAGAAGTACAATTCGCCAACTGGATCGGAGCCCTTGTTGGCCCCGTTCAAGCCCCGATGGCGGAGGAGGAAGAAGAGGGGTTTTCTGCCGCCCCCATTGATTGCCCGGAAGCTTTATTAGGAGATGCCGAAGACCGGAAAAGCCGGAAATCCCGAGAAATGTGCGTATTTTTCACATATGCCCTGAAAATATTATTCATTTACAATTATCCTGGATATTACCAAATTAAGAAATATACTCTAAAATACGTTACAATTACACATTAATAACGTCGACCACCTGATAAGTAAGGCTAAAATAAAATTCCATTCACATTAAATCGTATTTATTTTATGCGGAAATGGTAGGTAGTCCTTCATAATCCCAGCTATGGAAGACTCGCATGAGTGTATAGAGTCAACGTTGACAATGGGCAGGAGTCAACGTTGAAAAATGGAAGACCCACATGAGTGTATAGAGTCATCGTTGACAATGGGCCGGAGTCAACGCGTATGGAAGGCCCAAGGGGATTATTTTCTTCTTGGGTGAAGAAAGTCAGAGACTCCAGATGCAGCAAGACCGAGGACTCTCCTTTGCATGAGATCTCACGAGACCATTCCCTCTCTCCAAAGCCATGTAGAGTCAGAAACACCAACGCTGGGATCTCTCTCTCTCTCTCTCTCTCTCTCTCGCCCTGGTTCACCTCGGCCGTGGCCGGTGACCTCAAGCAATCTGAGGGCCAACTCTGGCGAGTCTCACAGTGTAGCCATCCGAGTGACTCTGGCGGCAACAAAAGAGCGGACGGCAATCCGGCGGCGGCGCCGGGCAAACGTGACCTCAGAGGCACGGCGCCAGAGCTCATGCGTTCGTCGTGGAGGAGATGGAGCCTACGCCTTGTCTTACCGTGCAAGCGATTGATTGCGTTAAGACACGCAACGATAGAGATGGAGATTAGGCTCGGCGCCAAGCCTGAGAGAGGGGAGAAGATGTGTCAATGCCTGAGAAAGAGTCATCTCTCTCTCTCTCTCTCCCCCTCTCTTTTCCGTGCGTGTGGACGTTAGGCAAGCATGAACCAGAACATCCTCAGAGTTGGACTTCTTACAGCCTGGTTAGGGTTACGGGTCCTTGTCTGGTCATCGTAATGGTCTGAGTCCGGCGTGGGCCTCAAGAAGAGTGGGAGCGAATTTTTTGTTCAGGTACATGGGTTTACATTAATATACTAAGGAAATGATTCTTCATGATGTGATCAAGGTCAATGAGTGTTTTCACTAGTTATTGATCATTTGATGAGAGACAACGAGAAATCGGCTTCGGGCTTCCGGAAACTGGTCTCCTATTGTGTGCTCGCTCTTCCTAACAAGATTTAATGCAGGGAACTCTCTCCCCTTCTCTCTCTCTCTCTCTCTCTCGCTCTGTCTGTCTGTCTGTCTCTCTCTCTCTGCACGTAGCCTCGCCTACAGAAGGGACTCAAAGAAGCCCCCCCACCCAGGCCACACGTGTGATAGTCGGCGCATCTATCCACGCGCCTGTCTTCTTTTTTTCCAGTTCTCACTTATTCCCACTATCATCATCTCTCTCTCTCTCTCTCTCTCTCTCTACTTTCTCCCTGTAAAGAGACCAGCTCTTCCCGCGTGGTCGCCACCTTCGGTTGTTCCTTCTCCGTCTTCTTTATCTCCCTTCCTCCTTCCCTCTCCTTCTTCCTCTCCCTAACGAACTCGATTACGCTACAGAATGGCCTCTTCCTTCGGTTGTTTCTTCTTCTTCTTCTTCGTCCCCCTGCTCTTGGGTCACTCGGCCTTCGCAGCCAGATTCGGAGGAGGGGGAAGACGGCGGCTCCTCCCCGCCGCCACCGAGGTCGCCGGAGTTTGCGCGTCGCTGGTTGTCCCCAGTGGCTATAAATGCGAGGAGTTCGACGTGGGCTTTCCATATTTTCCCTTCGTTCTTCCTTCATCTCTCTACGCCTTCCCTTACGCTTGTTGATCGCTACTACCATTCTCGGACTGTCTCACAGGTGACGACCCAAGATGGGTACATACTCAGGTTGCAGAGGATCCCGGCTGGTCGCGATGGCGGCGGCGCCCCCACCGCTGGCCGCCGGAGGCGGCCGGTTCTCCTCCAGCACGGCGTCTTGGCGGTGCGGACGTAATACGTGCATAAATTATCTTTCAAAGAATTAGATATCTTCAGGGAAGATAAATATTTAACAGATTGGATGGAATCAATAAAGTGGGTCGCATAATGTTGAGGATAATCATAAGATCGTATCTTTTATTCTCCTGTTTTATCGCTGAGTTTTCCTTTTCGTTTTGCCATGCAGGATGGGGTAACGTGGCTGCTGAATTCCCCGGATGAGGCTCTGGCTTACGTACTGGCGGACGCCGGCTTTGACGTCTGGATCGCCAACACCCGAGGAACTCGATGGAGCCGCCGCCACGAGACCCTCCACCCCTCCTCTCGGGTCACCATCTCCCCTCCCTCTCTCTCTATTCCTCTCTCTCTCTCTCTCTCTCTCTCTCTCTCTTTCTCGCTGAGGTCAATCTATGGAACAGGCGTTTTGGGCGTGGTCATGGGACGAGCTGGTTGCGTATGACCTCCCAGCCACTGTTGACTTCGTGTACCAGAGAACAGGGCAGAAGCTTGACTACGTTGGCCACTCGCTGGTACAGTAATCGCATTTATTCTCTCCCGTCTGCGCCGCTGGCGAAGTTGCTGAAGCTCTCGGCGGCGACCGCCGCTGTTGTAGGGTACGCTCACGGCGATGGCGTCTTTCTCCGAGGGACGGCTGGTGGACAAGCTGAGGTCCGCCGCCTTGCTGAGCCCCATCGCTTTCTTGAGCCACATGACGACCACACTGGGGATCCTCGCAGCCAGATCCTTTCTCGGAGAGGTAGGCCTCGTTATATAATCTTCTCATCTTCTGAGTCTTGAGAACGATAGAGCTCAGTAGTGAGAAGGTAGATCTTCTGAATTGAGTGAGTATATGAGTCAGAGTAACGATTTCATTTTGCATGGAGATCATTATATTCCATCTCTCTCTCTTTCTCCCTCTTTCTTTCCCTCCCTCTCTCTCTCCCTCCGTCTCCCTGTCTCCCTCTCCCTCTCTCCTTCCCTCCTCTCTCTCTCACTCTCTCTTTCTCTCTCTCTTTCTCTCTCTCTCTTCACCCCCCACTCTCCCTAACCATGGCCTTTCCCCTTCGTCCAATGGCCTGTGTTGTTAATTCCCTGCTCCAAATTATATCACTGTTTGGGGTGGCAGCTGATTGCCACCCGTTTGTAATATAATATACCATTAATTATTATATTTTAAGTAATATGATTTTTTTTTCAATAAACTCATAAATTTAATGCCTTCATATTGCACCCTACTTTGCTCTTGTACAGATATACACATGGTTGGGCATCGCAGAGTTTGACCCGACTGGGTACGACCCTCAGCTACCTACTATTTTGGGAATATAATATTGTCAACCTAAGTTCGTGGGTTTTTATTGGCCTATAAATAGGGTTGCAGTGAGGTATCTTATGAAGAAACTTTGCCAGAATCCAACGCTCAATTGCTACGATCTGATGACGGCCTTCACTGGTAATCATGACTACCGTTTGACCCAATTCCCAGCCACGCATATAACTCTGTTCATCCCATAATGAGTACTATTTTTAGAAGTCAACGCGGCCATCCTAGAGAATTCAACCCCAGCTCTTATGGAATAAACCTGTACATATCTTTGTGATGAAATAGGCAAGGAATTAATTTTGTCATGTACCTCATAATTGATTAATCGGTTATAGTCTTAAAAGTCAACGTCGGCCATCTTTGAGAATTCAACCGCGGCTATTCATCTCATTAGCTAGGGAATAAACCTCGCGCTATTTTATACGTATATATCTTTGTGCCGAAACATGCAAGACGTTGACTTTAAATATGTTGTGATCTTAAGCTAATTTTATCGAGTTATATGGCCGTGTACTTGCCTGTTCAGGAATGAACTGCTGCCTAAACGAGTCAACGGTAGAGCTCTACCTGGAGTACGAGCCGCAGTCAACGTCAACGAAGAACATGGTTCATCTAGCTCAGAGTGAGTGACTCTCCTCTTCCTCCACTACCACCGCCGCCGCCGCCGCCGCCGCCCCTCATTTATCTAACGGTGGGTTGTCTACAAGCTTGCAGCTTTCCGGGACGGCGCGCTGACAAAGTTTGACTACGGCGGCGGCGAGGCCAACATGCGGCGGTACGGCCGGCGGTCGCCGCCGGCGTATAACCTTTCCAACATTCCCGGAGAGCTCCCCATCTTTCTCAGCTACGGCGGAAGGGACAGGCTCTCCAACACCGATGACGTGAGCCTTCTCCTCGCCGCCCTCAGGGCCCGCGGCGGCGGCGGGCGGCTCACTGTCCAGTTTGTGGCTGACTTCGCCCACGCTGACTTCGTCATGGGGACTACCGCCAGGCGGGTCGTGTATGACGCCGTCGTGGCCTTCTTCCGCCGCCAGCTGTGAGGAGGATGAGCCCTTCTTGTCTGCGTTGACTCTACCTCTCTGAAATGAATCCTCCCGGGAGCTATGGTTGGCTGAGGCCAGCCACTCGTATCCGATCGATGTAGTGAGGAAGGCGGTGCACAAATGTTGAGGGTTTGCAGGTTGACAATTGAAACCTGGTCAGAGAGAGAGAGAGAAAGAGAGAGAGAGGGAGAGAGAGAGGGAGAGAGAGAGGGAGAGAGAGAGGGAGAGGGAGAGAGAGTAGTTGGAGATTCCTAGGTTCCAAATAATTGGCTTTGAGAGTCAAGGCTATTTTATTTCAAAGTTTAGATTAAGCGTGTTACAGGATTGACAATATCCAATCGGTTGACTAAATGATGACGGGAGTCATGGTGACGTCAAACGTCACTTCAAACATTCTCGGTAGTAACGGTTTCTTCGATATTACGGAAAAGTCCCCGTTGACAAGTATAATTTTCAAAATAACACCCCCCCTTTCACCCCTACAGCTTCTCTCCTTGCCCTTCTTCCTCCGGCAAGTGCTGGCGCCTCTCACTCAGAAGGTCTCTTCCCAATCCCTAGCCAGGGCAGATCCGAATGCCTCCGCCTTGATCCCCAATTCTTCTCTCCGACGGCCACTCAACGTGCGGGAGATGGCGGGCGGAGGCAGAAGCTCCGCACGGAACAGAGTCAAATCCTCCTCCATGGAGGGGTCCGAGGTCGATCCTCTTCTCCGGGATGGGAAGCCCAAGCAGATGCCTCGGAAGGTCAAGAAAGGCGACCAAGGATTCATACACTTCATAGGCGCCAATCTCAAGGCTCTCCTGTTCTTTTCGCTGGGTTTGGCCGGCCTCACGGCGATTGCTTCCGTTTTCTATTACTACGTCTTGATACCGAGAAGTGACATGGTTCATGATCGTCAGCTGATGAGAGTAGCCGTGCCGTTGGCTGCCCCAAGGATGATGGATCTCCCTCAGGTCGCGAGACACTCACAGAGTCGTACTGAGACTTAGAATTCCACTCTCTCTCTCTATTTTCTCATTTGGATAACTGCAAGCTGCCTCAGAAATATAAGGACGATGTTTTTTGCAGTTCCAAGGCGAGCACAGGGAGAGCCTGTACTGGGGCACTTACCGCCCTCACGTATACTTTGGCATCCGCGCGAGGTAGCCTATTGATAAATTTCATTGAAATCCTTTCCTTCTGCGCATTCTCCCACCACCTTGTAAAGTTGTTTCCTCTTGTTCTGGTCGTGCTTGACCTTTCAGGACGCCGAGATCATTACTTGGGGGGCTGATGTGGCTCGGGATGAAAAATGGTCAATTTTTTCCACGGCATTTTTGCCAAGATTCTGATGATCTTAAAAGATATGGATGGATAGATCACAATGGCAGGGACTATGGACGTCAAGAGCTCGTCGATCGTGGACTGAAGTTGGTGACTAGTTTCATAAAAATGAAAGGAGATGGCAGTGGGTATGGAGGAGACTGGGCTGTTAGGGTTGAAGCAGACAATGAGAAGTAAATTCTTGATTCGATCGTCTTATTTGTATTTATTAATTTTATTTTTTAAGTTCTGATTTCAAATTCCGCAGTTCTGACCCCAGTCTTAATTAATTCTTCTAGTTTTTTTATTTCTTTCGATTTATCACCCGCCATATTGTATTTTTCACTGGGACATGTAGGGTGCTTAGCATTAAAGTCTGTGATTTCCTGATGGACTAGTTTCTAGCATTCTTATGAAATGAACATCTGAATTCGTTGGTTGCTCATACTCATCTCCCTTCATTTTCTTTTGGTCCTTTTCAGGTCTTCTTCGGACGATGTGGAATGGGGAACTGCCCATCTTTTTTTCTACCTTGCTGATGAAGCAGGGAATCCCTTAAGCACAGGCCAAGAGGGCTTCACATTTAGTGATCAAATGCTCTTGACCTCTGGTTCCCGAAAGGATGTAGGTGGTTGGGAACTTCGTCTATCGTCAAAGGTGCAGACTATCGAACAACTCGCAGATAATGAAATATGCTTTATTTAATCTCAGTGGGTAACAGTTAGCTATTTCTCCTGCATGCTATTGGCTATATATACCGATTGGTGTATGCAAACTACTTAGTGAGCAAAATTTTAGAAGGGAGAATAGCATTTCAGATCTGGTTGACGGTGTGATTTCTGACAGAAGAGAATGTGAAAGACGAAAGGACCATTTGATTTGTTCAGACCGTCCTGATGTTGACAAAGTGATATCAAAGTGTATGTCCAACAAAGTGACGGCAGCTCATGCCCTTCCCAAGTTTAAAAATAATTTTCTCAAGATAATTTATATTTTATCAGAGGGAAATAGATAGCTACAGAGTCGATAAAATGTTTGAAAATAGGATATGGATCCGAAAAACGGCTCTGGATTCATGCCAGTGGCGCGACAGGCTCCTTTGCATTCTTCTGTGGAATAGTATTTGACGTGGGCCATTCTGGAATTGAGAAGCGTGAGATTGAGAATTTCCTGATGATCTCTCCAAAGAACTTCACCTTGCCAGATAATTTATTGACAATTCCTCACTCTTAGGGTACCATGAATATACATTTCTTTCTTTCCCCTGATTTTCAATTTTGCATTTGTGACCTCTTTGTGTGAACTCTTGATGGGGAAAGTAAATCTTAAATGCTCTGTAATGACATTTTATTTTTATTCATTCCTTTGGTACTTCACTCATACTGTGGATCCTGGAGGGTATACACGGTAGCCCTATCAAAGGAAGAAAAAGCAAAGTTAACGCACCTTAAAAATTATCTTTAATTTAATCTAACATTGAAGTTCGAAGAAGGATAGCAGTATCCAAGTTTTTTGTTCCTCGTCTTCGAAAAAAATTTCTGTCATAACTAGGAGATATGGATAGATTGAGCAACACTAGGCAGGGTGATAGAAATTGGTAGAGATATTTGGTTAAGTTAATATTTGGATGTAATAAAACAGGCCTATCTCTATAAGCCACCTCCACAATTAAAATATTAACTCAAAGAGAGAGGGCATCACAAGTGTCTCCCGGTTTAACTTTTGGATATTTGTGTTCTAGGGAATCCTTTGCAAGGTGCCCAAACATTGAGTGCGAAGCAGGCCACCCCTTAATTATTTATTACTTTCAGACTTGCATTTCCGATGTAATCCAATTTTTTCTCTATTTATATTTATTTTTAAAGGTTTTATCGACTATTTTTGGGTTCAAATTATTTATTTGAATGAGGTTCCTGCAAGCCTCAAGTTTATTCCTTTAATATTGTTCCTGGTTTAGTTCAAAATGACCGAAACGACTAGTTGTTTGACGTCATCCCCTGGCAATGGAGATGTAATCTTTTCAAAAGAAAATATTTTTTTCAATTAGTGTAGCTACATGAATGTTCTATTATGGGTTAATTCCCTTGGAAGTTTCTCTTGGAAATGAGTGTTAACACTCGATTAGTTTGGGCTTAAATAAGCTCAATGTCCTTCAATTCAAACTTCACTGCTAATTATTCTCTCAACTGGATAATATAGTTCGCTGATCTCAGTAACATACTACGGCCTTCTCTTCCCAAGGATCCGGTTATAGATGTTTGAGGATGCAGGATATTAGGCCAAGGTTGTGATTTGAAAGGGAACTCATTGTTGTCACCATCTAAAGGATTGGCTCAAGAACACTTTTAACCGCACAAAAAAAATCGCATATTTTTTCAACATAACTCAAACAGCAAAATTTCTCAGTATAGGAATTAGTCTTATTGCAATAATATTTTCTAGAATGCTGTAACACATTCTTCAAGATATTGAAAATGAGTAAGTCATTAACAGTTAACTATCCTCGACAAAAAATCAGAGGGCAGAGTAATGTATAGGGAAACACTTTTCATTTGATTGAAGTTTAATTGTTTGAAGCCTAAATGTTGAAAATTTTGGGAATTATACTTTGCTCTTAGAATTTTTACGAACGAATTTTTGCTAATATATTCTCCATTAGGAACGGTTTATAATTCGTTGTAAAGGTTTTTGCAGTCGATAGTGTGAAGAATAATTGATAGTGAATAGGCTCAAATTCCAAAAAATCGACAATGGGACTATGGATCATGCAGAATTGGTTGTGTTGCTATTCCTGCCATATTCTTTAATGCTCCTGCCTACTGTTGGAAAATGCTTGTGGTATGTTTGCTTGTAACTTGTTGTGTACATAGAATGATTGTATACACACTAACATCTCAGGATAGATATGGAATTTCCAGTAATCCAGTGGTTCTCTGGCAATGGTGTTCAATGATTTAAATGAATTACATTAGGCTATCATTAACCCCTTAAAGATACATCTTGTCTATTTAATTTTTCAGTTAAGCTATATTTACCTCTTTTTGCAGGATAGCCTGGAAACCCATTTTTCTGGGTTTAGAACTCCTCACATCCACAATTTAACTGAACTGCTGATTACTGCGCTCTCATTCAATGTGAGTAAGATTGGAATAAATTAGAAAATGTTTGTGAAGACAATTGAGTTATCATAACAGATACTCTGTTCTTCATTGTGCTACCATTGAAGCATTTTTTCTTACATATAGGCCTTCTTTTCGGTTTAACTTACAGGCACAAAGAATAGGAAAGTTGGAGCTACCTGATGCGGCTGAAAAGTTTTCAAATATTTTATTATTTCAGGTAATTTTCTTACCAACTATAATAAAGAAAGTTACCTTTGTTTATCTTAGAAATAAAACTATGCATGAAGTGAAGACCTTGTGATCAAATTGGCTCGTTCTTTCTATGTTGTAAATCCTTTCAATGAGAAATTTCGGTAGTTATGCGGAATAATCCTGTCTTGGTTAGAAATAAACCTGTGATTACAAGGATGGACCATTGCATTCATTATCGCTTGATTTTGAGTTTTCTGCCCTGATATTTTTAGTATGGTATAGAATGGATGGTTCCTCTTGAACCTGTCCATCATATGATAAAGCTCAAAATTCAGTCCCCATGTTAGGAAACGTGTTATGATGGTTCCCTGTTAATTAATACAGGATGTATTACTTTTGAATTAGGTCATTCAATAACTTTGATAACCTCCACTTAAGATTGCCTCACCATAACCTGAATTTTTTAGATAATCCTCTTTACTTCTTTGCAGATATCTGCGAAGCTGCCTTTCAAGTTTGATGTCGCTTTTGTATCTGGGACTGATTTGAAGGACTCAAAAGTTGAAGAACGCATTGAAAGCCTCACAGGTATTGTGAGCGATAATTGGCTTGCTTGTGATTCTGACACAACTTGGATGTAATGCCAGGCTGGGTAGATTTTTGTCTTCAGACACAAGATTTCTTGTCATTTACGCACTTGCTTCTACATATTTACATTATTCCATAGCATTTTCTCAGTTTGAGGTCGCCGACTGAGCGCTGATGAGTTTATCAATCCTCGGACTTTGAAAGTTGACCCCCTTTGGAATGGCAGATCAGCAATTATTGTGGCTGGATTACATAAAAGGGTAGTTAGATCTTTGTGAATTGATACGAATCATACTTAATTTTCAGTTCACAGAAATTCCAGTACATCATTTAATGTCACTTTATTTCTGCCTTTCGAGGGTTAAGAAACATTTAGTGCTGGTGAGAGCGATGAGGTTCTTGCCAATTTCTTGGCCCACCTAATCCTAGGTACCTGTGCTTGCAGGCTTTTCCATAGATCTGACTTGATTCTGGTGGATGACCAATTTTATTCGGAGGAGAAAAGGCATCTATGAAAAACAAGGATAGAGGGGGGAAAACAAAAATGATGAAGAAGAACATGCGGGCTGGAAATAGTTATATTTATGCAAAGTGTTTCATAAAGAGTTGCTTAAAAAAGCTCTCCAACAGTACGAATGTTATATTTCGTTTCTCTTTATAACTAAATTTCACACATTATTGGATTTTATTACAAATTTTACTTTTTAAAGACGTTTTGAAGGTATGCTATCCGATTTAGTTCCTAGGTTTCTGAGTCGGCCAACGTTGGTCTATTTTAACGAGTCCTCCTCTCTTGGTTTTCCTGTCTCTTTTGACCACTTTCAAGGACTTGAGATTAGTCTTTGACATGTGGATCGTTTGTTAGAGAAGGGGTATAGATGTGATTTCAATGTTTACTTACATTGATCTCAGACTCGTACTAGTACTTTAGTTTATATCCATCTCAGAAATGATTTGAACATTCAAGCTTCTCTCGGAATTCTCGGACCTATTTAGAATTTAATCCCACAAGTCTGAAAAGTAAAGTCTGTAGATTTAGATTGAGATAGAAGGGGCCAAATTTTGCTTTGGTCTATCCTTCATCAAGTAAATCTACTTATTTAATCTATGCGAAACTTTTTTCCATGTTTCACTCATTCGCAATGAAATTGATTAGAAGTTATATTTGCGGGTGTAAATGTTTGAAAAGAGGAAATTAACGTGAGGCAATGACCTTGGGCTGATTGCATGTGTGAAGGTACACGACCGCTTTTTCGTGACATGATAATGTATAGGCTTTTAGTGGCTCCCTGATCCATAATTTTAGAGATTATTTTGATTTTCTATTTTTTCATTTCAAGTGTCTAAATTTCCAGCCTAAATCTTTCGTGTTGATAATTTTTTTTAATTATTCACAGGGACAACATTGTCTGATCGATTGAATGAGAGACAAAAGGACTTTGAGGAAAGGTACACCAGTTCCTTCAATCTGGAAAACAAGGTACTCATTTTGATGAAATTGTACTTATTTTGGTGAAATTTCTTTAAGAAGTTTGGTACAGAAAAATGTTGTTCCGTCCATAATCTTCTAAATGATGAGCAAATGTATAGAATATTATGTTCAAATCCTAAAAAATCCATAATTAAGAAATAATATATTAGTTATCAAATTCCAGTGATGGAGATAAGAAGCAAAACAATGTCAAGGCCAAGAGGCGTCATATATGCATTATACGTGAGTTTAGCTCGATCTTTATCACCACATTGTTTGGAATCTACCTTGAATGAATCTGATGTCTTTTTTTTTGGGTATGAAAATTGAGGTTTTTTCCCCTTCCATTGCGTTTGAACAAAGTTTTCCCTCCAAAAATTTGGAGAATACACATCGGTGAATCTAGAAATCCTGACATGTTCAACCTCCAGCGGTACACAACATCACTGAATTCATAATATTTTTCTGGTTCAGTTTGATGCGGAGTCCACTCTCGTGGGTAAGACAGCCATTGCAAACCTTCTTGGGGGCATTGGCTACTTCTATGGGCGGTCAAAGATTGCACTTCCAAGAGGCTCGACTGTAAGTCGGTGACATCACTGCAGTTAAATCGTTGGTGCGTTTGCCCAGTACAATTAAATTTCTCTGTTCCTTTCTTTTCCAGCTTAAGAATGGAGATACTTTTGCCCCTTACTGGCCATCTGCGCTATTCACTGCGGTTCCGAGCCGATCTTTCTTTCCCAGAGGTTTCCTATGGGACGAGGGCTTTCACCAGTTGCTTATTCGGTCAGTTGTCGGCTCATCGCTTTGCCATTAATCGTTCGATGGACTTCTCCTGCAAGCTCATGTAGCTAGTTATGTGATGATATGCATGTTTCCTGCACCAGGCGTTGGGATATTGGTCTTTGCTTGGATATTATTGGGCACTGGCTGGATCTCATTAACGAGGATGGATGGATTCCTCGGGAGCAAATCTTGGGGGCTGAAGCTTTAAGGTGGCGCCACAACTTTCCTTCCTCTGATGATCATCTAAGTGAAGTATGAAAGATAAATTGTTCTTCTCACTTGATGCAGCAAGGTCCCGCAAGAATTTGTGCTCCAGCATCCAACAAATGGGAATCCGCCAACTCTGTTTCTTGTCATACGCGGTAATTAGCTTCACTGGGTCACTTTTGTTTATCAGTTCTATCTGTGGTGAGGAGTCCTCTTGAAGGTTGTTTCTCGGAGGGCAGGCTGTGGCCTAGTTTTCTATGGTTCTCTGGATCCTCTCTCTCTCCCTCTCTCTCTCTCTCTCTCTCTCTCCCCTTTGGAATGATCCGCAGCTGTCCATAGTTCTTGCTGCAAATCCTCTGCCTAATTGGTCAAAATCTGAATTCTTCAGAACTCGTGAAGGGCATAAAAGGCAACAAATTCTCTGCTCCTCAGACGAAGGAAATTTCTGCATTCTTGGAACGAGCTTTCGTCCGCTTGGAGGCATGGACACGATGGTTCAATAAAACTCAATCGGGTATGGCCAAGTCCGTGACAATATCTTCTGCTCTCTTTCATAACTTGCATATATATCTGCGATTTTATTATTATTATCGTTATTATTTTACTGAGCTTGATGATCCTCACAGTTTCAGAGGAATCTCCTTGGGACATCTAAAATTCTGTTAAACACAGAGCAAGTCCTCTCCTTACTTGTTGGGGTTTAGGATTTAGGGTTTAGGTTCATGGTAATTAGAGGTCAAATTAGTCACTTGAGTAGGCCTTCTAGATCGTACTGCTTGATTGCAAAGTATCGGGCATCTTCCCCTCACTGGGTCTCCACGTTGCTTGTTATATTTTTTTTATGATGAACTGTAGGCATCATCTTGTCATGTTCTTGTCGTCAAGTTCATGCTGTAACAACTGTAAAAAAAAATTAGGGGCAGATCAGATGGCAGCCACAATTTATGATGCTGGGCTCAATCTGAATCACACAAGTCCGATTTTCTCTGGGAGATTCCAAAATCCATGTAGTTCCCAGTTTCTTGGAATCAGATCAGGTAACAAGATCCTGATGTTGGTAACATTGATCAGGAAGCTGTTGATTCTGGAGAACTTTTTCCACCGGTTCAAATCCAAGTGAGTCATTCTGCAGTTGGACGCAAGCAGATTACATAAGTCAACGGGCATTAGAAAAAACATGTATATAAAAGAGAAAAGATTGAAAATTTTACCTTGTCCCTGTGTTCTTGTCATTAATGGCGTGCTCTCAACTCCAAGGTTTCTCTCTCTACCATGAAATGATTTCAGGAAAGGATCCGTACTCCTATTATTGGCATGGGCGAGACAACGTTACGACCAGGGAGTTGAATCCAAAGGTTATTTCTCACCATCCCCGTGAAAAATCTGCCTAAAGATCGATCAATGGGGCATCGAGATTTTTGGCTCATCTCGTTTTTAATTTATTTTCTTACTTATTAACTGTTCTAAGCTTGCTTTTTTCAGACATTATCATCTGGATTAGACGATTATCCTCGGGCATCCCACCCGGACGATCACGAGCGCCACGTGGACCTGAGATGCTGGATGCTTCTTGCTGCAGAATGCATGCATTCCATCGCCGAGCTTCTTCAGACTGAAAATCAGCAGGTGCCCATGATTCTTAATCTCTGCAAGTTCCATTCTTTTCTGGTCGATCGACCTCCTCCTCCTTCTCTGAGCAGTCTCTGGCGGCCAAACTCAGGTTTATCGGGAGATGCTGCAGCAACTCTCTGACTTTGAGTTGCTGAATCAGGTACGTTGTTCTTCCTCCTCCCGCTGACCTTTTCACTGTCAGAAGTTCGCATCCCTCTGCTTTAAATCTCCAGATCACTATTGATCTCTCTCTCTCTCTCTCTCTCTCTCTCTCTCTCTCTCTACCACTGCAGATGCATCTTGACGATGCAACCGGGGCGTACTTCAATTTTGGTAACCACACCGAGAAGGTGAGAGCTTTTTATGCAGAATTCTGTTAATCTAGCGGGTCAATTCGACGGATTTGCAGAGAATTCACCACAATTCTTGTTTTTTTTTTTTCTGTGTTCTTGTTCAATCTGAGAGCAAAACTGAGAGGGAAATCTTCTGCCCTGTTCTCTGTTTGATCTGCGCAGGTACGCCTCAAGTGGTTCATGGAGATGCGGGGAGAAATCCGAACCCAAGAACTCCGAAGAGAAGTCTTAGAGACCCCCCGCCTGCAACTCGTTCCCCACGTCGGGTACGTCAGCCTCTTCCCCTTCATGATGGGCATCATCCCTCCGGTGAGTCTCCCTGGCCACCTTTCCCAAACCCTAGAAATCGAGCTCTTCTTCTTCTTCTTCTTCTTCTTCCTCTTCCTCTTCTGCTCAGACGGGGCTGATGGGCATCATCCTCAGGGATCGGAGATCCTCGGGAAGCAGCTCGAGCTCATCTACAACCGCACCAGCTTGTGGACAGACTACGGCCTCCGTTCACTCGCCAGAACCAGGTGATCCTCCTTCCATGGCAGGAAGATCTCACGGCAAGAAATATCTCCCAATCGAGAGATTCTCTGTTGCTCATCAACTGCGGAACCCATTGTTGCAGCTCGATGTTCATGAAGCGGAACACAGAGCACGACCCGCCCTACTGGCGGGGCCCCGTCTGGATGAACATGAACTACATGGCCCTCTCTGCGCTCCACCATTACTCCCAAGGTACAAAGGAAAAACCCTAACCCTACAGAGGTGACGAAACCCTAATCTTCTTCTTCTTCTTCTCTCAGAGGATGGGCCATATAAGGACAAGGCGAGGACCATATATGACGAGCTCCGGGGGAACTTAATCAGGTCAGCGAGAGATCCTTCTTCCCAGCTTCGTATCTCCATGGCCGTCGATCTCTTCACGGCTTTGATCTTCTTCTTCTTCTTTGTTGCAGAAACATCGTTCAGAACTACAACAAGACTGGATTCCTCTGGGAGCAGTACGACCCCAAGAACAAGGGAAAGGGCAAGGGGGCGCGGCCGTTCACCGGCTGGACGAGCCTCGTTCTTCTGATGATGGCGGAAACCTACCCAGATCTTTAGTCCTCGCCCAGATCTGATGGACTTCTAAAAAGGGCAATGCTGATGTTCTTCCCAAAGTACTGGAGGATTCTGACGAGACCTCAGCTTCCACTTATGGTAACATTATGTTTGAAGACACACAGCAAAATGGGTAGGCAACCTGATAGAGAAATGATGGCAGTGACCCAGGAAGCTGATCGCCTCATAAAGATATTTGTTTCAGATAAAAAGATGATTTTTTTCAAGCACATGACCCACAATCCAGCATCGACCCTTTGTACCTCTTTGTGGCAAGGCAAGAACCATATCTGCTAATTAAATTTCTATACATTCCTGAAGCGCTAAGATCGACGCGTAGGGGATCTTCTACTGGTTCTCTCTCTCTCTTTCTCCCTTTCTCTCTCATGTTCTTACAGCGAGTTGGTTCATCCTCTGAAAAGACGAGTTCTTCCAAGGTGAGTAGGGGTGCCCGCCAGCATTATTTTCCACGCGATGTCCCTCCTTTTGGAGCTCCTCTCCGAATCACAATGCGGCGGCGACCAGAAACGTCCGGATGCGCTGCAGCAACTCCGCCTTTATCGTGTCTGGGACCGACGCTGCATCAAGAAAACAACCCATCTACCGCTGTTACTACCACTGGATGAATATATATATATATACAGATAGAGAGAGAGAGAGAGAGAGAGAGAGAGAGAGAGAGAGAGAGAGAGAGAGAGAGAGAGAGAGAGAGAGTTGGGCAAAGAGTGGGGAAGGAAGAGTTCTAGGTACGGGGTACTTGGTTTTCTTGGTGACCATAATCAGCCGAAGGTGGACATAACGTAAATCTCCAAGAATCACAGTGGAAAAACATTCAACAAAATTTTTAGAGCAAGCAAAGAAGGATGAAAGCATGAACTTACAGCACTTGTAGGAAATAATTATTTTTTTTTATAGCTGTAGACATTCATGACTGTTGTAGGGTGGCATTCAGGCTATCACAGGATCTGTGGCATGGGTAATTACAACAAACCAAACGATGATAATTTATTTATCAGGGTACTTTTTTAATTTTCGCACTGTAGAATTTGATTCCATTAATAGAATGATCTAGTAGAAAGAAAGTTACAACTCCGACATCAAACATCCAAAAGAAGGCTTTCAGCAGTTATCACATGCCAATCCAGGACTTGGGATTTCCGGTTCCTACATTATTGACACCCAAATTGGGGAATACATATATAAGGGAGAGTTTTGATATATATATATATATACCACTGAACTGTTATCAATAGATGCTACAAAGATTGAGAAACGAGGGCATCCATATGCACCCAGATTCATCATTAAACATTATGGAAACAAACATTAGATATGAGACCCGAACCTATACATGGTATAAAAATAATCTTCAAGGTTGACTACATCTGAACAAGAGGGGGTACGGCCGAAAATTTATCCAAAGGAGGGTAAGAGTAGCTAATATGGTATTCTTGTAGGAACTTGGAAATTTTAAACTCCCAACTTTACACATGTTTCATTCCGAATAATTGACTATAAGTGACAATTGCATGTGTCTAGGCTGTTTCTGCCTCATTCTTATGATGCACACCATGCAGCCATTCACCTGACACCACGTATTTCCACAGTTAATAATGATGATGATTTTTTTTTTCCAAATATACTTCAATTAAATTTTTTCACGGAGAGCCAGGATAAAATAAAAAAAAAGACATGAAAGAGAGACAAATAACTATAAATTTTTCAAAAATACCAACTGCTACCCTTTTTCTACAAACAATTTGGATAGATAACAAAAGAGGAACTGAGCTGTATGGGTCCATCCCCACCAGTCTCTATGCTATGCTCTCGGAGTGTTAATCTGTACTGTAAACAGTATATATGGTACATAAGAGTGAGGAAGAAGCATAAAAGGTTCACCAACCTCTGCCTTTTGGGGTGATAACATGCACGAGATCATCAACAGTGACATTGTTTCTTCCCTTTTTCCGGGTATAAGCCCTATCAAGAAAATAAAATCACATTATTTAAGAATCAATGTGCCAAAGGCATGCAAGCAAAAAGAAATACACAATTCCTGCATATAATAAAGAAATTTATCCAAAAATAGCCAATCTGTATTCTTAACGACATAAGAAAGATGACAAGAGAACCAGAGTCTAATAAAAAATTCTCCCATTCCATAGACCCCAACTATGAGATAGTGTTTCACTACAGATAAATTATTTTGTAAAACTGATAGAAGAAATATCTATGAGCGTAAATTTTTAATGAAAATAGTAAATAAATTTTATGTTGCGTGGTCCTTGATACAGAAGCACGGAGATAAATCCAAATTTAAATCTTTATAAGGAATAAAGGAGACGTGGATAATGCTCTATGAGAAGTCCCATGGGGAAAAAAAATCCTGGTTCGCTTGTGAAATATCCGATTGATCTGGCAGATCTTTTCCAAGAATTATCTTTAAAAAACAACTATATCTCTGTTGGTCTGAGACACCGGGCTACCAAAAGGAAATCCTATTTTCCAGGATACGCCCAATGGGAAAATAAAAATATCTATATAATTTAGAAGTAAAAATCAGATATGAGCTGGAGAAGAATAATGCAAAGACAGAGGCAAGGATGATAGGAGAGAAGTTACCTGCAAAGGGCCTTCATTTCGTCCCTCCAGCCACATTCAATGAGCCTTTCCCGCAAGAGTTCTTTCAGCTTCTCCTTCTCACCGGTTTCAACCAACTAAACAACAGAGATCAACGCGATCCACATCACTTAGGACACCTCAACAGGCCAACCCTTAATCATTATTTTACAAAAAAATATGCAAACTAAATTATCAGGACGGGTTGATGAAAAACCAATCACAAACGCATTCTCACACTTTTCAGATCAAAATAAATAAGACTCTGTTCAATCCTATTTCAAGTTAATTTCTCACCAATAAAATGAAAGTGGCTCACGACGGCCCCGTACATCTAGAAGAAAGCAATCATCTCCACCACCACTCACATAGGCCCACTCCATTGACTCTCCTCCAAACTGAGAAGTTCTCGGCCTTCAACTTCGTTTACAGGGACAGAAGGGGATCTCGGTCATACGAACCAACCTTTATGTTGATTATCTCCTGCAAAGTCGGCTCCCCCTCGGGGCCGGGCGTCACCGCCGCCGCATCATCCTCGCCGTCCGGCGTCGGAGGCCGCGTGATCGACGCCCTCCTTCACCCGCATCACAAACCCCACAAAATTAATCAACAACGAGATCGAGTTCAGAAACCACCGCAGATGCGGGCCTGCTTCACCGGTCCTGACAGCCGAATACGACGCAGGTGGAAGAAGAACTCCACTCACATGATCCTTCCGAAACCTCCTGTCGCCCCCCGTCCCGCCAGAAGCTTCTCCCCCTCACCGAGCACGCCTGCTGCCTCTCAAGCCTGCGCGAGCTGCTGGGAAGTCCCGGGTATTTATAGATGGAATGGGTTTCTGGTAAAAGACTGTTTCGGATCATTGCGGGCCCAGTTCGGCCCGAAAACAGACCATTTACCCAATAAGAAGAAAGAAAGTAGAATCAGATCACATATTGGGCAGTGGGACTTTCCAAATTCAGTAGAATTCTTATTTTTATTGGGCTAATCTCGGCCCAAATTCAGAGTGGTTTTATTGGGCTGAATCGGGAGAACCAACTAGTGAGGCTCAACCTTATTGGCCCAAAATCGGTGGAAATGCTACCAGGCTTTGGAACATATTTGGGCCCAATTTCTTAAGTCCAACTAGGTCAGATTACAAGCATCTTCTTCTCATCTCCACGAGGTCAGATTTGGACCAATTTCCTAAGCCCAACAACAAGGTCAGATTAAGAGCATCTTCTTCCCATCTCCATGAGGTCAGATTTGGGCCCAATTTCTTAAGTCCAACTAAGTCAGATTACAAGCATCTTCTTCTCATCTCCACGAGGTCAGATTTGGATCAATTTCCTAAGCCCAACAACAAGGTCAGATTACGCGCATCTTCTCATCTCCATTGAGCAGCAACCTTGGAAAGTAGGCAATTGATTGCATGTTTGCTAGAAGGTTGATACGTCAAAAGTTTAACAGAATTAAAATTTTGGGTCTTGAATCCATAGGACACATATTTAAAGTGTGAGATTAATAGAAATCAAGTTATCAATCTAGAACGTAGAATTTTCCTCAGTCTTGAACCCATAATGATCTTTGAATCTACAAGAATCAGAAAATAACTTAGGATCCAAATGAGGTGTTATTTTGAATCCATAAGGATTGTAAGAGGATGAAATAATATGGATCAAGGTGTCCCTAAAGTTATAATATGCTAGCCTTTAAATAGCCCCAAATCAATTATAACTCTCATAGAAAATAAAACATATCACAAAAAAAAAACAATTTTAAATGATCTAATGACTAGATAATTATTAAACTAAAAACTCTAATATGTTTTTATACTTTTATCTAGGTCTAATCTAATTTTGAATATTTCTAGAGTCTTTCATTTTGTGGCCCACACTTCACATTTTAGGAATGCTTGGCCCATTGGTTTTTGACTTTCCTTACTTTGGTGCACATACTTCTATATCAGTCTCTCCTACTAGAGCTAATGTCTATATAAAAGTACATTGATTCAATATATTTAGTTTGATAAGAGTTCAAAATGATTAAAACATAATATATTATACACTCATCATGTTACATCATTACTTTCGAATAATTTTGATATCAATTTAATTCATTTTATTTAGATTGCCACAAGATTTTCTATATATTAACAAATATACTTTGGAAAATGACTATAAATATATTGAATCACTAAAGCTATGATTATAAACATTGAGAGTATGAAAGGTTACTCATGCAGTGAGCAAGCTTTAATATTCATATTTTATTTAAAGGGTTATCATTCTTTCATATTTATTATTTATTACTTTCTCATTGTGGCAATTTTTTTAAATATTAATATTTTTTTATAATAATATATAAAATAATAATTCTACTAGATGAAATCAATCAAATATATACATTCATATGATGGGTCATGAATGCACTTAATGAATTCACATTTAGATATTTGACATCATTATATTTTATTATCTATGAATTCTTATTTATATAAATAAACACATACATAATATCATATTTCTAGTATATTAAAACTAAACTAAAACTCAATCTTATAATCCTTTTAAACTAATTTTATAAGTAATTATGAACATCAAAATTGTATTCATTTAATGCTACAATAATCTTTTCTTTCTTATCATGACAAAACCATGTTACACAAGTCTTGAAGGTTAATTAAATATATTCATAAATATGATATTATGTATATACACAAAACCATATACATAATAGAATATTTCTCATTTAATGTCTTGACTTACATATTAAGAATATTTAATGTGTCTACGTGGAACTATGCATGTCATAAATTCAGATAGTATAACTCAAATTATAAAATTCTAAATGACGTCAAAACATTAAATTCCACCAACTAAAAGTTTGAAACATTTAAGTCAAACATAAATGAACTAGGAATCATCAATTGTTTGCTACTTTTTATAGTTTTACTCCCCCTCTCCTTTGCTTCTTCGTTTCTTTACTTTCCCCATTCTTCTACAAATTTCAAATTTTTGTCATTGAATGACGTAAGTTCCTCTTTGCAAGATGTGTAATCTTTTCCTCTTCTTGTCATCAACAAAAGGACGAAATATTCTTCAAAGTACTATGCATAGGCTCTAGTAATGTTCAGATTTGTAGACTTAGAATATGAATGTTATTTGAGGTTACTTGATCAAAGAAATCAAAGAAAATTGTAGGCAAATGAGATTGGTCCAATAAATTCTTCTTTTCAAATATCAAATTCATAATATCAACGAAGGTGAGTGATACCTATACTTTCATTGGAATAAGAAATTTGTTAATTGACAACAACTAATAAGATACATAAGAAATTGGTTAGTACTAGTCAACTATTCTTCACCATCTAGTAGAGGAAGAAATATCTATGAAGAAATTGAAAAGATATCTTTGTAAATTATTAGCGGAATATAATAGGTCAATGATTATTGGTTATCAACAAAATAGAGTTTAGAGTTCTTTGACCTTATTTAGGAATGTATGACAGATCATCATGATGAATTCCTAGAACATCAATACTAATTTGAGTAGCGATTGAATAGGAATTACTATGTATGTAATCATAGGGCATTGAGAAAAGATATGGTTACATAGAATTTGATTTTTGGGGTTTTTGATTTCTTAACAATCAAAACTTAATCATTCATCAACAAAAATGATCTCATCAAGAATTAGTTTAAAGGTAGATTAGCGATATGTTCAGTGAAATCAACGAGGAGTTATCAACAATCTCACAATGCTAAAATGAATGGTTCGTTTGAGTTTTTCTGTGAGCTGATGTGTTGACTATGAATCTTCATCTAGATTTGAAATGAGAATTTTTCCAAGAATGGATTGATGTCCTAACTAGAAAAATCTAAAAAGATTATTTGAAACTTTTGATGAGCGATAAATAGAGAGATTCAAATTCAAAGAAAAACCATAATTGAAGTTAAATGAAGGGAGGATAAGAAATTTCTGAAAATTAGAGCATGACAATAATAAGAACTAAACATGATTTTTTCTTAAAAAGGGTGATCTCATTTTAAATTTCAAAACATGTCTTAAGGAAGAGGACTTCATGTGAGAGATCAACTTCAAGAAGATGAAAGCTAGTCATGTGTAAGGAGTTTAGTGATTAATTTAAATCCTACAACTTTGAGAAGAAATGATCTTATTCATCCAATTATTATAATCTGACCTTATTTAAAATGTTGGATCAAAATCTAGGTCGTGTATGCATCACTAAATAGATGAATCATTTTATCACCAGATATATATATATTGGTAGAGGGGGAGGGGGGGAGAGAGAGAGAGAGAGGTAGATAGATGAATAGAGGGAAGGACGGAGAGAGGAAGAGATAGAGAGAGAGAGAGAGAGAGAGAGAGAGAGAGAGAGAGAGAGAGAGAGACACACACACACACACATCGTTCATTTAGAATAAGGAAAGGCTGATGAAGAGATAGAGTTCAGTGTTCCCATTCTTATACATAATCTAGCTAATTCCCGCTCACTGGTCTATGCCCAGATTGGTGAATCTTCTGAGGAAATTCCCATTCACCCTTCTCTCATTTGAGATGATCGTAGCGGCAATAGAATGCTCTCTTTGCACTTCCCACACAAAAAGATAGGAAAATTGGGATGTCAAGTTCTCGTGTCGAGGGGAAGCTTTTGTCTAAAGATTTTTGATATTTTGGAAGGCCAGGATAAAGGATAATGAGGATTCTAGAATAAAAAGGAAAAAAATAAAATTCCTCCAACCATTTTCCTTTTGGATGATGACAACACTAACCATGATATCCATAGATCATGTTCAATACTATCATTGTATACTAAATGCACTTAGATATGCTGTAAGTAGTCCATGGCATCCACGTATCATTGTGCTAGATTTTCACAACTCTAGATCAACTGTCAAGTTAAAAATCTGGTAAATACCACAAATCCCTACGATCATTTTCCTTGAGGATGATGATGACAAGTCTTAGGATTGACTAGGATGGGTAGAAGGGTACAACATCATAGATCATGATATCTAAAAATCACATTCAATACTATCACTGTAGTGTTGAATGCACTTGGATATGGTGTAAGTAGTCCATGACATCCACATATCATTATGCTCATGATAATGATTCTTAGATTGGGCCTGATGTGACAGATTTTTTACAATTTATTTCAATCATCACGTTAAAAATATGGTAGCTGTTTTGATAAAATATTTTGACAAATATCAGATAAGATACGATAAAAAATAAAAGTTTGAGAAAGACAGCCGCGCGACGTGGGCGGCGGACCCCCAAACCCGTCTCGGCGGCGGCAGCGGAGGAGCGCGCCAGGCCGCGGGACGCCCTCAGGCGTATAGGGCGGCTGCTCCAGTTCTCGCGGTGGCGACAGGCGAGCAAGGCGACCTTCCCGGGGCCGCCGCCGCCGCCGAGGGCCGTCAAATTGGCGGAGGGTAGCGGCGGCGCCGCAGACGACCTCCAGCGAGCCCATCAGCTTTCCAGGGCCACATTCTTCTAGTTTTTTTTTTTGGCAGGTAACTAAGCTCTAAAAATTCACTTAAAACGATTTACATATATATACATGCACATAATATAAGATCTCCATCTGCCTGTCTACTGTAAGGGGAAGGATTCATTGGAATGGCATCCCACTTAAATGATGATTTGACCGCTGTAATTCGAATATGGAAGAAGCCTGCTCTACTCTACTCGACGGGTCAACTCCTTTTCGAGGCACCGGGGAGTACACACAAGTTGACTTAAATTGGTATGATCGCATGAGTCAATCGTCGCAACTATTTGAAAACTAAATGCCCAGTAAAAAAAATAAAAAATAAAAAAAGAAAAAAAGAAAAAATGCCCATATCTCTTAAGTCTGAAACAATCTCCTCTTAATGGATATGGCTCCTATTTTCCACGAAGAATCAACACTTCACAACTTTGTTTGAAAACTCGTCAAAATTATCATTATGTATAAATAGTTAAAATCGTATAAACTTACTCAAATATAAAACTAGATGTCTAAATATATCTAAATTAGGCGGGTCTATCGAAAACAAGGTCCGGGTTAATCTGGGATTAGCCCGAGTTGGACCGATTCAGATCACAGCCGTCTTGTCTTGCCGTCGTAGACATTTTTGGTTTTGGGCTTGGCCTGGAGCCTGTTTCGTCGGGCTTTCCTAGGCCCATGATGACCAGGCCCAATAGAATATGCCCAGATGTCTTTAAAATAATAGTAAAACAAACACAATCCAATCCACATGAAAGTCAACTACATTCCGATTAAAAAGGGCAGAAAAAGGAAGTAATCCAAGCACTAGAGGAGATCCAAAAGACATCTAATTTAAGTTCTAAAGGGAGGAGCAAAAACCTTAAAGAGCTAGCTAATCTGACTCGACATCAGCATCTGGCACTCTCTTGTTAAGCCTGTAACATGGGAACGAATTAAGTGAGAACAAACATGGGATTGGAGGATGATGTAAAGTGCTGAAGAACATGCATACTTTTGACCAAATGTGAACAATGAGGCATGGTTGATGTAGGACAAACTATGTAATGTTGAAGATTCTACACTGCTTGAGTTCATGGGTATGCTCTAATCTTTTAAGATGATCATGGATATAACCTATAAAATTTTTAAAGATGTATAATCTTGAGCCCATGGTCTTTTAGGATGAAAATGTTGAAGAACATGTCTACTTTTGACCAAATGTGAACAATGAGGCATGATTGATGTAAGGCAAACTATGTAATGTTGAAGATTCTACACTGCTTGAATTCATGGGTATTCTCTAATCTCTTAAGATGGTGATGGATATTCGTACAGACCATAAAACCTTAGGAAAACAGGAGCATTATTTATTAGGAAAGCATAAAGAATGGAACAGTATATGGAGGAAAATAATTCTTGCCTTGTTCAAGTGGGCGATATCATTCATGGGCTTCAAGCAAAAGACTCTCCAGAGAGGTTCTTTTGGCCCTCCTTTTCCGTCTCCTGCTTCGGGTTGGGAAGAAAAAAATGGATGAGTTTGTTCTCGTGTGCGCATTTTTTTTCCTTCTCCGATGATGATTCCCCGCCGCCTTCAGCAACGGGGGTGGGGACATCTACGCAGATGTCGTTCCCCATCAGCCGGATAGTGACGGTCTGATTCCCAGTCGGTGATGACCCCAATGAACTTTCTCCCTCGGGTGGTGCAGCAGAGAGGTGATCCCCATTAGGTCGGTAGTCAGAAGTACCAGATGAGATGAGATCATGCCTGACTCCCTGGATGCCATCATCAGGAAATACATCTTGCTGAGACGCGGAGGGGTTCCTCGCCGGCGCCACCACCGGGGACTTGTTCAGCTCACTGTTCATCGTCGCTCTGAACTTCGCGATAGGAGGCCGAGTGAGATCGCGGGGGCCGTGAATCTTCTCCATCTCCCAGGGGTTCACCATTTTTGAGTTGCGTTGGCCATCTTGTTCATCCCAGGTGACCTGATTTGGAGAGACGATAGACCGTAGGAGAAATGAGGACGAGCATGCGCTACCATCCAGATGAATATCCATACCAAAAAGGAAAGCTCGCCGAGGGTTTGAGAAATGTCTACGAATAGGAAGTGAAGAAAAGAGAGAGGAATTTAAAGGTAGAACCTCCAGCGTGCGCCACGGAGAACGGACGAATGGACGGGGATGCGTGATGATGTCAGTCACGGCCCCCTGGAAACACGGCATCCTGGTGGAGTCCTCTGCCCCCATCTGCGATTTCACCATGATCCCCGGGAACCACAGCTTGTTAAGAGCTTGATCAACCTGATTCCTTCTAAGTACGAACTCCGGGAAACCCCCGGTCGGGTAATATGTGACCTCGAAGGGACGGCCCATCGACGCTGCACGGACGACCTCGAGGACAGACTGAGGCGTGACCCTGCCTCTGCGATTTCTCGAGAACAGTTGTCCGCTGGTAGAACATTCTCCGGTGGTCGCCAACATCACTGAGGGGCCTACTCTCGGAAGACCTCGTGGGAAACCTGCGCTTGCTCCCGATCTTTCAGTTCGGCGCAGCCCCACGTAAATTTGGCCGGTCCTGTCCTTGATGAATATCACGGTGTCGCCGGCTATCAGCTTCTTGTTGTTGACGAAAGCGGCCCAGTACGTTGTGAGGAGGTGCCGGCGAGGTGTTCCCCTGTAGATGTGCTGAAATCTCAACTCGTTACCTTCCAGATCGCGAACGAACAGAGCCTGGGAGGGATTATCCTTGGTATAGTCCAGTGACGGGAAGACCCTGTCCGCGCAGAGCCTCGGCACCGAAAAGGCCCCGCCGTTGTTCGCGTCGCTCGGCGTCAGTACCTTCGCGACGAACACCAGTTTCTCCTCTTCCCGGTCGACGCCCTCAGACGAGACGCCTCCGGCGGAGGAGAACGGCTTCGGATACATAAAATCCCGTTCGAGTCTAATCTTGGCGAAAACCTCGTTGCTGCTCCGGCTTGCCAGATGCTGGACTCCGGTCACCCTACAGGGAAAGAAAGAGAGATCCTCGGCCTCCGACTCCCAGTCCACTTCGCCCAAGGCCTGCTCTGCGTGGCCCTGCGGGAAGTAGTAGACCGACGTTCCCACCGCCGGGATCGTCCCAGATCTCCCCGCACAGGCCTCCCAGATATCGGGATTCACACTAAAATCCTCAACGGCGACCGCAGCTGCTGAATCCGAAGCCATCTTATCTCTCTCAAACGTACAACCAGGGGACAACGCCGCTCTCCGGGCAAGGGTTCCAGGGAAAGAAGCGAACACAGCAGCGCTGCCTCCACCTCCCTCCTTCTAGTTATCTCTCTCCCTCTCCCTCTTTCCGTTCTGTCTGGTTCTTCTGTTAGAACGAGCGGGAAGCGGAGCCGTCGTAAATATTTGATAACAGAAGCCGAACTCAGCGATCGTCCAGTAGGGAGTCAACCTTGCTGTTGGTTTTTAAAAACACAATGACCAAACTACCCTTCTGTCTGAGCTACTATTTCGGACGTTTTCGTTACATTCTCCCCCGCAGTGAAAGGACTATATTACCCCTAGTTCCGAAGACTCTGACGTAGAACACTGTCCACGTGGACAATGGAAGCTTCAGCCCAGCCAGAGCGAGCGAGAGAGAGAACAGACTTATTGAATAATTAAATGAGTTTGCGGGGTAACATCACAAGAAACAGGCCCCTGATTATTGAGAGAGAAGGTGACAAGAATGCCCCTTGTTTTTCTTCTAAACAGCCTACGTGAAACAAGCTCCGAGGAGAGGGATCAATGGTGGCGAGGATATGGCGTAAGATCGAGGCACTAAGCAGAGATCTGAGCCGCCATGATCTTCAGTCGGCCCGTGATTGACCGGCCCGCGATGAGAGGATGATGCCGACAATGAGCCCGTAGAGCGCCAGAGCCTCCGCAAAGATGAGGATGAGGATCATCCCCACGAACAGTTTCGGTTGTTGTGCGTTCGCCCTGCAAGACCACAGACTCCACCCTTTCAGAGAGCGAGAGAGAAAGAGAGAGAGGGGAGAGAGAGGGGAGAGAGAGAGGAGAGAGAGAGAGAGGGAGAGAGAGACGATATCAGACACAAAACAGATGTTTTGACAAATATCAGACAGATACGATAAAGCGGTCATTGTGTTATCAGTTACTCTTTACACACTTATTTGTACAGAAAGTCAATGCTGGTAAGCAAAAATAGTAAATGCTGGTTCTATCAAAGATGGATTAACCATGAGAAACCTTATATAATGCTGACACTATGGTTATCCCTGAAGTTTGACCATGCTCTAGAATTGATTATTGACGTATTTACACTGACATTGTTTTTCTCCTTTCAAATGTACCACATCAATAAATACATGTAAACAATACGATGTTCACAGAATGCGCGCACGCACAGAGAGGTGATAGAAAGGGTGGGTCATATCGCTCGAACATGGTCCTCTTTTAGTAATTACTATAAATGACAGTCAAATGAAGGAAAAAGAAATTCCCTTCCATTGACAGACAGTGTTTGTGCAGTAGCTATCATCGCCCTGGCATATTATTTTTGTGAATAATTGAATAAAATGATACGGTAATTACCCAGAAGGACAAAGTCAGCAAGCAAGACTTCCAACATAAAAATTCCATGTAATAAGTAATATTTTCTATTTTGTACCATCATTAGAACCATAAATGATCGAGCAACCATGAAAGTCAAAACGGAAAAAAAATCCCTTCCATTGACAGACAGTGTTTGTGCAGTAGCTATCATCGCCTTGGCATCTTATTTTTGTGAATAATTGAATAAAATGATACGGTAATTACCCAGAAGGACAAAGTCAGCAAGCAAGACTTCCAACATAAAAATTCCATGTAATAAGTAATATTTTCTATTTTGTACCATCATTAGAACCATAAATGATCGAGCAACCATGAAAGTCAAAACGGAAAAAAAATCCCTTCCATTGACAGACAGTGTTTGTGCAGTAGCTATCATCGCCTTGGCATCTTATTTTTGTGAATAATTGAATAAAATGATACGGTAATTACCCAGAAGGACAAAGTCAGCAAGCAAGACTTCCAACATAAAAATTCCATGTAATAAGTAATATTTTCTATTTTGTACCATCATTAGAACCATAAATGATCGAGCAACCATGAAAGTCAAAACGGAAAAAAAATCCCTTCCATTGACAGACAGTGTTTGTGCAATAGCTATCATCACCTACGCAATTTGTTTCTATGTGAATAGCTAAAGAAGATGATATGCTTAATTACCCAGAAGGACAAAGTCAGCAAGCAAAAACTTCCAACACTTAAATGGTATGTAATTAACAATATTTTATATTTTCTTCTATAAATAGAACTACAATTGATTCAGCAACCATGAAAGTCAAAAGACGGGAAAAGAAATTCCCTTCCATTGATAGACAGTGTTTGTGTAATAGCTATCATCACCTTGGCAATCCTTTTTATGTGAATAAGTAAAGAAAATGATACGCTAATTGTCCAGAAGCACCAATTCAGCAAGCAAAACTTCCAACACAAAAGTGCCATGTAATTATTAATATTTTCTATTTTCTACCATCAATATAACTATCACTGATTCAACAACCATGAAAGTCAAAAGACGGGAAAAGAAATTCCCTTCCATTGACAGACAGTGTTTGTGTAATAGCTATCATCAGCTTCGCAATTTATTTTTTTATGTGAATAGCTAAAGAAATGATACGCTAATTATCCAGAAATATTTTTTCTACAATCATTAGAACTATCATTGATTGAGCAACCATGACACGGGAACAGCTTTCAACTCAGCAGTGTGATCACATTTTCCCCACCTCTAATGAATTTCGCTAAAATTTTAATTTTTTTCAGTGATTGATGGATAAATAAATCTTGATGCGTAGTTAAATACAAAACACTCTTAAAAGGATCGAGAAGAGAATGAGATTAAGAACATGAACAAACAGATGCAACGATCAGAACCTAGGAGGTTCTTTGACTTGAAAAAATGTAGATTTAAGATGATCTCCAAACAGATCTGTAAACCATAGGTCCTCGAGCTTCCTCTCAAATATTTTAATTCAGCAATTCTCATAAAAAAACTACTGCGAATCCATGAAAAATATCTCAAAAAGATCAGCACAAAAATCACCTAAAAATCGTCAAATCACAGAGATTTGTGTGTTTCTAAGGTAATCATCCCCGCAAATAAACCACGATATTGAAGAGAACTAGAACGAAGACTGAAGTGTCAAGATAAATCAATCTCACGAGATTCAGACTCAGAAAAGAAGGAAGTCAGAAAAAAAGAGTTACCGGACTCCGGCATCCCCCACGATTCCAATCGCCATCCCTGCGGAGAGCCCCGCGAGGCCGCAGGCTAGGCCGGACGAGAGGTGGGCATAACCGTCGAATAAGTAGTACGACTTCGCCTTGGGGTTTATCCCAGTGCTGATGATAACAGCAATGATCAATCCATAGATCCCGAGCACTCCAGCCATGACGACGGGCACAATGGACTTCATCACCAATTCCGGCCGCATCACACCCATTGACGCGACCCCAACCCCACTCTTAGCCGTTCCATAGGCGGCCCCCATGCCTGCAAACCAAAGATGCGTCAAAACATCCCGAATTGAACCCCAGAGATCGATCCTGGGGGAGATCGGCAGGCGTACTCACAGGAGAAGACGAGCGCCGCCGCGGCACCGAGGAAACCGAAGAACGGAGCCGTCTCATCGCCGCTGAAGGCAGTCCCCGACATCTTCCCCGGGGTCCTAGATCGCCGCAAATCCTACTTCCTGCTTCCTATCTATTCAGCTTCTTGCCTCCTCCGACCCTCCACTCCGTTTTCCGTCGAAGAACAGATTGACGACGGGCCACAGAGATCGCCTAGTTGATGATGAGGAAGGAGACTGCGCCTTAGAGGAGGAGATGTTGTAGCCACCATCTGCCGCTAAAAGGCCCTACTTTTTGACACAGTTACAGGTTCTACCTTGGTAGCTGCGGAGGGGTCATTTGGATAGAATGGGCATTTTAGAAAATCTCTCTCTCTTCCCGCCCTCTCTCTCTCTCTCTCTCTCTCTCTCTCCTCTCTCATGTGATATATTATTGATGTCGTCGTCATCGCAGGACGATCAGACATTTTTTAATAATTTCACCAGCAATCGTAGATTTGTACCCGTCGTCCCCCATTTTTTTATTTATTTGCGTTTTGGGGAAGCTCGGTCTCTGAACCGTGAGGGCCGTGCGTACTGAATTTCTTCAAAAAAGCCCGAAAGTGAGACCCAGTAGAGGGCCTGGGCCCGGGCCCGGTCTCGTCTCTTCCGTAGTGATGAAAGGATAAATAACTGTTTCGCGCCAGAAGGATATATATGAAGGGGGACTGGGAAGGGAAGGAGGAGGCGGGAGAATGGAGGAAGCGCGAAGATGGATCGAGACGGACGAGAGCGCCATGGAGATGCTCGCCAGGACCCTTGCTCAGCGGCCATTTCTCCTGATGCCGCCCCTCCATCGTGTACCCCTCCGAGTCGGCAATGTCGTCGAGATCGTCGGTCCTTCCTCTTCCGCAAAATCAGAGATCCTGCTACAGGTGATCACCGTCTGTAACAATGGAGGTCGTCCACACTTGTTATCTGTTCGTCTTTTTCCCTCTCGTTTACTGGTGGGGATATCTCTCTAGGCAGCCGTGAACTGTATCCTTCCAAAGGACTGGAACGGCGTCCACTTCGGCGGTCTGGAGCAGCTTGTGGTGTACTTCGACCTGGACTGCCGCTTTGATGTGCTCCGCCTTTCTCATGCTCTAAGATGTCGGATAATGGAGGCCTCGGGTAAATTTAGTCGAATCTAGGTCGCATTTCCTGTCCCTTGTTTCGCTATTTTGTTTGATTATGCGCTGGTGTGAAAGCACGTACTAGATTCGTCTCTTACGACGAAAGTATCGAAAGTAAGTGATACGATCGGTCCACCTAAAGTCAGGGACTTGCTTCTGCTTCTTATTTATAAGATAATATCATGATGGGAAAAACGTGGATGCCCGACACTAAAGATTGTAAAAAATGTGCGGGTTGGTCTGCCTCTTCTCACAAGATGACTGCTATTTGTGACGTACGCTGTGCGTGATATTCGTTCTCGATCGTGGGTAAATTGATCCAATTCATGGCTCCACGTCCACTATTTGCCACAGATAACAAGAATCTCCCGTATGATTTGATAATGCTGGAATATAGTTTGCTAGTTGACTCGTAGAATTGACACTCGATTTATCAAACAGGATTTGCCAAAGGGGAGTTTCAAGTTGGATCACTACACTTTCATGAAACCGTGGACCCTTCTTCTTATAGCAGTGAGGAATTGTTTCTAGTTTGCATGAGACGATTCCTGTACATCAGATGTTACAGCAGCTCTGAATTTTTGTCGACACTAAAGGTGAGAATTATGGTTTAATCAAATCATATCAGATCCAGTATTTGAATTTCGTTTTTTTTTCATTTACATGTTGCGTTTATCAGTTCTGGATTTGCTTGTTCAGTCAGTCAGACCGGATGTTAAAATTTATAATATGTTTCTTGCTTAGTCAGTTCTGATACCTATTTCTACTTGTGCCTAACTTTTCCAGCGACATAGTAGCATCAATATTTTTCCAATGATTCTCTGAGGTTTATGACATAATTGGTGTGCAATAATTTATCTTTACTTTCATAAATTCTAGACAATGCGGCACCGGATTCAAAAAGAAAGTGAAGCTCAAGGGGTTCGTGTTCGTTTCCTCATGATTGATAGGTCTGCAACACCATCCGCATCCTTTTATATATGCAGATACTGAATGGGTAGTGCTCTTTTTTTTCTTTAATGCACATGAGCGTTGGTCTAAGTGGATGGGCTTTCAGAAGGAAGGGTATGGACTACATATCTCTTAAAGATTCATTTTTGATATGTTAATTCAAATTTCAGGTAAGTGGCAAATATCTGTCCTAGTCATTGGTACCTGGAAGGAAATATAAGTGTTTTCTGGGGAAACATCTGGGTAATACTGGGGAGGCCTGGGTTGGAAGAATTAAGGTAATGGAACCATATGCCATTGTTAGATGATCAGTTATGCTCTCCATCAACCTTGGAAACCACAGTTCTGCCCACTTGCTTGTTTCAATGGGCTTAAGGAATGATTCTTCTCATAATAAATTTTTGGGCGTTGTGTTCCTTTATTAAAGCTTACATAATACTTTTTTAACGCATGCTCTTGTGTACTAAATTCTCGTTTGCATCCTCAGAAATTGATGACATGAAATATAGGCAATGCATTATTTAATAAAAAATAAAACATGCGATCGTAACGATCATACGAAGTCATTGTTTGCTTTTAGGCTGCACACACTCTATTTTTGCTGTTGACTTGACAAAGCCGAAAAGTTGGCCTTCAAAATGAAGGAGCGTGCCAAAAGTTGTGCTCACATTGACTGTTACGAATTATGGTTATAATGAGAGGCATGATAATTGGTTTTGAGCTGGGCTGCCCAATAATTTTAATATATGGAATCTCATCTTGTATGCAGAAACTTCTTGGCTATTAATCATCTCGATGTGCTAGTTATCTGTCATCACATTGGATTTGTGCTTATTCATTCATATAAATTTATTTAATTCTATTTCTTCCAGTATCAATGCTTTTTATTGGATTGATCGAGCATCCCAACCCTTGCCGTCACCTGGTGATAATAGGTGATTATTCGTGTGACTCTTTTATCTTTATGTGAACTGTTGTTGTTGTTCAGTAGTCCTTCGTAGCCATTTTCTTTTCATGTTTACATATGAAATTGGCTCATTTTGACGCATTTTCATGATATAATATTACGCGTCGGTGCTATTCCTTAACAGACATCAATATATATCATTCATCAGGCATGAAATCCTTAACAGACATTTTTTACATACTGATTTGTGATATGTAGTGGGGAGGTTTATCTTGTAACTTAAATCTGAAAATCGGATTGTTGGAATGGAACGCATCCAAATATTTGGCGAATCTGAAGCTGTTTTTGAAAGCTGGAATTCAGGTTGAAAGGATATGTTCAGATGCGCCCGTAGTAAATTTGAATCGGTTTTTTCATCGTGGTTTAGACAACACTGCACACAGATGGTTATGAAAACGACATTTTGATGCTTGTGCGAATAATCTTGAACTACTCATGTTGCCATTTATCTAAGCACCTTCTAAATGCTCATTTTTTTCTCTTCAAGACACAACTCATGTTTTCTTGGATTGGTACTAAATCTGTTGATACGGTACTCTGCACGTTTGTTGGAATTTTCTCCGAGTCCACTGAGTCTTTCTAACCGTGTATGTGAGTCCATTTGTCACTCTCTTTTAATTACCGATCCTGCCATGCAAGTTTGACTGATTTAGTTTCTCAGTGATTGCCACTGTACTTGGAATATCATTACAATTGTGTTCACTAAATGGGGATCGGATAGCGACTTGGTGAAGACAGAAGCACCTTTTGGCTCAATGCACTTCATGACTTCTCCTTTTGCCCTTTTCTCTTTTTGTAGTGCTTCGTCTTTATTGCATATGTGCCCATCTTCAGTTGTATGATCATTTCATGCCATGATGCCTAATTTTTCAGGAGAAACTTCTCACTTCAATGCATAACAGAATCAATTGTTCTGGAAATCAGTAGGCTCTTGCAGATGGAACCAATGCTTGTCCTAGCTACGAAGGCAGCGATTTTACGAATTGAGCTTACAAGAAACGAGCTAAGAGGGTTTGTAGATCGAGTACAATAGTTTCTGATATTTTTCTTTCCATTCTGCTTTTCCATTATGAAAAAGCATTCTTGTTTTTGTTTCTGCTTGAAAGCTACGTTAAATTTTAGTTGCTGTATCGGAATAATCAGCAAGTTGTCAACTCGACTGATGAATCTAGCTGGCTTGAAGCAAAAGCAATCCACATGTTCTGATTTGTGTTTTCTTATGTTTCCATAGCCTCATCAAGTGATCAATCTACAATCTCTGGTCTATCTGGTTGGATAAAGTCAAGGAATTTTGAGCCTCAAATCAGTTCATTTAGTCTTTTTTTTTTTTTAATTGACATTACACAAAATAACACTTCATATGAGTTTTAAATTTTTTACTTGTTTTCCAGTACGTTTTACGGTATTTCCAGTAGGTTTAAATTTTTGCCGTTTCAGACCTATGCTTCATCTTTATAGATTTGATCATAAATTCAATTTCCTTTAATGAATAAGTGGCATTTAAACCAATTAATAAAATGATCTTGAACCTTGTGCTATAGGTCATCTGGGAAGTGGGCCTTCGAAGAAAACTTTGGCTCAACTAGAGAGCAGGAGAAGTATCGCGAGTTCATGCCTTCTGCTTGGCAGGTCTTCTGCTTTGATATCTTCATTTCCCTTTTATTTTATGCAGGATATTACCATAAAATGCAGTCTGATGTATCTCGGATCACTTGACATATCATGTTCATCGAAGCACCATGGACATTTAGACCATGAGTCTTCCATGTGCTCGATCAAAGCCATAATGTTTTCTGGCCATCCTGTGGTTGATTAAAGTTTCTAGCATAAATATATTTGGTAAAACTTATTCTAGAAAAGTTCCCTAATTACGATTATCCTTTGTTGATTGCAGGCCTTTGTCACACATAGGGTACTTCTGCGAGTTTCAGGTTTCATCTGGACTTTTTTAATATTTACCCGTACAATATAATTATCTTTCCTTGGTCTTTAGTCCTTTATAATTATTTTATTGATGTCCTATATTATCAAAATCAAATCCTCTCTTCCGCAGAGGAAAAACTTCGTGATGTGGATGACAAACTCCTCCCGATCTACATGTCTCAGTGGGTGGTTCCACCACTAAACTATTCGGACAAGTTTTATGTTACGGATGTAGGTTTCTTTTGTTGCTGCTTAATTATTTTCAATATCGGTTCGAATAATTGAAATTAAGCATGGTTTTAAAATATTTATTTATTTGATAATCCTCTTGACCTCGCCGTTTTCGGCTTACCCATTTGACCATTTTTTCTGTTCTTGCTGTTCTAGACCGGTATTTCGATGATGTCTTAAAGGATGTCCATGTGGGACTAACCGAGTCTTTCTCCAGACCTTGGCTTCCATCCCCCTCAAGGTATGTCACTCTCTCTTCCATCTCTGTTCTTGGAGGTCAACGGTAAAAGTCTAAAGTTTATGCTTTGAAGGGGGGAGGTCTTGATCCATGCTTGAAACTCTCAGTACGTCCAAGTCCAATTATATTGTCTCCTAACGCAGCCAATGTGCCACTTCAGCGTGCTGCCACATGGCAGCCTGCTGACGTGGCATACCAGCTGCGTCTGCTGACAACAAGGGTGGTATTAGAAATCGGCATGTGGTTGGTCCGCAGATGACCCTTAGTTATTACTGGAGTTTTTTGTTTTTTTGTATTTTATTTAGATCTTGGTGATTAAGTTACAGCATGAAGTGTTGATCTTCCATTTTGGTTGATCTTGAACCACAAGGAGTAGCTAGATTTCTGAAAGGGTGTAGATATTTTGTGTGATAATCTTATCCTCCTCCTCTTTACTTTTTTTAAAAAATAAAATAAATTCGATGCAACTTGAGTTTATAATAACTTTACCTATATCTCCTTTAGTCTTTAATTTGATAAACACCCTTTTGCCCACTAATTTTAGAACAATGCCACATTGAAATTAATAAATAAAGCCCACAGATGGCCGTTCTCCATCCTCTTCCTGTTAATTTTCGGTCGCATAAACTGATGCTTTCACATCTTTAGGTTACCTAGTTTTGGAAGAAACCTTAGTGCATGAGAGACTGCGGACTGGACGTGTTATTTTTGGATTTACTTGATATTAAACATTATTTTCTGAGAAAGGATATGATATGTGGTTGATGGTTGGTTTGAGTGTTAGGACTGAGGAATGGACAAGCTATGCTGGCTCTCTCTCTCTCTCTCTCTAAGACCCAGACCCCTATTGAGGCCTTGCTCAGCCCAAGGAAGCTCTGGGATATGTACACATGCATGAGAAGGGAGCAAGGGGGAGGGGAGAGAGAGAGAGACTGAGAGATCCATCTAGTTAGAAAGATGACTCCTGGCCTTCAGGCGAGACCCAGGCCTGTTCGTCCTTGTTTACCCTATTGAGCCTGATTTTGATTCCTGTCTAGTAAGTGGGCTCCGGACTCTCCTGGCCCATTATATCCCCCATAAGATTAGTTGTTTGAAAAACACTTGGAAACACAGTAGAAGTGCAAACACAGGCTGAGAGTTGCATCATTCGAAGGAAAAATTTAAGGGGAAAACAGTCTAAAAATAAAAGAACTGATTTTTCTTCAGAAAATCAACAAACTATGATCTGGGTGTGGGGAAAGGGGGTAAAGTTAGTTGACCCTGTGTTTGACCAAGCATTTGTGAGGGGTTTAAGCACCAGATGAGTCAACCTCTCTTGCTGGAACAACACCACTGAAAGTATGGAATCCTTCTGCATAATCATAGGAAGAAGACGTAGATTAGCCACATTAAGTACTTCTCAGTCTGTCTACATCATGTAGGAGATGGTGACATCCCCACAGTTCCAGGTGTCCTCCACAATCAGTGATTCTAGCTAGAAGCCCGAATCAATTCCAAGCACCCCCCTACCCCCTTCCCAAGATGATCCGCTTGCTCATCTCAAATGGGACAGAAATCTGGTCAAAGAAATAGCCCAGTCAACTCCCCACCCTCTTCCTTCAATAACCCATGATGCCGGGTGCAGTCAAGGATGCAGAAACCATAGTGGAACCGGGTTCACTTCTCTGCGGCTCTCAGGGCATCGCCCAGGTTAACTCTCAGGGTGTTCCTCATGGTCTTCCTCCCAATTCCACCATTGCCTGTTCTCATCATCGCTGCAAACTCACTGTAATCTATCTGCCCATCCTGCCAAGAGAGAAGAAAACCATCCGCAGATTTCAGTGAGAGGAATTCCCAGAGAGGAAAAATTAAATCTTGATACCCACTAAAGAGAAAGAGAGAGAGAGGCCGACAGTGGAAAGGGTTTTGTGCCATGGAGGGAGTGAGAGAAGACTGAGATAATGACATTGGCATTTGGTAATTGGTGAGAGTTTGAAGACAAGCTTCCATTAAATTGAGGGCAAACATGGAAAAAGATTATTGATCATAATTGTGCCAGAAGGTCAACAAAAATGGAAGCTTGGCGATTTCCTAGGGCAAACAGTCCAAGGAAAAAAATGGAGGGGCTATTCCACAATGGAAGGATTTTGTTGGGACTTAAACAAAGAAAACACTTATGGACCGTGCAAATGATGCTGTTTAGAGAGAGAGAGAGCGAGAGAGAGAGAGAGAGAGAGAGAGAGAGAGAGAGAGAGAGAGAGAGAGAGTTCTGTGTGCATCTGTAATTTCTGACAGAAGGGCTATTCTTAATTCAAGGGTTTTTTCAGGACTAAACAAAGAAAACACTAAAGAACCGTGCAAATGATTCTGTTTAGAGAGGGACAAAAAATAAACACATAATTCCTCACAAGGCAAGAGAAAACTTACATTGTTTTGGTCGATTTCTCTGATCATCTCGTCGAGGTGGACATCACTGAGGCCAAAATCCCGACAAGCCTGCTGGAGCTCGTCAATGGTTATATACCCGCTAGAGTCCTTGTCGAAGAAGGAGAAAGCCGAGATCAAGTTCTCCTCCCTCTCCAGCTTGTTCATGTGGACCGTAGCAGCAATGAACTCCCCATAGTCTATGGTCCCATTGTTGTCTATATCGGCCTGCCCAAAGGGTTCCCCCAAAGAATCATTAGCCCTCTCCCCACCTCTTATGAATCTAAATTTTCTGATGGGCTCAGAAAAGTAGAGGTAATTTCTTTCTCTCTGAAGAATCAGCGAGCTTGTAGGTTGTACTGCCATGGCAGGAGAAGTATCTAATTGTAGAAGACGACTGCTTTACTCACCGCATCCATGAGAGCCCTGATTTCTGATTCCATCAGCTCGGAGCCCACCCTTCTTAGGCCATTCTTGAGCTCATCGAAGGTGATCGTCCCACTGTTGTCGGTGTCGATCATCTTGAAGAGCTCCTTCAGCCCCCCGATCTCTTCCTCTGACAGTCTCTCTGCTATAACCTGCAGAGAAAGAACAGGGAGATTCCCCCGTTGAGTAGCATGATCTTGGCCTATGACTTGCTCCAAAAACAGAATAAAATCAGAGGAAGCAGAGGTTGTTTTTTTTTCTTCCAATTGACCATAATTTCTCATTTTTATCTAATTGTTTCTAATGCACGACAATCCCGGGCTTTGGTAGGTTAATATCAGCCACCACATCTCACACCAAGTTTTGGGACTACACTCAAAATTAATCAATAATACATATAATTTAATCTGCCCACATGATGCAATCTATTTTTTGCAATGTAGATCTATTTTTGGTTTCATGAACAGTTAACAATAGTCACATATTTGTATCTAATTATGTCCAATGCAGGGCCTACTCTAACAAGTTACATTTTTTTCTTTCTGAGCTTTGTAAGGTTAATACCAACCATTGGCTATGGTACCAAGTTAAAGTATAAAATGCGGCATTGACCTCAGAATTAATCCATAATCCACTCATATGCTCGCATTATGCCAATGTGGAACTATTCTAGCAAGATATAGTCCAACCCACAAGAAATTTTGACCTCCAGGCTAGGAGAAGTGAAGTGTCTGCTTAATCAAGATAGATACTTGTTTCCTCTCTGAATCATCCTAACCCACCTCCAATCAGACGAAAATAACAAGAATATGAATCATCAACTTCCCCGTTGATCCATTCCACCTCTCCCTAAGACTACCATGTCACCGTTTCCTAGAGCTCCCCAGGTATGAACAAGAACTAATGGCGGATCAGAGATTCCTTGAGCTCAAAATTTTCTGAAATTAGTATAGTTCCTCACAGGGATGTGAGTAGGTTTCTCTGGGTTACTGCAGTCCTTACTCGCAAAGCCATCTTCTTGAGCTTATTCATTGCCGAGAACTGCTTCAGCCGTGACAGAACAGCAGAATCCAGAGGCCTATCAGGGGCGACTTTGTCATCAACGATCCATGGGTGACCTGAAAAAAAAAGATGCCCATTTTTATTTTTCTTTTTATTTTTATTTTTAAATCCTCACCCACTGATTTGTGAAAGAAAAAATTAGGTGATCCAAATGAAGACAATTCTAGCATATAATTGTGCCAGAAGAATCACTCACAGAGAACTTCATGGGCAGTGAATCTTTTCCTAGGGTTCCTGTTAAGCATGTTGCGGATCAGATCCTTTGCGCTCTCGGATATGCAGGGCCAGGGCTCGGATTCGAAGTCCAGTGCCCCCTGGAGGATCTGCCTGAAGATCCCCGACTCAGTTTCTACAAAAAGAAACAACAATGGCCATCAACCACCAAGGAAATAAGAGTTTTTATAGCAACTATCAAAGATTGGATCTTCAAGCATACCTGCCCAGAAGGGAGGGACTCCGCTCAGCAGGATGTACAGAATGACTCCAGCACTCCACACGTCAGCTTCAGGGCCATAATATTTCCGCAGGACCTCAGGGGCGACGTAGTAGGGGCTCCCGACCACATCTGAGAATGTATCCCCTGCAAGAGATTGGGAAGATTAGGTGAACTGGCTTCGCCTCATTTCCAATTCGATCAAGATTTTGCAAGGGATAGAGATCCGGGATGAAGAGTTTAATCAAGCCTAGAGGGATTTCTCGAGGAAGATGTTCATATTTCTTCAATCACTCAGCCATGGACGCCGTTTGCTCCTAGATCCCCGAGATGGGTCAGACAATGGGCAATAAGCAATACAGGTATTACTAGATCTTCTTCTTCTTCTGAAAAAAGTTTCGTGATGATAGATCCTTCTTCATGAGCAGAGAAAACCCTTCAAATCTTCGGAAGCCTCCGCCGAGGAGCATGGGAGGACCTTCAAATCGGCGTCTGCAAGCTCTCGGCCGGGCCTCTTTCCCCAGAAAAAAATGGCGAAATGCCCAAAGGGTTACCTGGCTTGTAGAAGACGGAGAGCCCAAAGTCTGTGGCCTTGAGGGCGGCATCTTCATCCTCGTTGAGAAACAGGAAGTTCTCCGGCTTGAGATCCCTGTGCATGACCCCGAGGGAATGGCAGGCCTCCACCACGCCCACAATGGTCTTTATCAGCTGCGCCGCCTTCCTCTCGGTGTAGTGGCCCTTCTGGACGATCCGGTCGAAGAGCTCGCCGCCGGCGCAGAGCTCCATGACCAGGTGGACGAAGACGGGGTCCTCGTAGGCCCCCTTTATGCGGACCACGTTGGGGTGCTCGGACAGATGGTGCATGATCTGGATTTCCCTGTAGACGTCCTCATAGTCCTCCTTACACAGGAGCTTCCTCTTCGGGATCGTCTTGCAGGCGTACCGCAGGCCGGTGGATTTCTCCACGCAGAGGTAGGTCGTCCCGAACTGGCCCTGCCCGAGCTTCTTCCCAATCTGGTACAGCTCCTTGAGATTCTGGGTCTTGTATGGCAGCACGGAGGATGGCCTCGAGGACGAGTTGGGCTGCGAGGAGGACGACGGCGGCGGCTTCGTCATCGCCGTTAATGGCCGGTGAGGGTTTCTCCCCTTCCTCTTCCTCTTCCTCCCTCCTAAAACCGATGTCTGGGGCGCTGCCCGACTGTCACCAGATGGGCCCGGAGATGGCGGTCTTCTGTTCCTATTCGAAGACTTCCGGATGAGGTTGAGGTCCTCTGCGTTGTGGGTCCTCGGAGATGCTTCACGGGGCGGGGGGCTGGAGCGAGGAGGAGGAAGAGGGAGAGAGGGAGACAGAAAAATACGGAGAGAAGACGAGGAATTCAGTCAAAGCCATCCACTCGAGAGCCGCCGCCGACCACCGGAGACAGGGAACGAGCGAGGAAGGTTCTTCCGCCGGTGGACCAGTTTTCAATTCCCGCGGGCAGATAAAGCAGCCGTTTTTTTTCCGCTGCAGCGGTCTCCTCCATCCTCGAGACCAAGACCCAGATCCAGCTATCTCCCATTTCGTGAAAAAAAGACCGGATTTTTACAATCACCAATAAAGAAATCGGGTGAGACGCGGACAAAGTCAACCTCAACGGTTGACTCCGCTGATTCTTTATGATAAACACGGAGTTAAGGAAATGGGTTTTAACGTGACATCACACTGCCATAATGTGATGGTGAGTTTGGCCTTGAATCGTGTGATTAGCTTGAATCGGGACATGACTCGGCCTCCTTCTAGATCAAGTGGTGGGCCGTGACCTCTAAGTCTGCGCCTCATGGATTTTCAGCCCAATTATATAATAGCTATCGTTAAGAGAGGGAGAGAGAGAGAGAGAGAGAGGCTGCCGTGTGGAGTACTTTCGGGGGACCTGGTCAAATTATGACTCGCTATCAGGCCCGGATGGGCTCCACGTGGGGGCCTCGAGAAGGATAGCACATATCCGTTGGGAATCTTGGGGGCCAGCGAGTCAACGAAAGACTCCAGCTCTCCGCCTGGTAGAAAGTGAACGCCATGGAAAATTTCGTATTACTCCTGGCGAATTTCGTAATGCTTGAATGAACCCTCAATTATTTTATATTATCAATGGGTCATGAGTTATCGTCGTCACGCGGCTTTTCAGCTGCGACGGGCATTGTCCTTATGGTCCTGAAGGATCTCTGCGAATAAGTCCCTGAATATCTGACGAATGTACGTAAGCACCATCCCCACCGAGTCCCTGTTATTATCCTATGCACGAGCAGATGGGGGAGACGACTGCGCCCTGGTCAATTGTCCGATCGCATGCCACGTCAGAATGTTGTCAACAGCTGTTCACAGGTCATCATCCTCTCTCGAGGTAGTGCCTCCATGATTATGGTCTCTCTCTCTCTCTGTCTGTCTCTCTCTCTAGCTCATGAATATAATCTACCTGAAGAAAGAGGTCTTGTCCTTTTCTTCTTGTGCCGCCGGTGGCCTAGCCACTGGTCAATCACCTCGCCTTCGAAAACATCTTAAGAGATATTGCGCTAAGAGAGAAAAGGGAGAGAGAGAGAGAGAGAGAGAGAGAGAGAGCGGTTTGCCCTTTGCGAGCCTCCCTTCTTTGACGGAGGTAGCGACAGAGATAGAGAGAAATGTCTTCTAGCGACATTTCGAGGAAGAAAGTTCGGTCTTATGCAGAAAAGAGTTCTCTGGAACCACCCCAATAACGATTGCCGTCGCAGACTGTGATAAACGACCCCCGCCGTTTACATGTTCGGTGTGTATCTGTGTCTCAGAGAGAGAGAGACGAGGGGAGCAGAGGACTTTGAAAAGTAGGATCCAGTAAAGCGTGGGATTTTGCTTTGTGAAGCTTAGAACCTCCAGACTCATCATCTACTTTACGAGAGAGAGGGAGAGAGGGGAGAGAGAGAGAGAGAGAGAGAGAGAGAGAGAGAGATGATGATGATGATGACGATGATGCCGATGGAGATCAGAATGCTTTCACTTGATAAGGGAAAAGGACCTTAAACTGATTCCAAAGCTTGGACCTTCCACCAAATCTCGAACAAATTAACGGTAGAAGGAAGCAGGCGGGCTGGTCACACGATCCTGTCCGTCCCTTTCTGTCTCCCCGCCGCCATCCTATACGATGCAGAAGAACCTTTTCATCGGACGGCTGACATCCCACTGAATTCAAGATTTCCGGAGGTAGTCAAAGCGGGCGTTGACTACTAGCCCCTTAACCAATAAACATACTATAAGGCGATAATATTCGAATATGGCATAGTCTTGAACTTACCCTTTTCTTCACGCTGTCTTTTAACCATGTGATTTCTTAGTTTCCGTCAACTTTCCTCAAATAATGAGAGGAAGCCGATTTTTGTTTTAAACTTAATGTCATCACTTTGGAAACTAAAATGGGATTAAATGGAGTGGGTAAATTAATGATTTAACGTATTGAATTTAATTAGTAATGGACGCCCAGTTTCAACGGGCCGGGCCTAATGAGACCCCTCCAAGCCCGGGAAATCCCTCCACAATATTCAGACTGGTGGGTAAAGAGAAGCCCGTTTTAATAGCGTTGTTATTGAGGTCAATGAGACATACAGCTACCTTGATGTGCTCAAGCTCGTTCTACAGATTAATTACTTGACTAAATGGACCATCTATGATGCTGAATTATGCCATGGAAAAAATGGAAAATTGCCACTATTATCGCTAGTCTGATCGTTTGCCTCTGACCAGAGGAGCCTCGTCGAAGCGTCAGCATCGTCGGCATTCGATTCACTGACAGATCGCTACCACGTGCAAAGAATTTCTGGGTTATTCAAGGTACATATATGTGTATAGATGCGAATCAGGGAGTGCCAGCTTGCCGGATTTCCTCCTCTCCTCGTTTGTCTCTCCCCTATCTGTTCACCAGCTCTCGACTCTCCGCCGCTGTGACGACGGCGAAGATGGAGCTGACGGCGGCGATCCCGGCGGCGTGTTACTTCCTGGTGCCCTTGTTCTTGTTCCTCACCTTTGTCTACTGCATCTTGGAGTTCCACTTAGTGGGTGAGGCCCTCAGGGCTTGGAGGGGCGGCAAGGTGGGTCTCACCTTCAACCCGGCCTCCCAGCTCTGCCAGCATTTCACCTCCAGGTGCCGGGCCCTTAACGGCCTGTGACTCTCTCTCTCGGGTCTATCGTCTCCTTCCATCATACGACTTGAAAATCAATGCTTTTCCCTTTTTCGAATGAGTAACAGTGGCTGGAGATTCTTTCACACTGAAGACCATGCCTAAGGATGATACGACTCCCATTGTTGGCTAGCTTCGGAGGTTGCCAGCGATTCTTCCAGACCGGAAAGCTCTCAGCTTTTCGTCTTCTAGTCATGCGTCCTTGATAGAGACAAAAGTAGCAGTTTTCCTCATCAATTCAGTGGTATCCTCAGCCCAATTGACTAAATTGTTAAAAAGAAATCAATTCGTTATGCGCTTCTTGATTTATCTTATGTCTATTTCTTGCGACCTAGTTTGAATTCGACCTGGAACACTAAGCTCAGTCGAAACGTAGCATAACATATTTTTTTGTCTGTAGTTCCTAACTGTTGCTAGCTGTGCGGTTAAAATTTCAACAAAATATAAATATTTATTGAATAAATTCTAGATGTGAGGGGTTTTTACTGTGTTCCATTTTGATCAATTTAACTCATGCTTTTAAATATTAAAAAATAAAATATAATGTTGTAATCTTACCATGTAAACAAGTCTACTTGCACATGTTAACTCTCATGGAGACATGGTCAAAATAATTTTATCAGATAATTATAAAATTATTTTATATTTTACAATACGTCATCTATATCCAGTTGTATATAGTTGCATCGTTTTTATGAAAAGTTATTCATCTGATCATGATTATGTTTACATTCTTCACAATAAGTAGTAGGAATTCACCTAGTTGCAAAGAAATGATGGAATGCAACTGTCTATAATCATCAAGGAAGAGGAGGGGTCGTCCTCAAGGTACATTTCTTACTTTAATGTTAGACTGATAACCACTTAGCAGACAATTTCTTGATTGATTATTGTAGCGATTAGATTTCAATCAAATATTTTACCTAGATTTTAGATATTAGAACAACAAAATAGAATCAAATTCAAGTTTTCACAATGTCCCTCATATGGGTATCTAGATAATTCAACATATCTTCATCTAAATCTGTGACATTTCTTTCAAAGGAAGTTACTAGGTCTATACTTTTTTGAGAATTCTTCCTCAAGAGCATATTTTATGACTGTTATAACCTGTGAGTTTCATCTCTAAACATGTCTTGTGTTTCTTCTCATCAATTAGAGTTCTACTACAACTCTAGATGGATCAAAGATCTACAATTTTTTTATAACCATCTCCACCAAGGGTGCCCCAATGCTCCTCTATTTGCGATTGAAATGATCATTGGAGCCAATATTTTGGTAATCATGCTAAGCATCCATATTATTATTATGCATCCTAGAAATACGAATTTTTAATAAAATTAAATCAACATATTCAAATTGGGATTGACAGATCAACTTAATTTTGGGCTGCATAGTATGTATGTTCGACTCTATCAATGTTGGGTGAGAACAAACCCAGAACTATTCAATGAAAGACTGATAGTGAAACCAGAACAAAGTAAATTCCCCTTATTTCTAGATGTAATACTTCTTTATCTGGTCATTTTTTATCAATTTAACTCGCTCGCAATTTCACTCATACTATGAAGGATATTATTGACATTGCTGACATTTTTTAATCAAGAATGAATCAAACATGTTCGGTATGATCTTATATTTATTGTCAAGATATAGAGTGCTTTAATGAATTGCCAATAATTTTTATAATAATCTATGTGGATTGTTATGATTTTTTTCCCCAAAATGAAACTATTAAAATAGTCTTACTAATGCTCGATGATGAATACTTGGTTTCAGGTTAAGTATTTATGGGGGGAAGGAGAGGCTACACCCTTTGGCTGAGGTGACTACTATTCGTTCTCGTTGGGACATGATAGTGGGTCAGAAAAGACAAGTTTGTTTTCTACATAAGAAGCAGTTCTTGATGTAAAATTACCCACTAAGAGACTCCCATCATCTAGAGTTTTGTGATCTACATATCCATCAACAACTTTGTGCAAAAACTATATAGTAAATATATTAGAGTCTCGCTTTAAGGGTATGTTGAATTGTAAGTCAATTATCTGATTAAAAAATATTGGCTTTAATAGTCAATCATTTATTTCTCATTCTAAAATAGATATTTATTGGTCTTCTAGTGCCATATTGAAGAAATTTTGAGGTTTATTCAAATATTGTCAATTGGAACTCATCAAATAGGTATCCTTCTTGTCTTGTCTCACTTTCAAAGAACTTCTTTCTTTAGGAAATTTCACTCGCTAGAGTAGCCCATCTCTTTTGGCACAATGTACCGTGTACCAGAGTTCACCTCCAAGTTCACTTGGTACATCCTAAACTATAAGGTTGCTATTGTTGACTATACAAAAGACAATGGGTCAAAAGTAAGGTCTCAACACTTTTAAAAGAGAAGTACTTTTTCTCCCCCTTTTAGAGGATTGGAGAGTTGCCAGAAAAAGCTAAAAGAGTCAGTTTAAAAATCACAAGTTTCTAGAAGCTCTTGGAGAAGAGAGGTAGTTATTTCAAGTGGAGTATTAGGGCTTGAAGAAGAGAGGAAGAGGTAAGCTTTTTTTTTTTTCTTTCTCATTGGAATTAAATTGCTGTCAAGAAGATGACTTTCTCTTCAAGTGGTTGGAAGAAGATTTAGGAGAATCATCTCTCTTCATTTTTTTGTCTCCATTTTAGCTTCCTTGTACTTGGTGTAGACATACAAGCTCCATTTCTGAACAATAAAACATTTGTCTTTTATTAGTTGGTATTTAGATTGTTGCATTGTTTATTTTATTTGAAAATACATTAGTTTATTACACGTGTGACAGTTTTTATATATGCAATGTTGTGGTCTTTTACATAACCCATTACTTACTATCTGTTTTTTGAAGATGACAATGACAAAATATTAGACTGTAACATTCTATGGAAAGATAGGTGTTGTTGTATGGAAAAGAAGAGTGAAGGCACTCCTTAGACAAAATATTTGATGACTACACAAAAAATTTTATGGAAGAGAAAAATCTGAAGAATTAAGTTATGAAGATTGACATGAATTAAAGTTGAAAATAGTTCGTGCAACTCAAATAGATGAAATTATGTATAATATTTCTAAGATAGAGATTGATATTAATATGTGAAAAAAATTACAAACATTGTATGTCTAAAACCCTTACAAAGAAGTAATTTTTGAAAAAAGTAACTTTACAGTTTATGTATGATGAAGGGGAAAATTTCTTAGAACATTTTAATATTTTAAATAAGTTGATTTCTCAACTCTGCAATGTGGAATTTAAAATTTGGCAAAAAGATCAGACTATGCATTTGATATGGTAAAAGCACCTTAAAGATGCAAGATGTTAAATCAAAACTATTATAGAATAATGTTAGACTAAAACCTCTTACATATAGTGGAAAGCTTTGTTGTTAAAGTGTGGATCTAAATTAGAGGGCATTCAAAATCTAAAGATGGTAAGAAAAATCATTTTTTTTTTATCAAAGTTGAAAGAAAACAACATTTTCTACCACTAAAATAAAGAATTACATTGGAAATAAAATTGTCCTAAACTCAAAGAAAAATAGAAAACTAAAGAATTAGTCACATAAGCTCGTGTTGCATTTGATTTAGAAATTTAAGGATATGTTCTGTTAATCCCCCAAAACTTGGACTACTTTGAAACCTAGATTCTTAATACATGTTGTTCCTATCACATGTGGCCATTTTAGGATTAGTTTGACACATAAAAATCTTATGATGAAGGTAAAATTTATGATAATAAATAACTTAGAATGCATAAATATTTGGATAATTAAATAAAAATTATTTATGGTGTAATTATAATTTTTTCTGATGTGAGACATTTGATTTAAGAAAGAGTTTGATCTCCTTAAGTACTATTGATGCAAATGGTCACAATTATATTAGTGGCAATGGTTATTTGAAAATTAAAAGGATGCTTTGGTTATTATGAAAGGAGAGAAAATTGAGTCACTAATTGAAAATAAGAAAATACAACCACCACATATCATTTTGCAATTGAAAATACTATGATGTTGTGACATTCTAATCTTGGCCATATAAACGAAAGACAAATGTTATAGTTACACAATTATAAGATCAAGGGTGTTGCATCTTGCAAGATTAATTTATCTAACTCTTGTATTCTTGGCAAACAATGTAAGGTCAAATTTGTTACTTCTTCTAAGATAAGTAAATATATTCTTGAGTATGTGCAGTCATATGCTTTGGGTGTATCTTCAGTCATCTTATTCATATTAGCTTAATATTTTATTACATTAGTCAATGACTTCTCTAAACAAATTTGAGTTTATTTTCTCAAACATAAATATGAGGTGTCTGATATTTTCAAACTTTGGAAGACTAAAGTTGAAAAATAGATTGATAAAAAAATTAAGGTCTCACACATAGATAATGGTAGAAATTATACTTCAAAAGGTTTTGAAAATTTATATTCCAAGGAAAACATAATTCATCATATTATTCCACAAATAACACAAGAAAAATGTAGTTGATGGATGAACATAATATTACTTGAGAGGGATGCTTCATGAAATTATTTTCAAGACTCTCTAAGTAATTCTAGATTGAGGCTGTTAACACAGCTTACTCTTTGGTAAATAAATCACTTTTTATTGCAGTTAAAGTCAAGATACCTAAAGAACTTTGATCTAGATGACTAGTAAATTATTCTAATCTACACATCTTTGGTTGTCCCACCTATGTTTGGTTACAAGACAATGAACATACCAAGTTGAATCAAAAGTCAAGACAATACACTTTCTTAGTATATAAGGAAGGTGTCAATCAGTTTAGGTTAAGAATTCTCATAACTCAATTAATTGGGCTTGGTAAAAATGTCATATTTGATGAAACATCATTGTTGAAAAACATCTAATGCTCTATGTTTTGTGGGAATGCTGGCAACAACTTACTTAAGGTCTAGCTGATTGATAAAATAAAGAGGGTTGACATAAATTTATAAATTTTCCACATCTCGATGAGTCTTCAATACACTCAAATTAAAGTGACGCTTACTTTAACATTACATGTTATGCAATAAGAGAATTATAAATACTATTGAGTTTTTCTTAGTCTATTATCTATGTATTTGTTGTTGTTTCTTTTCATCTTACAACATTTCATGAAGTAATTCAAAGCAAGAACAACAATGAATGAAAGATTGTCATGGAGAAAGAGACAACTTCTTTTCATATAAATGACACTTGATAATTAGTAACACACTATGAGAGTAAAAAATTTAATCGATTATAATGGGTGTACATGAAGAAAGAGGCTCTATCAAATACACAACTATTTAAATACAAGGTTTAGCTACTAGTCAAGAGATTTAGGTAGAGGAAAAGTATTAATTATAATAAGATTTTCTCACAAGTTGTAAAAATGTTATTTGATTCATGTTGTGCTTGTTATCATTGCTATATTTAGTTTATAATTAAAATACCTTGATATGAAATCAATTTTCCTATATAGAAATTTGGATGAAGAGATTTATTGCAGTCGAAATTATTTGTTCAACAAAAAAAAAGATGATTTGTAAGTTGGAAAAAAAATCTTTATAATTTGAAACATACTGCTTATCAATGATACAGAAAAACTGACCATTTTATGTTGTCATGTCACTATAAGAAGTATGATCATTTTATTTCTTTAGTGATGATGCTATCATTCTTCTTATGATATATGTTGATGGCAGGTTAATTACATCTAAATCCATGGTGATAAAATTACTAAACTTAAAAAATAGCTTAGTTTAATATTCGAAGTGAAAGACCTAGTTAATGTCAAGAAGATCCTAGAGATTGAATTTTTAAGTACATGTAGCACAAAATGTTATGATTGACTCAAAAAAGTTATATTAGAAAAGAGTTTGCAAAATTCAGCATGTAAAGACCAAACTTGAGGTGGATACACTCTACCATAATAGTAGTCGAGCTGCCCAAGCCAACAACATGGCTATTCCACTAAGTGTCTTTGATGATCCAATCTACTGCGAGGAAGTTATTCCTTTCGACATAGTTGGTAACATCATCATCATCTCTCTCTCTCTCTCTCTCTCTCTCTCTCTCTTTCTCTCTCTCTCTCTCTCTCTCTCTCTCTCGCTCTCTCCCCCTCCCTCCCTTCCCTCCCTCTAAATAGACATATATGTATATAAAGTAGTTATGTTAGTACCCTTGTTTCAGACGATGGTGATTCTTTTCATAAGACGCCCAAATAATGACGAATTCCCCAGAATTATTTTTTTTGGGTTTTAATCACGTTGGGATTGTGATAGAACTACAGATCTTACTAGGAAAGGAAGAGATGCTCGGATTGAAGAAGTAGAAGAGGAATCAAGCCCTGCAAGAGTCCTAGATGGGTGATGTCCGTTCGAGAGGGCTGCCGCTCTCTAGTCAACACCTTTCCCCAAAAGACTTGATCCCCCCCGGCTCCCGCAGTTGACAGTCCCTTTTATCCCTCTCTAGAAATACATATGGCAGTTGAAGAGTCCTATTAGTTTGACTTTCCTTTCTGTGGTCTCTCAGGACCAATGGTAAATAGTTTTGACAACTCCGGCACATGGAGGACATCTGGCCTTCTTCTAAGGGTTGACCACCAGCGACATGTGGTGATTAAATCCGCCTCTCCTCTAAGTTAACCTCTGGTTTCATACATGTTTGAAGTGGTTGTAGACATCTGGATTGACCCATCCACGTTGACATTCACAGGTGGGTCGGAATCGTCGATGAATCCCTGGAAGTGCTTCACTCCGGACCATTCATGCACAAGTCAAAGGAAGTATTGACCTATGAATCATTCAACAAGTTTTCTTTCATACCCCCATGGATTTTAGCTGTTAGATCACTCGATGATCCTCCTTCGTCGTCCTGGGGATGCAGGTGCCTGTTGATGGTGAGAGCTCTTCACCTGAGAAGCCCCTCCTCTGTGGAGAAGACGGCGGGTCAACCGCGGCGGTGGGGAGCTACGAAGGGGAGAAGGGTGGAGAAGAGGGCGGAGAAGAAGTCAAAGCAGAGCCTTCGTGACCTGATCTTCTTCCCCATGGCGGAGCAACCCGTTGACCGCCTCGTCATGAGAATCAGCGAGGCGTAGGTGTGGCTGCTGGCTGGCATCGCGATCAGGACGTGGCTTCCTCCTGTTCATGGCCTTCAAGAGGAAGCTGAAGCTGGACGGCGGCGGCAGCGGCAGTGGCGGCTCGCAGTATTCGTTGCTCAGAATATGACGCCGCTTGATCACTGACCGTCAGATCCCATAGAATCTGGTGATTTATGTACTACATTTTATTTATTCAAAATAGCGAAGATTTCTCTCTCGAAACTAGTCAACGCAGTGAGGAGAGAGAGAGAGAGATTCGGATCGGCGGTTATCATTCTTCCCCACGGCGCAAGAGAGTCCCCTTGACACGTGTCTCTCGTGAACTTCGCTTTGACCGGGTTACCCCAAGCACCTCCCTGTGAAAAACCTAGGGATCTCCCTCCCTTCGCAGACAGAACCACACCGCCGTTCAGTTCGCCGGTGCTGAGAAGACGGAGGAGGTGGAGAAAATGCTCCCAGGCAAGCCACCTCCCGACTTCCGAGTTCTCATCCATGGCGTCAACTTCGCCCTCAACAAGGTAATCCAAGAGCCCGAAACCCTAACTCTCCCCTCCATCCATCCGTCTTCTTCCTCTTCTTCTTCTTCTTCTTCTTCGTCTGCAACCCTAACTCCGCCTCGCAGAGATGCATGGCTCTGCGGTCGGCGAGGATAGCGAGGATGCTGACAGAGGAGGAGGAAGGAGAGGAGCGGCAGCGGCAGGGCGGAGTCGCCCACGAGCTGGCGGATGCGCCGGCGGACCCGGCGGCGTTCGAGGTGGTGGCGAGGTTCTGCCACGGCTACTTGCCGGAGCTCTCGCCGGAGAACGTCGTCCCCGTCATCTGTGTCGCCTCCTTCCTGGAGATGACGGAGGAGCACAGCCCCGAGAACCTCCTCCAGCGAGCTCTCTCCTTTTTCTCCTCCCACGTCCTCCCCCACTGGAACGAGACCCTCCGGTGTCTCCGCGGCGGCGCTGCAGTCCTCCCCCACGCCGGCCGCCTCGGCCTCACCGACGACATCCTCCACTCCGTCGCCGACAAGGTCCTCGCCGAGCCCCTCCTCCTACGCAACCCCGTGGAGGCCTGCGATGACCAGAAGGTGAAGAGGAGGCTCTTCGTGGTGGACTGGTTCGCCGAGGACCTTACTGACCTGGGGCTCGACCTCTTCGTCATGGCCATAGCCGCTGTCGCCGACGCCGGCGCGCCGCCCACGGAGGTGGCCCGCTGCCTCCTCCGCTACGCCAGGAAGAGGGCCCGCGTGGGGGCCTCCCCTGGGGAGGAGTACGAGTGGAACTCCCACCGGCGCGTTGTGGAGACCGTGGAGAAGCTTCTCCCCAGGGAGAAGGAAGCTCTGCAGATCAAGCCGCTGTTTCAGATGCTCCAGTCGGCGATCTTCTTACGGGCGAGAGAGGAATGTCGGAGAGGGCTGGAGGAGAGGATAGGGAGTCTACTGGCGGAGGCCGCCGTGGAGGACCTCTTCATCCCCTGCCACGGCTACGCGAGGGAGACCCGGCACGACGTGGGCTGCGTGGAGAGGGTGGTGGCGCAGTTCTGCAACGCCGCCGCCGCCGGCGGGGGATCGCCGGAGCTGGGGAGGGTGGCAGAGCTCTTCGAGGGGTACCTGGCGGAGGCAGCGGCGGCGGACGGGGGGCTGACGAAGGAGATGTTCGCGGGGCTGCTGAGGATGCTGGCGTGGCTGCTCGGCGCCGCCGGGCGCGGCGGCGATGGGGTTTACAGGGCGGTGGACGCCTACTTCTGCGCGCACGGGGAGTTGACGGAGTCGGAGAGGGAGGAGATATGCAGGGCGGCGCTGGACTGCCGGCGGCTGTCGCCGGCGGTGTGCGAGCAAGCGGCGCAGAACGAGAGGATGCCGCTGCGGGTGGTGGCGCAGGTGCTCTACGTGGGGCAGATGCACATCCGCGAGGCCATCTGTGGGGCACTCAAGGACTCCGAGGGAGAGCCTAGCGAGAGTGGGCAGACCACCACCAAGTCCGGCGAGGACGAGGAAGAAGAAGATGATGAAGAAAGAGAAGAAAGAGAAGAAAATGAGGAGTGCGAGATGGGGACCTGCGGCCACTGCGGGGGGGTTGCAGAAGGGGAGAGGAGACAGAGGAAGAAGAAGAAGAAGGTAGGGTTTTGGAGGGAGATGAAGTGGAAGCTGGGGTGCAAGGATGCGGCGTACGCCTGCAACTGTAGCCTGAGGAAGGTGCATCCGGTAGGCTGATTGGCTTCCAAAGCCCACCCCTTTTTGACATTTTTGTACTCTTTCTGGCATGATGAAATAAATGACAAGAAATAAACACCACGGCGGGATGGTTAACTTCTTTTCTCCCCTGAAGTCAGCACCCAATAGGTTACTGGTCGGATCTTACTGGGTGGGCATTAAAGAAGGGACTGAATAAGCCCAAGATATTCGATCATCTGACGAAGGTGATGGAAAATATTGGCAAATAAAATAGCAAGATATGATTTTTGCATTGAAATCTACATCAGAGGGAACCGGGCAGGCAGGCAGACAATCAATCGTGGGAAAGAGAAAGAGAAGCTGAGGAAATGGAGGCGGGTAGGGGAGAAAGTACCGTCTGATGAGAGGGAGAGGTAGTCGTTTTGGTCCTAGCAAGTCCAGGAAGAGGACCTCCTGAGGAGAGGCTTCATGGCCTTGTCCTCCTCGAGGGAGATCATGCCCAGGTGGGAGGGGTCCTCGAGCAGCATCTTGGCCACCAGGTAACCGGCGATGGACCACGTCTGGAACTTCCTGGCCTGCTTTCCGACGTAGCGGCCCAGCTTCCCGTCGTAGTACTCCGGCCAGCCGTCCTTCTGGAGGCGGCTCTCCGTCAGCTCGATCGCCCTCCTCGCGATCTGCGGCCGCCCCGTCTTGATGCAGGCGGCGGTCAGCAGCCACAGAAGCACTGCACACAGTCGAAGAGGATGAAGAAGAACTCAGAAGAGGAGAAGAAGAAGAATAGGTGGAGGGAGGGAGGGACGTACCTGGCCAGGAGCCGCCGTTGTGATAGCTCCAGCGGGTGTTCTTGGGGTCGCACCCGGTGACGATGCGCCACTCGTGGCCCTCGATGGCGGGATAACAGATCTTGAGGGGCATCTCGCCGACGAGCTCCTCCCAGCGGGCCTCGATGAGGTCCATGACGGCGGTGGCCTGCTCGGGGGTGGCGAGGGAGGAGAGGATGGCCACGCAGTTGCCCAGCGCGAACCAGCGGAAGTCCATCCTCGCCGGGCTGACATTCCCGACGAAGTAGCCACCTCGTTTCGGCATGAAGTCAAAGATCCAGTCGGGGATCGAATCCGGAATGACGTTGAACTTGTTGACCGCGGTGTGGGAGTACTCCTCCGTCTTGTACCGGTATATGTCGTTCAGCTGCCGGAAGTCCAGCCAGAAGTAGCTGCGCATGTGGTAGCTCAGTGCGTGGAGGCGCTTCACGATCCGCTCTATAAACTCCTTCCCCTCCGTGTCTTGTTTCAGCAGCGCCAGGGCCGACCTCAGCGCCATGAAGAACAGAGCCTGGATCTCGATCGGATAACCGTACACGCCCTGCAAAAAGAGAAAAAAAAATTCTACTAGTCAGCCTCATACTCGGGGAAATCCGAAAAAGGTGAAACCTTTATTGGGTTAGACATATGACTAGAAAAGAGGGAAATGCTTCAGAACATTCCTGTCTCATACGGGAAAAAAAAAAAATTGTGGTTGCAGTGTTCCCGACGAAGGAAATTATTGAAAAGAGTGATGCAGGGGTTATGTTGGTCATTCAGCATGGGTTATACATTGATCACGAGATGGTTAGGATGATGATGATGCTAGGCGGTTACCAGAACTATATACAATGCACTAAACCATGCTGTAATTAGTGCCTCCTGTAATTAAACACTCTACAGTATTTAGCATCCTGTAATTAGACGTTGCTAGGGTTTAAATGAGCAAAAGGAAGATAATCAGTGATCCATTATAACATTCACAGACTTACCAGCTTATAACCCTTTCAATCTGAATCCCCATTATAGCATATTACATGGTAGGCCTGGGCATGAGAAAGCTAAAGTTCTCATCGCATTGAATCAAGGAAGCCCAAAGAGAAATTTCCAAAAGCTTTGTTTCGGGACAACTGATATAAATTTGACAAGTTCAAACAAGGTTGTAATAATTTTAATGAATATTGTGCGTCAGTTGCAATATAAACTCATGAGATATCTGTAAAACGCCTTGAAGCAACTTCTTGCTGTTCCGAGTTATGAGGACAGAATAGTGGAAATTTTTCTTCATCGAAAAAGTCCAGCAAGGTTTTATGAATTGCCATTATATTGCCATATCGTTGCCTTCGAAATCAAATATTGGCAAGTCCGTGGACCAATATGACAATCAAATATCTAAGATCAATAAAATTGAACGATTACGAAAGGAGAAGACAAACACTAGGACCGACAAGTTAATTGAGAAATAAAACATGATTCTGCAGATTCAGTCATGCACCTTGTGCCTTAAACTAGTTAACTATAAAAAAGAGTATATTATAAGACATCAACTAATCTTTCAACAACGAGGAGTCATTTCAGATACAGATATATCTCTACCATCTGTCTCAGCCTGTTTCAGTGAATAAAGTCATAGCATGCAAATTACAGAACAAGAAAATAAGCACCAACATTCATATCCATAACAGAGGAAATTGGAAAGCAGAGACTGCATAAATAATCGATATCAAACTTACCATTCTTCGGTCAATCATAGAGCAACCATCAGCACAGAGTAATGTTGGAAATGTGTCAAAGCCCTCTGACAGACATAGAGATAATATAAGCCTTATTCCCTTTTGGCAGTCGGATGTCTCCGCTAGTGAGGAATCTCCAGTAGCTTTTGTGTAGGCACGAAGAAGGATAATCCACCAAAATCCAGAATCAACTGGAGCGACCCTTCCAATTGCGCTCTCGCCAAAATCCGCAATTAAAGTGTCAGTTTTTCGGACTGGATCGTGCAGCACTTTGAAACTGGCAGGCATGGCACCTTCCCCAAGCTTGAAACGATCTATTTTCTTCTCCCACCCTTGAAGATGCAGGGTTTTCAGTAGAAAATTTTGAACTATATCATGCTCGCCATTCATTAGAAAAGCAAGCGCACTTGGTACAAAATCTCGGACAAAGACCTGAATTGGAACTTGAACTCAGTCAACATGGTCAGTGATTATGACATATTTTTAGCATAAAATACGGTATCCCTAAGATATGATATAACTTTTTTCAAAAACCACCTAAACAAGTATCAACATAAAAAGTTCAAAGGACTAAAAATCAAATGTCAACCATAAGTTTTTTTACACTTAATTAATGAGAGTGGAGCATGAATGAAGGAGCACCTGAAGAAAATCGATCACAGAAGGTGAAGTGATCATTACCTGATCGTAATTGAGGACCTCCTCTGCTGCGTGGTCAACAGCAGCAAGTGTCCCTAGTGGCTGGCCACGGAAATAGACCATAGACTTTCTGAGTGCGTCCCAAGCGTCAGCAACCATCGGATGCGGTTCAAATGAGTTCCAGGCCGACGAACTTGGAGTGTTAAACCCTGACCGTCCCGCCCCAGGGGAGTGGATACCGTCGAGAGGGTCAGGTCCCCTAATATTGGATATGGACAAATCGCTCAGTGATCTCTCATCAAACGATCTCTTCCGCTCGATGTTCAACTTCGGCTTGTCCAGAAGACGCAACAAACTAAGATCGTCAGCATCGGTGACGGAACAATAAGATCCCACCGATCTCATTCCCGGCTCCCTGGTTCCCTCCATTGACGCGCTACCACCAGCGGGGGGGAGAACTTATCAGCCCCAAATGGCCAAAACCCTGGCCTGTATCGAATGATCCGTTTAGAAGATGTCCATGGTAGCCCATGAACGCACTTGCTATAAAAGAATGATAAACAAAAAAACTAGAGAAACAGCAACGCGAGAGCCCCCCAAAACGTAGCCTACATTGCATCATTTAAACACTACACTCCATGATCGGCCAGAAAAACGTAGGAAAAAGAAAAACGGCTCAGATCTGAGATTAGGATCCACAGGAAACTGTTCCATTCGTTTCCAACGTTCCTCCAGCGTGCCCATGAAACGAATGGAAGAAATAGCTACCTCTTTCCCTCCGAGACATCAAACTGAATCCACTCAACTCTCCCTCAGACCAACTCACCAGCAGTAAACACGAATATAAACCACGGCAGAGCGCATAGAAAATTTTCACGCCAAGAAAAAAAAGAAAAGAAAAGCAAAACAACGGTCCATCCAGCCACAAAGCTCCCCCAAACCGCAGGCGTCAAGGTTGACGAACCCTAACCTTTTCAGCCGCCTCCAACAGCTACGAATCTTCCCCCCCCCCGGAGACTTCTGAAGACGACGGCGGAACACAGAGAGAGACAGAGATATATCCGTAGATAAATACAGAGAGAGAGGGAGGAGTGCGGAGAGAGAATGGACCAAGGTCGTGGCAACGTGATTTATAGAAGACGAGGCGGTGGGCGTGGGAGGGCAAGAGGGGGCCGTTGGGTTTCGGGTCGTCTCTCTCTCTCCGCAACCTCCCCATCGCCCCGTCGTAGGTTCATGGGTAAGGGGCCCACCTTCAGTTCAGTTCGGTAGATCCGATACCCACTAACACAGGCCAGTAACCCCTTTCCGAAACCAATTACGTGGTGACCGATTAAATTTTAAATAATATCCCAGTAATTTAGACGCCAAAATGATATATTTTTTAATTAATTAGTCTTCTAAAGGGCCAGAAGACTTGCAAACAGTAACTTCCATAAATAAATAAAAATAAGGAATTACTATATCATTTCGTATTTATCTCCCCTACTAATTAATGTCACGTCAATTCAAAGGCGTGGTTAGATGAACTTCCTCGGTCGGATCATTCGCCAGTGAGCGTACCGACGTGCGGAAGTAATAAAGAGGTCCCTCCCGTCTCTTTCAATGCCGTGGCGCCTCGTTGGACACCGTCGTTCCAACTCATCGTCGCTTAACCGGCGGGATTTCTTTACTACCCGAGCATGCACGACTGATCCTCAAATATTAGCTTGTGGCGTATTATTATTGATAAATAATTACGCAAAATACTAGTTATTTTGGTATATAATCTTAAAATCAGCATGTGATGTATTATTATTGACCAATCTTGTCCGTTTAAGAGCCCCGTTGGATACTGTGATCAACGGTTGGCGGCCTCAATCCGGATCACTTCCGGATTCTCTCGACGATGTCTGACGTGGGCGGACCAGAAGGCCCGCGGCCAGGCACGAACCAGACGTAGCGACACGTCCGAACCCACGGTTGGTGGGTCCGCAGCGAGTCGGTCTTCCTCCGCCGCACGTGCTGAATACGAGTCCAGTGGAGCCACCGACGGCAACCACACTCGTACGTGCCGGCGCGCTGAATGCGATTTGACTGGATCTGCCGACGACGACCACAGTTGCACGTGCTGCACGTGCGAGATTCGCAGATGGCGCAAGCCGCATCCAAGCCACCGGATTTTAACTACCACTTGAATAATACAAGATTTAAGTATAAAATAATGAAAATAATAATAATCGGGATAAAAAAACGTGGAGGGGAGCATCTCGCCTACACAAGACAAAAAGGGACGTAATGAGGGAGGTGAGTTGGTTGGGTCGGGCCCACTCGACTCCCCCCAGCTTACGACGCCGTCGGTGGCAATCGTCACGTGCGACCGAGAAGTGTTCTCCCCTCCACGGCGCTGGATGAGGCAAGAAAGATAATAGTAATGAGACAACGACACATTGTCTTTGTTGGGACCCACGGCCAGGGTGGACCCTCGACAGAGGGGGCCCAAGCTAATACATTCCAAATAAGTGAAATTGGGAAGAGCTTGTCCATAATTCAAGCTAGTTAATGTAGAGATGGAACAAATTTACTAGATTTATGTATTTACCCAAAAATAGTTAATTATTTCACATATAATTTACCCATAAATTAGCTTTCTTTCAAACTGTCACAAATATAGGTTTATGACAATTCAGTGGAATGGAATTTTGAATAAGAATATAATGAAGAAACTAACCATTTAGATTCAAATAATTCATTTTTTATGGGTTATATAAGATTACTAAAATTATATTTCCATTCAAAGGTAAAGCTGTTTATATTTCCAAAATTCATCTACAGAGGAATCCGATGCAAAAAAAAATACAAACTATCCAAAGAGTAATGATTTTTTCAAATTTTACAAGGGGTTTTATGTATTTTTCTAGACGTGCATGGGACCAATTGAGGTCCACTCAACTTCTTGTTGAGCTGACCATTATTAGACTTGATAAGTTCAAACAATAAAGAGAACATCTCACCCAAATTAGGATAAGACGATGAAAATTTAGAACAAGAAGAAAAATACTAAAAATAATAGGGAAGACTCAAGTTGCTAGTGACTCTCACCTCTTTCTTTATCCTCTAACTTAGCTTTTACAATCATCTTCATTCATAAGTGAGAGCTACATTAAGAAATCTTCACCACTCACATATATGAATCTTTATTCACATAGCAGAATTGAATAGTTGTGATATACGGGAGAATTAATCACAATAAGCCAAATGTAATCAGAATTGATGATTGATAACTTAGAAAGTAGATGTAGTTTTTAGCAAGTCATACAACTATAAAATCTTATCTTAACTATTTATCTTCTTTCTTCCTTTATTAAACATAAGTAAATTCTATTTAAATATAAATAAATAAGAAGAAATTATGGAGAATATGTATGTTAAAACTGTAACAATAATATTAATGAGCAGATTCAATCCCCATTTCTCTATTCACTAGCAAATCAACTAGGAACCAACATAAATCAATGAATTTTAATGTAATTTTGAGCGGGTGCTAGCATCTTTGGAAAGGCTATCAGAAAAAATATTGGAGATGATTTTAATCAAAAGGCTGAAGCAAGACATCATAGTAGAAGTTCAGCTCCACAAATCTATTAAATTGAAATCAATTTTGAAGGCTACACAACTAGTAGATGAGAAAAATGACACCCTTAAATTAACTCAAATATTGAGTGATATAAAGCCATCCATAACCATGTTTTATAAGAAGAGCATTACATACTTGGGTTGTGGAGAGAATAAGAATGTTGATCATATTCCAAGAAAATACAACAAATTGGAAAAATCTAAAGAACTGCTCACAAGTAAGGATACATATTGAAGAGTACATGTATTGACCTTTGTTGCGAACAACTTGTTGATTCCTAAGTTTTGAAGATTATAAATAGAATTTTTATAGTTTACATCAATAAAATTTGAAATTTATTTATGATTTTTATGCATAACTTATGTGAATTAAATATTTAATAGATTACTTATAATGAATTCCTTGACTAATCATTATCATTTCAATTTTAATATTTTAATAGAAAGTTTTCAACCTTACGGTTAAGTTAGTTTTCTATTTTAAAAATTGTTGAGAATAAAGAATTACTAATTCAACAAAGATCTACAAATAAGAAGTTAGATATATGTCATTTAAAGTCCTATGACATGTGTTGACACACATTATACATGATCAATGTGTCAACACATTCATGAAATTAGAATATTATATATATTATATGTATAATCATCTAACTATTGTATTGTGGTATTTATCTATTTTATGTTATTGTTATATGATATTAGACATGGTCTCTAAATTATTGAAAATATAAATAAATAATAAAATAAATAATTTTTTGAACATTCATTTTTGAAAATTTTATCTCAACAATGAGATGTCAAATAAGTATAATGACAAAAATTGAAGTTAAATTATATGATATGTAGCAAACATAGATGCTAAGGTGTCCTCCATCAAGATAGAAAGATTTAGTTCTAATGTGAATTCAAAAGACAATATGAATAAGGAAAATCAAAGAGTGGAAGGTCGACTTATGAAAGTCACATTTTTCTAGAAAATGATAAAACTTTAAGAAGTAAACTTAAACATTGCACAAAAAAATCTAGAAATTAATATAAGATGAAAGTTAACTTATAAGAAAAGACTTCTACATCAAAAAGTAACGAATATACTCAAATATTCAATTCTTTATATTCAGATTTTCACAACATATACTTCAAGGATGACTCCAACATCTTCTTGATCAACTTAATCCAGCAATCAAAAAACTATATAATTAAAATCAATACTCTCTGGTAAATTGTGGGATAATAGGATTTTGATAAAAGAGTGAATTTGGTAAAGGCCATAGTGCTTTTAGCCTTATCTCATTTGAGATAGGCTGGTGTGTTGAAAGGTCTAACAAAGTTAAGAGATTTGGGACATTAAATCAATGAAAACCAGTACATTCCTATGGAGAATAGTCAAAAGTAAATAATAAGTTCCTCTAAGACTAAAGTAATGGAGTGAAGGATGAACCAATATAAAAGTTATGTTTATGATGAGAAACTACTAAAAATTCAACTACTATAAGCAGCCTTTTATGTGTGTTGATATAAAGATTACTTGTGTTGGCAGAAATCAATATATGTAAGAAATAAACTTAGAACTAAAGAATCATCAAAAAGTTTAACAACCTCAACTCACTTTCTCCCCTCACCCTTTGCCTTGATGTTTCATTTAATAATACAATTCGTACAAAACTCCCACAATAGGCATAAAAATCATCAATCTGAGGTCTAATTTGACAAAAGCAGTAATTCAAACAAAGAGAGCAAAATGAGTGTTGTTTTCTATGATGATAAATATAGTTCATGCCACATCTATAAAAGTGAGCTTCTAATTATTTTTGTAC